CTGGGTCCATTGGTTCAAACCGCTGGCTAAATTCCTTCAAGAATGTATCCCAGTTTCCTCCGAAAGGGGGATTCTCTGCACTGAAGTGTAACAGATGGGGAGTTGCCCAATCTCCAGCACTTTCTGTGAAGAAGCCCAGGGCGGACTTGATAAGTTTAAATTGGCTCTTGGCGAGATCCGGTTGTTCTGACGCCCAATTTTAACTGAGCCATGAAGCGACGAGCTTCAGCACCATCTTTACCCTTGAAGACCTCGGGTTTGTTCATGCTTGACTTGGAGGATGAGCGTTCCTCCATGGCTGTAGCAAGGCTGGCTACTTGTCTGATGAGCTGAGCCATGAGATCCTCAGCAGAGGTATTTGGGGCAGGCGGAACAGGAGTCGACATGATGGGAGTAGGCAATCGGGGTTGGGGAATTGGCAGGAAGGTTATATTGCTCACAGTGAGTGGCTCTCGGATCGAGTTCGAAAGGGCGTTGGGGCAAGGTTGAGACTGGCAATCACGCCAAGTATTGTTGTTGTTGTGGGCGTGAGCTTGGTCTCTGGGGTCAAGTGCGTGCGGGAGTGTGGAGCAGTCTATACTGGCAGCAGGTGTTTCAGAATCGGGCGGGATTGGGGAAGACGTGGTGTCTACGGATCCTGCAAGGACAACCTTATCGGTAGGCTGTCAGTGCAGTAATGGATCTTGACCTAATGTCACGAAGCGGCAGAGGCGAAGTGACTAGCGGAGCAGGAAGCGGGGTGACTAAGCCAGGCAGTGAGGCGGAGCGACTAAGCAGGTGAGTGAGGCGGAGCGACTAAGTGGAGCGGAGGCGAACTGGTCCCAGATAATGACAGAGATATATTGAGTATCGTAGTCATAGGTAATAATAAGTAAGCACATACCTGGTCCCAGATAATGACAGAGAGGTCAAGATAAGGGACCAGGCTGTGGAGGGTTGGCTATATATACATAATCTAGTCTGCAAGAAACAACGATGTAATACTGTACAGTTCAGGGGCAAGGAAGGAGGCGGAAGCCGATAGAAAGAGAAGGTGGGTCAGGTGGATCAGTAATAGATAGATCAGTAATCGATGGAGATTGACAGCGATGGGATGATGTATTGTACAAGTAAAGGCGTCGAGACGGTGAGAAAGGGAAAATAATAGGGGCTGCGTACTTTATGACACCCCACTTCTGAGAGGATTTGGTTGGTTGGTTAGTAGCTTCTGGCTATAGTGACAAGTGCACTTTAAACAAAGATGATACAGTGTTAACTTTCACTTTAAACAAGTTAGAGTTTAAGAAAGATAGAAAGAAAGAAAGTTCAAAGTCACAGATTACCATTATGCTTCAGAGTTAATAGCAGTCAGAGTGCTGTGAGTAGTGCACACTCTTTCTGTGGATTGTACTTGTAGTGTATAATACAAATCAGAAGTTTTGTTCAGTTCAGATAAAGTCAAAGAAAGATTTAGCATGCCCGAGTTTGATAGAATCTCGAGAAGAAAAACTATTCAACCTTAACATTATACCCACATGATGAAGATATTTGTAGAGTTGCAGTGTGATCTTGCTTTTTCAATGATAAACCCCCTTGAACTTAGTGTTTGATGATGGTTTGTGTTGGTGTTGGTGTGAGTGTTAGAACTTGCACTAGCATTTTATGCATAGCCCAGAGTCAGCATATCAGCGGGATACAAGGAAGACGGTTACACTTCGTCCCAAGCAGACTCGTGCATGCGCTGGAGACGCCAAAACGGGAAGTATACCATTATGAGCACGTATGGAGATGATGTTCTAGGGGGTGCAGAAGGGGATATCGAGAAGAAGAAGGCCGTGGAGGACCTTGGGAAGCGTTGGGAGAGTAGCGAGGTGAAATCCGAAATACTTCTGGGTGTCATGCCCTGACCACAACCAACCAATCCCAGCACCATCCCACATGCTTCCTTACACCTCTCCAAGACATCCGACCTCCCCAAGACAGGACCACGGGTACTACGCACCTCCCCAAGACAGGACCACGGGTAATATGCACCTCCCCAAGACTATCCTGACAACCTCCCGACACGCGTACGAAACTCCTTAGCACCAGCCCCATTAAGTACAAATCTCGATCACCTGTCTCCTTCGACTACTGCCTCATGTCCCCTAGGCTCTGATGTTCCTTTGTTCACTTCCCATACCTATTTAAGTAGCTCCGTAACGTCTCCAAGTGCCAGCTTGGTATATTTTGAACACACACCCTTTACATAGGTCCAGTCCCTGTCCCTTTGTACCTGCTACCTATACGGAATTCTCTCTACTCTCTGTTTCTCTACCTCTGTTTCTCTCTACTACTGTCTATTGTCTCTCTGATCGTCTATACGATCGAATATACACTTTTATTTCAAGTCTAAGCCTTCCGAGTGAGTCTCCGAGCTCCCTCGAACATTACTAAAGCTCCCCAACGCCTACCCGCTTGGTGAGCTACCCTTCCCCAAACCTCCCAGAGCTCCCTAGCTACTTCGTAAGCTTCGGGACCTCGATCTAGGTAACGTCGAAGCTACCCCTCACGTCGAACTACGTATTGCTCCTCCGTTACCACCTCCCACACTCGAGGACGACCATCCTCAAACCTAGCCCCCAGGGACCTACCCTCCCTGGCGTATCCCTTCTCGGGAGCTTACACCCTCGAGACCCAGTTGCATAAACTACCTACTCGATCCTATATTGACGTTCCAGCGAGTACAACTCCTACTACGCAATATCGTACGGTCCCGCACTCTTCCTGAACCTCCCTACGCATTAGGGACCTCCCTGGACCTCCTAGGAACCCCTCAAGGGTCACCCTCTCGTCATTCCAACCACTACTAGGTCATTCCCGTCCTCGGTCGCGGTTCTCGTAGCTCCCTTCGAGCTCCAGCCTGCTCCTAGCACGCTACAACATAAACCTCCACATACCAAAACCTACCCTAAGACCCATTTCGACCCAGGTCTTACACTGGGGATGAAAATCACGCAGGACAAGAAGACAGGAGCCATTACTTTATCGCAGAAAGCCTACTTCACCCGCATGCTCGAACATTTCGGTCTCCAAAATGTCAAACACCGCCGGACACCACTTCCACCTGACAACAAACTCGAAGCCGCTCCAAATCCCCTACCAGACGATGAACGAATTTTCATGCATGACAAGCCTTACCGACCGGTCGTTGGGTCTATGATGTGGGGTCAAGTTTGTACCAGACCAGATATCTCCTTTGCGGCCAATAAACTTGCCCGTTATCAACTCAATCCCGGGCGTCAGCATTGGGAGGCGGTAGAATGGCTAACAGGATATATCCTAGAAACCCTTGACTATACCATCACTTACAGGAAGCCATCGCCCGATTCCGAGCTAACCAAGGGAGAAGGCCTGAAACCCTGCGGGTACCTCGACGCCGACCACGCAGGATGTATAGACACTCGGAGGTCAACATCTGGCAATGTGTTCTTCATGGCTGGGGCGCCAGTCACATGGAGTTCAAAACGACAGCCAATGGTAGCACTATCGACGACCGAAGCCGAGTACATCTCAGGGGCAAGAGCCAGTCAACAGGCAAGTTGGTTAATGTCATTCCTTGCAGAAGTGGACCTGAAACAGGATGGTCCACTAACGCTTCACTGCGATAACTTCGCGGCGGTTAGCCTCATGCAGAACTCCAAGAAGAATATGTTGGTCAAACACATTGAAATGTGCTACCACTTTATTCGGGAAAAGGTAACAAATGGGGAAATCACAATGAAGCCGATTAGAACTGGGGAAAACGTAGCAGATATCTTTACGAAGGCCTTGAATGGTACAATCCACTCGAAGTGGGTGAAATTCTTAGGTCTGGATCCCACGGATTAGGGGGTGTGTTAGAGAAGAATCCGTACGCTCCATCCTTATCCAGCCCGTCTGACTTACTTCATCTATGCGCACCTTTTTGTCTACTCGTTGTTGCTTACATACTCTGCGATCGAGTACTTATACAAACGCCCCTATTTCACAGCTTTCCCTCAGTTGTTCTCTACTACAACTGAGGGTAAGTCATACTCATATTTAAGTTAATTCTCCATACTGATCCTGTAGTAGTGTTCGTTATCCTACAGGTAGATTTATCCAATATCAGTTGTTCTCTACTACAACTGAGGTGTTTGTTATCCTACACCATGCTGTTTATTTAATCCATCCCGAATCTCATCCAGATATGTATCTGGAGTATGCGTTAGCAGTCCATGAACAAACTAATTATGAGATCAGTAGAATTATATCAACAACATGAAAGCACATACTCGGAGATCCTCAAAAGAAAGTATATGCTTCCTTCCTTGAAGCTCTGCTGTGAATTCATGACCAGGCCCATTTGTTTTTCGCTCTGCCAGTATGCACTGGATAGTCCACTTCTTGCAACTCAACTTTTGACTGATTTTGTTCAAGGTACTGCAATCTTTTCATTGGTATATAATGGTTTTTCAGAGGTCATCAGATAGTCAATGGCCTTGGGTCGTTGGTTGGAGAATGAGATCACGAACAATTTCAAGTAGTGTGGTTTATTTATTTTTACAGAAATAACCACGGGGCGCACTAGAGCCCACTTATCGCTACATACTACACCAAATTTCTAAGAATTCCGTGCAGAATTGAGCTTGTAATTGTGTTTTCGCACTGGGCACCGTTTCGTACTCAATTTTTGCGTCGTGAGAAGTGGCGCCAACTATTTTGAAAATCGCAATAAGCTCCTCCACAAACAAACCTAAGTAGTGCTCCAATGATGTGAGGAGACTGGTTTCAATCTACAGTGACGCGCAAATCAAATCCACACCCCCCGATTTGGAAGGCCTTATGTCACCAGCCCAGAACTGTAAATCAGCGTAAATCTGTTGTTCCTCTGCTCAGAAATATTGAATTTTGAGGGTTCAAACAGCTTATATTGCCACAAGTAAGTCTTTATAGTAGAATCAACATGCTTTACAGGATGTAGCATACAAAAATGTTCACAAAAACAGTTTAATCACAAAATTTCCAAATCGGGGGGTGTGGATTTGATTTGCGCATCACTGTAGACTTTCGGAATCAGCTGTAAACCTAGCCTGGATACTCAAGACTACTAAAAAATGTAGTGTGTTCAACTCAAGTGCAAAAACAATCCCCATGCTGAGAAAACAGTTGATATCAGATGTCCAGCGGACCGGCAACCAACCGGCAACAGTAAGCAAGGTGGTGACGTATAATTAGTCGGAGCAAGTAAGTGTGCGCGGGATGTATGTTAAGTTCACATCAAGACAACGCCAATGAGACCAAGGAAGCCGGCAGTACCAAAATTAGCCGGCAAACTTGAGGCCGCGTTAGAGGAGGAAGAAGCCGAAGCAGCGGAGGTGCTCGAACTTGTGCTGCCGCTGGCGCTGTTAGCGCTCGTGGTGGAACTTCCGGATGTGGTAGTAGCAGATGAATCACTAACACGTTTGAATTAACTCATGAACATGAACAATAAAAGTATCACGTACGCTGAAGTAGAACCTGCAGTAGCACTCGCGGAGACTGAGGTAGAAACACAGCTATCGAATGTGGACATGGGTCAGATGGCTGAGTACCCAGAAATATTGTTACCTAGTGTCCGAGCCCGCAGTAATATCAACCTCATCACTGTAAGCGATAGTGCCAGTGCTATCCTTCAACTCGACGGTGCTATATTCTCAGTCAAATACCAAGCAAATCTCAAAAGACAGAATACGAACATTTCAGTGTCTGCAGCGATGTCCACTGTCCAAGTGTACTCGGTTGCGTTTGTAGTATCGAATGTTTTGAGCTTCACAATAGTATTTGATTGTTCGTGCTGTTCACAAGAGTGCTCATACGTACTGCAGCAGAAGTAGTCTCACCACCTTGAAAGAAGAGACTGTGTCAACCAAAGCTGTTCTTCAGATTTAGCCTCGACTATCTCGACTCACCAGGCAGGATAGAAAGGTAATACGGAGCAGTGCCACCGCTCCACGAAAGTAATGTTGGTTCTGGACCATGAAAATAGTATTAGATGCAAGAAACGATCCATCGAGTCTGACGCCGCCACCTACCACAAGTTGTAAGACTCGACCTGAACAAGAAAGTTAACACTGTCAAAACATAGAAAGCTAAGATGCATAAAACGCACGGTGTGTTCACGGTCAAGGCTAGGACGCTGGGAGCGATGAATGTTACAGCAACAATAATGATAAACGAGTTCATGGTGCAAGTCTTGAAAGGACGAAGCGATAGAGCGTCAACAACAACTAGAGTATTTAGCAGTTTTCAGATTACTTGTGCGCAGCACTCAGACGAAATTTTTGATAGGGTATACTCATCCAAAATCGGCCATGAAATTATTTAAAAACTAATTAAATTTCATAAGTGCAGCCAAGGGCCCCGAAGTGTCGCTGACTCGCTGCAGAAACTTGATTTACCGCAGCGTCGGAAACAATTCTAGAGGTAATCCTATGGATTATTCATCACAATCCAATCCAACTGCTGCGACCACCCGGATTGTGAAGGCTTGTGTGTCCTATTTTAACCAATCTGGCGGTTGATCGATCCGGAGCATCCTGGACTGAGAGATTGGAACGAGGTATCAGATCGACTGCATCAATCAGTGGACTGGGAACACCAATTGTGGGTGAAGCCATCAAAATGGGTGGTAAAGGCTGGCCACCGCTCGTGGCAGGGAATGTAGGAGGTGAAGAGCCCAAGAAGGACTCGGCATGCCATTCGTACCATACTTGTCGGCCGTTCGTTAACCTCCATATCGAGATCTGTAACTCAGAGTTGCTCGGCAGATACAGCGGTTCCTAAAGATTCGTGGTCTGGCTTTAGTCTGCGGAATGGAAGACAAAATAGAATAATCACCTTAAACGGAAAGAAGAGAGGAAACCAGCTGAGCATGTCTTTGGATACCTGATCCTTGCGATGCGGATGTATACTCAAGCCGATATTTCCATAGAGGATAGCTTCAAAGTAGCCTGCCAAACCACTAAATCAATTTTGGATCAGCAAGTGTAAGGCAAGACAAAGAGAATGAGCACTCACTGCAGCACCCCTGCATGAGGGATATGAAACCGCAGCTTTGCTGACCGAGTATTGTGGCTGTTCGTCGGTGGGAGCCCTGCGGACGGCTCAGCATTTTTCCGTTGGAATGCAATGCCACCCACCTTGAGGATTCAGGACAGGATTTTTTCTTGGGTGTTCAAACTCCCAGCATTCCTGCACCTGTGGCCCACATAAACCACTGGGTCCAGGTCCCTCACCGCTGAGAAGATTGACAGCTTGGAACATAACCACGTATGGGGTTTCTAGGCTTTTTTCTTCTTTAATTGCTCTAGCCTCGTTGTACAACTTGGAAGATGACAAGGGAGCCAAATGAGCAGTATAAGAGGATGGTATGGATATCCCGTGGGCTATAAACAAAATTTCAGACGAAACCCTATCCGAAGGGATAAGCTCAGGATAAGCTCACGCTTTAAGAATCTCATTGCCCCATCAAGGCATTCAGGACTAAGCTCGTTATCGCCGAAGGATCCCAGAAGTTCGCTGACCAGAATGTCAACATTTTCGGGGATTTTAATGAGTCGCATGTCTCCAAACAACAGATGAACACGATCGTGCCATTCCGTCCGCTGACGATTTTGTAAACTGAGCATAATTGGAGTTCAGCTTTATTTCTTGCTAGAACATTAGAAACATACGTGACGAAAGCATTCGGATTCTTCTCAATTGCATATAAACATACATTTCCTCGTTTGGACCGCTCAATTGCAGAAAGCGAACGAGCGACCAGTGGTCCTCGGCCAGCGCCTGCGACACATATTATGCTGATTGGAATTGTAGCCATATTCCTACGAATGTAGCCAACAAGCATTACTTACATTTTGTCCTGCTTGGGCCATTCTAGAAGAGCTTTGTGTATGGCCTGTTCGGGGGCATTAGAAAACCACACGGAAAGTTAAATTGTCGAAATTCACCTCCTCGTAGCTCCGGTATTTTACTGGGTCTTGTTCGAAAGTTTGATAGGTGATACTTTGTAAATTATCCATCAGAGGCTAAAAACTTAGTCAGAGTATAATCTTGAATGACACTTTTCGACGCACTTGCAATGGGGCTTGCAAGTAATCCTGATATCCTTGCGCAAAATTTTCAACTGTTCCAACTTTCTCTGCAGCTTGTACGACAGAACTTGTTCGTTCCAGATGCTTAACGTACTGTGAATACGCATCTTCACCACCCCGCTTATGCAGACCGGAAGAAGCTCCAGATATTATGATGTTGGGCCGATGCTATCTGACGATATGTAAAACTCAATAATCTAAGTATTGCTAAAACTCACTGTCATACTGTCTCTAATGAAGGTTTGAGTGGGTTTGGGTAAAACCGGGTAGCCTTTTGCGTTGGCGATGAAAGTGGACGAAGGGAGGAAAATATAGCGAACTGCTTCCGCTGCCCATTTGCTAAGCACTCCTGGACTGTTGGGTAATGGAGGCGTCAGGTCTAATGCTACGCAAACGGTCATCTTAAGCTCCAGCTACTAATAAGAATCAGACGTACCAAGTGCGAGACGTATATTGTAGTCGCAGATGGACTTGATAAGATCCCACGTCTCCCACGCTGCATCAATGTGTGCCTCTAGAGGTGCCGAAGTGGTTGATAATCTGTTGAGACTATCTGCGCTACCAGAGACGACGAGCCGTGGCGTGGAAGGAGCAGAAGATGATCGAAAAGAAGACGGTGAGCTGGACGGTGATAGTGGTACAACGGGCTCTAAGATTGAAGTATCATATACCGGCAATCGGATTGCAAGATTCATGTACGGAGCACTTGAGAGACAAGCTCTGACAATTCGAGCATAAGAGGAGATGTGATCACGATTCCGAGGCGGAGGAAGAATGGCAGTATGGATATTCAGATATGACGCATAGGCCAACTCTTGTTGTAAAGCCTGATCGAAAATGAGTTGTGATAATTTTGGCATGACAATTCGGACGGACTATTTCAGCATCGTAACGGATACCGTCCTCCTCGGCATCCAATTCTAACCATTCTGAAATGATCGCAGTGACATGTTCAGCTTCATCTAAGATATGTCATATCTTAACAGAAGAGCCCCAACTCCAACGTTTCACGGTTTCACGCACCCAATCTGGTAATTGTAACCTCCTCCCGTTCAAAACAAGGGTTTTCTCTCCACGCCTCTGCTTTCCTCTCCGCGGAGAGGTCTCGGCTCACCAATTTGCTTTCACGTCTACTTTCTCTTCTTCGCTTCTGGATAGAATCAGATGGCACAAGACACATTTCCGCCCATCTTTTGCGCCAATCTTCGGTGGTCAGTGGTAGACAGACGCTGTGATAACCTTTTGAATGTGCCTCCGCGATCAACTCCAAGGGAACGGTCTCGAAGGATGCAGAGGGTTTACGGTTTGAGAGAGCCGATAAAGTGATAAAAGAAGATACAGAGGCAGAAGGCGACCATGTAGACATAAATCGAGAGCGTGCGTGGGAAACTCAGAACTGTATGTACAGTATATATTGTGTATAATATAATCCAATATTCAGATACTCGATCCTATTACTCAGTTCTTGGCTATTATTTAGACCTTGACATATCTGAGAGGCCCTGTTAGTAGAGTGGATCGGAACCAAGCAATACTCACGTCGCGTCTATCTGCTTAAGCTGTTTCAAAGCCAGCATGATCTTTCTACGGTATCCCGACGCATCGTTTTTCTGACACGGGTTTCCTTCCAGATACAACGTTTCAAGAGTTGATATGTGACCCAATTGCAACTCAAGGGCACGTAGGTCTGGTATTTGATTTCCGTTCATCTGCGACATAATGAGAATACTTGTGTACAGCGTTTGTGGTTTTTGACTTGCCCATAGTTCTTCAAGGCGTATCAAGTGCGATACGTTTTCGATGGCAGATATGAAGTTATTGCCTACATCGAGTGTCCGAAGGTTGATCTAAACATAGGTTTCAGCCAAAGCGACACAGATTGCCGCCTGAAGGCACACACGTTCTTCTCCAATCCTTCCAGTCTCTTCACACCGTTATGACTGAGATATAACTCTTCCAAATTAGTGAGTTCTTGCAATCCTTCGATCACGGTGATTCGGTTTGATTGAATAGACAGGATCTTGAGTTTTCGCAGATTTGACATATTCTATGACGATAGTTGAATGAGTACCGTCACATTACAAACACTGTGCAGATGAATAAACCTCCAGCTTCGTGATTTTGTTCTTTCCTAACCAAAGTTCTTCCAGATTCACCAAAGCATTGAGATTTTCGATTTTCTGTGCATATCCAAGCGGTCAATCTCCTTTTCTGCCGCCAGAAGTGCACTTACACGAATTCGATTGCCGCCGAGCTCGAGGCTCCTTAGAGAGGTCAGATAATCTAAACCAGTAATTGTGGAAATGCGATTCTGAACGAAGTATATCGTTGTCAGCGACGTCAAACGAGATAGTGAGTCAGGTATCGTCCGAATGAGGTTGAAGGAGAGATCAAGAACTCTGGGAACGCGTGAGTTCATAGCAAATTTGAGCAACGAAGAAGCTTACGAAAGATTGGATAGATGATCTAGTGCATGCCCTGGATCTTTGATTTTGTTATCGTACAAGTCGAGTTCTTCAAGTTTAGTCAAATGTTGGAACACCTCCGCATCGAGGACTGAGATATGATTTTGGCGAAGGCATAGACGCTTGAGATGGCTGGCAAATCTTGCAAGGCGGAGTTCATCCAAGGAGCTGATGCGAGAATGCACTAATTCAAGGTCCTTAGAATAAGAGTACACACTGAGGATATAGCTCAGCAAGAAATCGCGCGATGAATTTACCTCTGTATCGTCCGGCCAGTCCTGCAGGAAGTCACCCGCCTCTCCTTCGTATTGCTCCTCGGCATCCTCCTCTTCATCTGAACTCAATTCCGGAACAGGAAGCGCGACTCTGGTAGATCTATACGCATGAGATCAGATCCAAGGAAAAGGTGCATTGCATACTACGCATACTTTCCAGGAGCTTCTAGTGCCGTACTCGTACTATCTGTAAGAGCTGATGAAGCAGTCTCTTCGGCCATAGTAGGAATCGTTGGTCAAAGTGCGGGCCGGAAAGAATTGATCACCGGTGTCCACTTATGGTCAGTCAAAGCTGATATTATCAAGCGTATGGTATCACAGCTTATCACAGCAAGCGAGACGTTTTCAGAGTTTTCATATGTATCGTTTACTTGTATACCCAGCAAAATAATTTCGAAAAGTATTCCGAATCCTATTGATTGTCACAGCTACTCGAACAATATTAATGTATACAAGATCACAAAAAAAGACAACAGACAAGTGGCACAGATGCTACAAAGTGTCAAGGAATGAAAAATAATAACGTCTTATGCTACGGAATTTTTGAAACATAGTAGTAAGGTACTTCAACTTTAGCTCTCGGGAAGGCTCAAGCCTTGTATTACCGAGACGAACGATTGAGAATCGTACCTTTGTTTATTTGATACAGCCGATAACAGAGGATGCAAGTCGATGCAGATGTGGCGATGAGGAGAAACATGACTATTCAGCTCTAGGAGAGATTCGCATCATCATCGATTGCACGATGATGTCGGTGAAGTTTGAAGCCTACGAGGGAGGTCCTGAAAGGGTCGCAAGACAACGTACAAAGAAAAGGCCTTTCAAAGAAACGATATCAAAGGAAAAAAACACCACGCGAGGACTAAACTGAACACGAGGAGCGCCCGAGAAAAAATCAAAACCTCATGATGACTTGGCTTCAACCGGTGACCAAGCTTCGACCTCTCTCCTCATGATCATACTCTCTTTCGTACTCTTTCTCGTACCCGCAAAGCGCATCTTTACGCTCGCCACGATTATAACTGGCTTCATAGTACGAAGCTCTTGGCTCCGCACTGACGGGCGTGGGTGGATATCCTTCTCGATCTCTGCGAACTCGTTCGAATGATTGCGTTTGGAGCAAGGGAGGATTAGCCACCAGGGGAGAAGAGACCGATGATCCGTAGTAACTAGTCCGGCTGGCAGCGGTCGGGTGATGTGCGTGCCCTGCCGACTCCGAAGAAGCATTTACGTAGTGCGAAAATCCCCCAGCAGGCGTAGCGGCTCCGGTAGGAGGCGAAGGAGAAGACGTACCGACGCTCCGGGAAGCGCCATAAATGTCGTTCCCAGAAAATGAGCCTATACTGTCGTAAGTCGACACATACGACCGTCTCAACGACCCAGCGCTTGTAAATGGAGGAGTAGATGATGAATGATATGGTATCACTGCGGAAGAGGAGTAAGAATTTGTTATAGACCCAGTAGCCGACGTTGCAGAAGGAGGTGTAGAAGATTCCCTTTTGATAATCTTGTCTTTGCGCTTTCTTCCGCTGTTAGACACGACATGTCCTTCCTTCTTAGCACGCGAGCGAGCGTAGCGAAGCCCACACCTGTCAGGAGAACATATAGACATACATCGATTAACATGATTGGCTAGGATAAGCATGAAGACTGGTGAAGGCGTGACTCACGCATTGCATAGTTCTTTCTTGCCGCTGGGGCCCTTTCTCCATTCTGGACTGGACGTCGTCTTGCAACTGCTACACTTTATCAGGCCTGTTGGCCTATTACCGTGAGTGCGCTGAGGCCCTCCAGTGGCGCCATTGCTTCCTCGGTGCTCTGGCGATAAGCTAGGCGATATACGACGCCTCGAGGGTGGCACAAGGTCAGCCGTAGAAGACGTAGCCGAGGTTGGAGAAGGTGTGTTGCCGTTCAATCCGTCTAAGTGACTGGAAACGCTTTGAGATGAGTATGGTATATGCGAACCGTAGGGTGAAAAGGGTCGGCCGTAATTTCCATGAGATTGATGCCCTCCACTCATAGGAAGAGGTGCAGAAACACTAGACCCGTTTTCGTAACTCGCAGATCCATGACTCCAATATCCCGATCGAAGGCTTTGTACAGATGAATGAGAGTCAGGATTTGCCCAGTGGGCATACGAGTACTGGCTCGATGCCGGGAGGGTAGGTTGACCCGAAGCATAGGAATAGGTGCTTGTCGGCGGAGGTAGAGTCGTAGATGAAGTTAACGGTGGTAGGGAATATTGCGAATCATAAAACGGTTGCTGATGCGGAGGAGGAGGAGGAAGGGAATAAGAGGTCGATGATGGACCGTTGTAACCCATGAACGCGGTCGTATAATTCGGGGAGTTCAATATTGGGATTGTTGGATTAATGGGTTGAGAATGAGCAGAAGATGAAAGCGAGGAAGGAGAAGTTGAAACTTTGTGACACGCGAAAATCACACTGCCTGTGAGCGGCACGCAGGATACGTCAGGATAGGAGTATTAACGACAAAAACTGTTTATAAGTAAGATCCATTGACCATGCACTTACCATGTGGTATAAAGACGCTTTCCACCACATCTGTTCCGTGAAGTTCTTGCAAAGCTTTGAACCTACGAGTGCAATTCGTCTTTGCTTGCGAAATTGAAGAACCGCTTTGACGGAATTCGACGGATTTTGCAAGGTCAGTAAAATCTTTCTCTGACGAACCCTCTTGAGGAGGAGGCCAAGTAAAAAGTGACGGTCTTGCAGACGTGTTATTAAGAATTTGAAACACTCGTCCATGTGAACTTTTCGGTGCACACATCAGCAGATTATGAGACAGGTGTCGAAGCTGCTCCTCAGATATATATGGGGTGCTGCACCAATTAGACCATGAACTTTTGACGCGCTCATCGTTATCGGAGACAGGATCAATGTCTGGCGTTGCGTGAATGAAACAGAGGACGAGGCCTTCGGCTGCACAATTAATCACGAGGTCCACGGCTATAAAATCTTCGTCCAGGTAAACTTTGTCTGAATAACGAAAGTCGTCCTTTCTGAGCTCGCGCCGGATACGAGATGGTCTGGAAAATCGCACGCTAGACAACGCAAAGCGGTTAAGGAACAAAATTTGCGTTTTACGTTGTTGAATGAGGGTATATGCTCACTGGGTAATGCTGCCGTGTACAGTTTTGCTTTCCAATACTTGACTGAGATCCAACCGAGCCGTTGATTGCTCGTCGGGATGAACAAATTCCAATAAGGATCTTCCAACGACGGTACCTCCGAGATCAACTTGCATGATGGGGTCAAGGTACAAGAATACAAGGTGTGCTGAGAGTAAAGCCCAATCTTGGAAAAAGTCGAGTCAATGTCGTATAGATGACTTCGAAATGGGCGAATAGACACTCACAACACCTTTGCTGGGCGATTTCTGGTAGATGAACGGAAGAGGAGGAAGACGGGGTAGGGTGTGGAGAAGGAGTATCATTCTGGAAAATCGAAGCGTCTTCAAAGACGGACGACGTAGAGGGCTCATCAAAACTTCTGGATATATTTTGAACAGAATTTGAAGGTTCATTTTCGTCACGGAGCTGGAAAGTGTCCATAATGGAAGACGAGAATGCGGACGAGGTATTAGAAACGATCCGATCGAATGACTGGACTGAGGTTGAGTATAGGAGGCATCCAAGTCGTGAGTGCTTGCAAAAATCAAATTCCGGTTTTGTCTTTTGCTGAGCTAAACCTGCTCGGACTTGGCTCTTCAAAAATATTTTCAGATATTTGGTGTAGACGCGTGGTATACGACGATAATGTATGCACTTGAAGAAGGACTAAGTACATCAATCATCTGAACCGTTTCCGAATGACGATCACATCCACATCTGTACATCAAGCCGATCATATATAAAAATTTCCTCACAGCTTCCATCATCTCTATTTTCATGACCATTCCTCAAAAACCTCAGCAAAATTTATGGGTAGCTGCTGGCGATGGAGATTTGCCCCGGGTCCAAGTGAATCGTTTTTCCTTCCTACCGCTACCATGCTCACAGTCTCGGTAGGAACTAATCGAACATCACTGCAAGTCCTCCATCCGACTTTGAACAGATGAATCAAAGAATGACTTGCGCTGTTAGCTATGTCCCCGAATGCACCAGATCCAAATACATACACTCCAATGTCTGTTATCTCCATAAACTTCTCAATGAGCCCATTCATGAACTATGCCCAGGCACGCCGCTGCGTCTTATGGGCACATACATGTACTAGAGTACCTCATATCTCGTGGTATGCGTCATGCTAACCTCATTTTGCTCTCATCGCTCATTTTTGGCCAGGTGGAGACGTTAACGTTATCGACTCGGATGGTGACACGCCAATATACACAGTTGAAAACATTGACACCGCCCAATACTTGGTGGACAAGGGCGCGACAATTGATCGAGTTAACGAGGAGGGGATATCGGTATAATTTCCGTTAGACTTTGATCATCTTCTCTGATATCTTTCTAGCCGATTGCGCATCTCATGGAAGACTTTCCACAAGTATCTGCCTACCTCCAATCTCGTTCTTTACAGCCACCTCTTCCTCCATCCGTATCATCATCTTCTATCGAGACTATGACATCTCAATACGCTCAAAATGCCGTTTCTGAACAGCTTACTGTCTCACTGCTTTCTTCAGTTCAAGATTTAGTTGACCAAGGTGTTGACCCAGAATCAGCTGACGCGGAGCTACGACGTCGAGTTGAAGAGGCAGTGGTGAACGGGTTGTTGAATGGTTATACACTTGGAACACAAATTAGCAGTGAGTCCGGACAAGAGCCTGAGGGCACACATACGCGTACTCTTCCGGTGGATGATTCGGGTGGAGAGGAAAGCGAAAATAAAAGGCCCAGGACAGAGCGTTGAGCGCTTGAGCTCCAAATTTGCTTGTTGAAATTTCATCCATGCCCAAATGTACATCTGTCGTGAGCCACTCGATCGAAATACACTCACGATTGTTGAACGTTAAGACTCGATCCTACAAATTTGCGATCTGAAAATACATAGTGATCTTGAGATCAACATTTTCGCTTCCCAAGTTTCTTTATCCTTCAAAGACAGGTCCCGGCCCCGATTGCCTTGCACGATCATGATCATAGACTAGCATAGAATCCCCCTTCAACGTTCAACCCCCGCCTTCGTGCTGAGGCTCGCTGAGGATAGGATAGTAGTCAAGTCATGCATGATTATTATTGATAGTGTTTGTACTAAGGGGGGAGGGGATTTAAAACTCCCTCCGACTAACCCATTCAGTCAATCCTTCTCAATCTCAGTGCTCCTTCTTTCCTATAAAGGTGCAACAAATTTTGACAAGTCTAAACATGTACATATTTCTACATTGCGATATTCTCACGGGCTGAACACATTCGTCACTTGCTTATGTCAATCACGTGCAGTAATCGGCAATTTCTGTGTGCCCTAGCGCTTAGCGCCCGCCACTAGTTTATGGTACTTGTGACATACCTGACATACATACCTGTACACCTTCTACTATAGCACAACCACGGTCATATTTTCGTTCTCTTTCAGCTTCATATATCATGGAATTTCCGCAGGCTCACAGCCAAGAGCCTATGATGGCCAAAGATCAGCGATCGTCTCCAGCTCATAATGTTAATGTTGCGCCGCCTCCCATTCCATCCTCTGGATATCGAATCCCACTTGCAGAAAATTCAGCGTTTCCCACCGATCTGCGTCCTCTTTTTTTCGATGCTGACGGTGTTTCCCCTGTTTTCATGGGCAGTGCGATCTTCCCTGATTCTGTACATCCGTGCAAGATTGTGCCCGCATTGGATCCTAAATGTATGGTCCCTTATGGTGGAAGAGAGCACCACCATCACGGTCGATATGTGAGCTATGATACAATGACCTTCGGCCGTTTAACGATACTCAAGACGCCCGTATATATGCGAAATTTTAGGACTTGCTGCCATTGGACTCAAATACGATGGAATTCGTTCGCACTTCGCACGGACAAATACCCCACGGACGTAGACCCGTTGAAGGCGGATATGAAGAAAACGGTTGGTATGCTATGCTCACGAAACCAGCGAAACCGAACTCATCAAAGTACTTTGCAGGTAGCAAGCTATATCATGGAATTGCCACCGTAAATGGCGTACAAGTTCCTGGAAAGACTGGGCTTCATCTGTACGTTTCAATTAGCTACTGTCTGTACCCATCAACCGAATCGTTTTATCTTCAGCGGTGGTTGTAATGTTTCCTTTGCTGGAGGGGAACATGTCATTCATGAAAACTACGATATCTTGTAAGAGCTATTACATCCAGATTTTACGCTAAATTATTCATAACCTCTTTTATCTGAAATATAGATGTTGGAAATTCTAGTTCTATGAGTCTTTGACACCTCACATCTGACCACGGAAAGCAGTGGCAAGCATGCCAAATCCAAATGTTGTATTATACGAGGTAATAAGAATATGCAACATGATACAGTGTACAATATGTAGATGTCTGAACAAAATGGTTTATTTCTATACTTTGCCGCCTTTCCCCTTGCGAGTCTTCGCGACACTAGAGGACGATGCCTTGATGACCTTCGAGGCTTTCGGACGGTAGAATAGCTTGACTTTCTCTCGTCCACTGGATATCTCATCTGCTCGTTTGCCGGGCTTGAAGGTTAGACATCAGCATCAAAAGCAAACACAACAAAGGATTGCACCACCTTAAGATAATACACATGCCATCCACCATTACCCTGCATGGAAACCTCATCAAGACCTTCTAGAAAGCAAAGTCTCTTGAATAACTGCTCATGGAGTTCACCATCGAGATGCTTTCCGGCACCATACTGGGGGAGGCGATTGTAATTGCGTTCACGAATGAAGCTGGTATCTGCTCCCCTGAAAATAGTTCGGCATTGGTCGAGGGTAACAAGCTGTGTGGTGATGGAATGGAAATGTTGCACAAGACTAACGATAGCTTTGGCCTCCTCTGTTAAATCCTGCTCAACCATTTCCACAGCGTGACGACAATTGTCGCAAAACTGATGACAGTTACGACGTTCAAATTTCTCGCCGAAAAATTGGAGGAGCTGCACACGACGACAATCGGATACGTTCAAACAATATTGCATGACGATTCTGGCCTGTAATTCCTGCCGTTCTCGAGCTTCAGGACTAGCAAGTTCTGAAGAATCGCCATTCCTTGGGTTATTGATCATCTTTACAATCACCTTGTAATCACGATACGAGTAGACTAGGCTTGGAATCAATACCAAGAAAACAACTGGAAAAATAGACAACGTACATAACAGACAATCGGCAGGTTTTTGATCACGACCCGCTCGACCTGGAAAAGATATGAGAACCTAGCAATAATTGACAATGGTTTAAAGCCCACCAGTCTCTTGATAATAGCTAACAAGACACATCTTTAGGTGACCACTTTACAGAGAACTTCGAGTAATGACTCACCCGTCAAGAGATTTTGGAAGATCATGGTGGATCACAAACCGTACTGGAATCTTTTGTCAGCAAATCCTAACGTCAAAGAACTGCTTCATTACCGTTTGCTTTGTCTATGCCCATTCCAAAAGCAACCTAACAATTAACAGTCAGACTGAGAGCGAGGTAAGGTTATAAGGGTCTTACTGTGGCAACCACTATCTGGATACGGTCAGACTGCCATTCTTGCAAAACCTGCTCTTTGTCTGTGGTACTCATTTGAGCATGGAAATGTCTTGCTTTCAAGCCTTTCTGTCGTAACTGTCCTGCAACTTTCTCGCACTTGTCTCGACCAAGACAATAGATGATACCAGTCTCTCCTCGATGCTTGGTATTAATGAAGCTGTAGATGTCATCCAAAATTTTTGCTTTTTTGTCAAGGATAAGGTAGTTGAGATTCACGCGGTTGAAAGATTGTTGGAAGAAAGCACAGTTTTTGAGCTTCAGTCGTTTCATGATATCGTCGACCATGGTTTGATTGGCCGTTGCAGTGAGAGCCATTATTGGGACCCTGGGATAGGTCTCGCGAAGGGAGTCGAGACACTGATACTGAAGCAATCGACATAAGCATAGACAATGCAAGGAAGGTAGAATGTGCTTACTGCTTCTCGGAAATCATGTCCCCATGTGGAGATACAATGTGCCTCGTCCACGACAAACCGTGCCAAGTCTCCCGCTCGATAAAGATCAGCAAATATAGATTTGAGAGCCCCGCTGTCTTTGACCTTTTCAGGTGACACGTAGAGAAGACTAGGTTTCGGATATCCTCGTAGTCGTCTCATTATCTCTCCATGATCGACCGTTTCCGAGTTCCAAACCAAAACGTCCACATCTTTTGTCTTCAAGGCATCGACCTGGTTGGTCATGAGAGACAGCAGCGGCGAGATGACGATAGTAACACCTTTGGTTGATCCGCCATTACAGACCGCAGGAAGCTGATAGCATAGACTTTTACCACCTCCGGTAGGCATGAGAACAAACACGTCACGGCCTGCCATAGCTGCGAGTATCGCTTCCAATTGATTCTGTCGGAAATTCTTTAATCGGAAGACGCGTTGTAGATTCCGCATTATTTCCTTATAGAAAGGGTGATTCGCGAAAGCCGTATGGTCCGGCGTTTCTTCCCTTGACATTGGGACTTCGGCGAGAGATTTATTTACATCAGAGAACGAAGCATCGAGCACGGCGCTTAGTTCAGGGGCCTCGTAGTCCATGTCGTCTTCTGGCCAGTAGAAATCATCGCTGTTTGGACCAGTCTGGTAATCCGACTCCTCTATGTCGTCCTCAAAGGAATCGAGGATGGGATCAGAGGAAGATCGGTTATGGTCGCTGGACAATCCATTTAAGGTTTCGGACGAAGCTATGGACACAGAGCTTGAGTTGTGGATGCCATCGAAATAAGGCGATGTAACCAAGCATGGGTCACAATAAGTGCCCTCCTTAGATTCCAGAATTTGACGTATGGCATTGATTCTGCTGCTAAACAGTGTCCTAGAATGCGAATTAAACCGACCAGCAGGTGTTCGTCTCGCTTGTAACACGTACTCGATACCCTCCAAAGTGACAATATCCACTCTTGAGTTCCGTGACTTTCGATACTGTTCAATCGAACAGTTGTTGGTATGTTGCAGAGAAAGGACGAATTCAAGAAGCCCGCGAAGGTCAGCAACGCTTTTCTAAAACGAAGTGATGAAGAATCCGCATGATGGAAAGTGGCAAAACAATATACCGATTCCAAATCCTTGTGATCTTGAGTAGGGTGCTGAGGGTGCTGGTTCAGACGAGGATTACGTTTAAATGAAGGAAAATCGATATCCAGTTGGTCAAAAGGATCGTACAAATCTCTCTTTGTGAGAGAAGCACGTTCGGTGGACTCTTTGGAACAAACGTCGACCAATCCTTCCACATCATCCATTTCTTTTGCTTTCCCCTTCCCATTTATGTCGCCATTGATAAACGACAAATTCTCTTTGTCGTCAAAGAGGCCACTTCTACGTCGTTTAGAGGGGAAGGCGTCAGTTATATGTTGTGTTTCCAGTTGACGCTTCGAGCGCGGACTTGGCGAAGAGCAAGATAGGTCAATTACTTCACGAGCTGTAGACGTTTCTGGTTCTGATTTGCGCGCCTTCGGCTTTCCGAAACCTGGGGTGCGAAAGGATGGGAGGGCATTATGCCCCACTAACAAAAGACAGTCAAATAGGATATTTCAGATATGGTGTACTAGATTCCTTACACGCCGCTGTGCTGGAAGACGGAGTTGCGTTGGTCGAGGGTTTAAATTTGGACTGATTAGGGTTAGTTAGCGACTTGATTGAGACGCTCAGGCAAAACGTACTTTGGCCTTTGGTACCAGTACCGGGAGCGAAGACAGTGTATTGGGATCAGAGATGCTACCTCGCTTCTTCAGTACATCGTCAAGATTGTTCTTTGGTCCAATGGACATGAGGTGGGGAGGAAACTTATTAAATAATACAAAGTTTGGATCAATGGCCGGGAAGTCGTCATGTGATCGCACTGTCAACGGGCGTTTAACTTTCTCTGTTTCCAAGTCCCTAAGATCCTTCCCAGCGTGATAAGACAATTATGGCTACAGGTGAGGAAGATAGTATATGCATCCATAGGCGCACTCACTACTAGGACTACAGCGCCACGTCGAGGAATCAAACCAAAGATCGTAAGTCAAACTTACTTTGACTGCTTGATGGAGTAACTATGAATTTCCGTGAACAGAAACCTCCTAAGAAAGTGTGTATCTGCTTCGATCGACTAATAAACAAACTTGTTCATAATTCAAAGCACGGACCCGCTATCAGTGTGGAGGAGACCTGGTCAACCTTGTCTCAAAATATCAAAGAAATCCTCAACCATAATGCTGCAAATCTTTCGTTTGAAGAAAATCACCGCTATGCATATCACTTGGTGCTGTACAAGAACGGCGACATCCTTTATCGGGGGATGAAGAAAATTGTAGCAGAGAATTTGGATAGGCTTGCGAAAGAGGAAATTATATCTGCCTTTCCTACAACGGGTACCGGTGATCCGATGCAGAGGAGCCAGGAGAACGAGCTGCTTCTGAAGGCTTTAAAGAGTGTATGGGATGATCATACTAGCAATATGGCGAAGTTAGGCCAAATTCTGAAGTACATGGTGCGCCACGATTGCTCTGAACTTTCTGGCTCTTTACTGATGCGCTTTTAAGGATCGCATATACACTAAACCTGCTGAGGTGCCAGAAACTTGGGAGGCTGGACTCCAACTATTTCTCAAACATATCATTTGTCCTCCTATTAAAGATCATCTCTTGACCGCAGTCTTGAACCAGATACAATATGAACGGGAGGGTTATACAATCAATCGTTCTGCCGTCAAAGGCTGCGTCGAAGTCTTACTGAGTTTGGATTCCGATGACAATGCTTTAACGGTATACCAACAAGACCTAGAACCTGTGCTACTCAGGGAAAGCGAGGCGTTCTATAAAAGATACGGCGACACCCTTCTCGAAACGTGTGATACTTCAGAATATCTGTCAAAGGTCGAAGGAATCCCAATTTTTCCGAAAGTTTTGCTCATCCTTCTATAGGTCGCATCTCGCTTTGAATCGGAAGAATCCCGAACCCATCTTTATCTTTCCAGGAAAACCGCTGAACCACTTATGCGAATACTTCAAGATAATCTTCTCGCTGTTCATCTTGACGCTGTTATCACCATGCCTAATTCTGGCCTCGATGCACTCATCGACTTGGACAAATTCGAAGATTTAGCACGACTGTATCATCTTTTTGGCATGGTTCCTAACGGGATTCCCTGCCTGAAAAAAACTCTCAAAGCTTCGATCACTAGAAGAGGGCGCGATATTAATCAAGCATCGTTAGGGGACGCTAGTGGTGGCGGAATCGAATCAAAAGACGCTGATATGGAATCGCGAAAAATAAAAGATAAAGGGAAAGGCCGTGCAATAGCTGCGAGCCAGACTCTGACTACAGCACTGAAATGGGTGCAAGATGTCCTTGATTTAAAGGACAAGATAGATTCCGTTTGGATAAAATCCTTCGCCAGCAACCCAAAGGTCGAAGCGACTATGAACGAAGTAGTCATCCAAGTCTTTGTTGAAACCCCTCATTTATGTGCTCTTTAGGCTTTCGAAACGTTTATCAATAGTAACGATAAGTGCTCAGAATTCATATCTTTGTTTATTGATGACCATCTGAAGAGAGGGCTGAAAGGGGCAAGTTTACTTGGTCAAAGCTATCCCGTGTGAGCACTAACCATGGTCCTATTCATAGAAAACCGACGAAGAGGTGGACGTTGTTTTGGACAAAACAATCACTGTCTTCCGATATCTCACTGAGAAGGACGTCTTTGAGCGATACTACAAGAATCATCTTGCAAAGCGTCTTATTCAAGCGAAGTCTGTATCTGACGACGCAGAACGTGGAATGTTGGCGAAGCTGAAAATAGAATGTGGATATCAGTTCACTCAAAAATTGGAAGGGATGTTCCATGATATCAAAATCTCGGCGGATACCATGAAGTCCTACAAGGAGCACCTCGCAAAATCGATACCGGTATGTTAACCACGTTTACATTGTGCAATTGAAGTGTCACTGATGCTCCTGGTATACTACTCTTAGTCACTTTCCATTGACCTTTCGGTGATAGTCATGACATCGACCTTCTGGCCGTCGCATTCTTCGTCACCGTGCAATTTGCCTCAACAATTGCTGGACACTATAAAACCGTTCGAGGAGTTTTATCTTTCTCAACATTCCGGTCGTAGACTTACTTGGCAACTTTCCTTGGGAAACGTTGATGTGCGAGTTGCGTTCAAAAGCAAAAAGCATGATCTTAACGTGACCACATTTGCCGCGGTCATTCTATTACTCTTCGAAGATCTCAAAGACGACGATTTCCTGACTTACGAAGTATAGACTGAGCCTTTCGTCACCTCCATCTTGACATTGACTCCTAGATTACCTGCAGGACATTCAACAAGCCACTTCTATAGACCACGCCGACCTACAGCGTCAGCTACAATCCCTAGCATGCGCCAAATATAAGGTGCTGAGAAAGCATCCTCCAGGTCGCGACGTCCAGAGTAGTGATGCCTTCTCTTTCAATTCGGCTTTCACTGCACCTCTGCAAAAGCTCAAAATCAGTACGGTCTCTTCGAAGGTGGAAAGCGGAGAAGAATTGAAGGAAACCCGAGATCGCATAGACGAGGAGAGGCGGCATCAAACAGAGGTTTGTCCTCTGTCGTGCAGTATTCTCAGTAATTCTGATCTTGTTGACCAAGGCATGCATAGTTCGAATAATGAAAGATCGCAAGCACATGTCACATAATGACCTGGTCAACGAAGTGACACGGCTTCTTGCTAGTCGGTTTCAGCCGAATCCTCTCATTATCAAGAAACGTATTGAAGGGTTAATTGAGGTATGCGTTAGTCTTTCAAATACTGAATAATCCTGACAGCGATCTTAGAGGGATTATCTCGAACGGGCCGAGGATCGTAAATCTTACAACTACCTCGTGAGTCTTAGGCGAACAGGACTCATCGTCTGCTTTGACTAACCTAGAACAATCTTTAGGCATGAGGTTTTAAATCTGTGACTTACATTAGCATGTACACTATAGCATTTGTTTCCGACGATGGATAGAAGTGTGGCGCAGCATTGTCATATTCGACTTTCAATACCGTGCATTACATGAAGTTTCTGGTCTGCACTTTGATCTCTTGAAACTTGGACTATCAGGACGCTTGTTCAGCCTTGTTGCCCGTTCTGAGTTACTACTCGGAAAAGAGAGCTGTAAGGGCGGTCCGATCCAAACATGACTGTTTATACATGTATAGTTTAAGTAAGCTTAATTTAGACTGCACACCTTCAGACAACTACTCTTTGCCCTCAGTGTCTCTACTATTCTACGTAACTCCTGCAACGTTGATGGTATGGAAGTATTTGGCATGGATCGTCAGCAAGAGTGGAGATACTCACCTTACACATGGCATCAGGTATGCACGACATCGACGTTCCGCGACAGAATAGGAAACTTAACAAACTCCTGAAATTTCAATGTAACAGTCTCACGACCAAGTAAGAAGCGCACCAGCTCCAAGAGATAGCAGTATTGATCATTGTGCAGGCCACAGTTCTATTGATGATTCCATTTGAGGCAACCGAAGAAGACATATCCGTCACTATTGACTGTAACTACATTTTCGCCGGGGTATCTGGTCAGGCTCCCATAATCAAGGTGTGGAATGGCTCTTCAATTTTATAATTGCCCCCATTCATTCCATGCGCTCAAAGGGCCGTCTGTATGGACAAGTGGATCCAATTGCTTCCTCCTGGCAGCTCGAATATCAGCCACATCTATTCCGCCCCTCTCCCAGAGAGCGCACGACATCTACCACCTCCGTGACCTCCGCAACATCCGCTTCTACCCATTCATCCTACGCTTTCATTTCCGACCCGGAAATGTCTAGCAGTTTTGCGGCATCACTTGAGAATCGTGATGCATCTCCATCTCCCGTTCTTTCCTCTCCGTCTGATCGAAGCTTCACTCTCCATCAACAACTTTTAATTGCTCCCCACCATTCTCGGCCTGTGTCTCCTCGTAATAGCATGCACTCGTCGTCTTCCTCTTCGTTTGCCTCCCTTGATTCATTGTCCCCTAATACGGCTGCTGGAGGACATAACGGAAAATTATTAACGCTCCATCTTGAGAAATCCCAGACCGTTATATGGCCATCGCTTATTATCGGACCTGCTCCGGACACCCTGACACCCTCTGTGTGTTCCCCCATCACTGCTGTAGGCGCCGAGGTCGAACAACAGTATAATATGGACCCAACGAGTTTAACACTCATCGCGTTAGAGTTACTTGATATACGAATGGATAAAGAAGAAGCTTTCGAGTGTTTTCTGTAAGTCACATAGAATATTGCAATATGCATCTGGATTCACTTCCTTTTCAGACGAGCCTGGCACCTTGCTCATGTACCAACGGCGACCATGAAACTTGTTTCATGCTATTTTCCAATATACACATCGTATGACATTCCGGACAGTAACATGAGTAATGAACAGCATGTACAACGGGGTACGCAGGCATATTATCTCCAGTGCATTGGGGGTCGCACCGGTCTCGCTCGGCTCTACATCGAAGCGGGGATGTTGTACCTGGAGGGCACCGCTTCAGGCCTGATTTCCTCTTCGCACTCAAGCCTCGCGTCGATACGAATGCCTTTGCCACCATACGGCAGTGCCACAGTAGGCCATAGTCCCAGCGGGACGGAGGTATGGAGAAGGGATCGTGTAGCTGCCGCTAGATTTTTCGAGCGAGCAAGAATATTGCAGCCAGGTTTGGAGACACCAATGTTACCTCTGTCTGCCCCGGGATCGGCAGAAGAGATGGCTGTTGAGTTAGAAATGCAGATGCAAATGCCATCAATTGAATTGGATAGCGCACTGAGGACAGATCCATTTCCTGAGAACCATTTGCGAGATCGACGGCGGAGGGGGAAAGGACAGGAAGACGCTGTCCAAGCTCAGGAAGGGAGCAGATCCCTGGTGGGTAAAACAGCTGGTGATGTGGACAGTACATGGTACATGCTCCTCCCTAGTCTTGTCGGCGCTGGCACTGCGCTCGTGATTGTCGGTGTAGTAGGTGTTTTGAGCTTTTCTTGGTCGAGGAGGAATCAAGGATCTTGATCCATCAAGTGGACTTGTGATATTCTTGGTTGAATCCTGTAGCACATTTTTGATTGTAGGGCAAATACTATAGGTCTGTTCAGTGCTTGGTAACTGTCTATGCTATCAGATGCAATGTGTAAAACGACTATCTCCCCAAGAAAATGTACCTCGAATTAGACCGCGGATTAGACCAACGTTCAACCTTTGTTACCTTTCCCCCCACTGTGCATACAATTTATTTGAATCACGACATCGCTCTATATATAGGACAGGAAGAAAGACTTGCGCACTTACCTGGGAGATAAATTTATCACCGTGGTATGTATACAGACGACGGTAGCTTAAACATGGCAGGCGAGAACTATTTTGACTATACCGAGAAATATTGCCTGCTGTTCTGTGTGACATGATGAGGATAATTGGGAATTTACAACATAAATGGTGTCATCGTTAGAGTCAAGTTGCCTGCCCCAGTTTTTTTGTTTCGCACCATTACGATTTATTAATCACGGTGGTAGCCTTTAGTCCGTTCATGGACACATCGACCGGAAAGAGAAATGCAAATTCGTTATGAGTAATCTGCTCAACCGACGTCTATTACTTCGACAGAACTGAGATGTTCGTGGCATTATTCTTCAACTAGTGAATGCTATGTACATCTCATCCCGTCGAGCGGAATTTTTTATCACTTCAGACGTGAGATTAGGGGAACAACCTTGGGTAGCCTTAGAGCTTGTATGATGTAGGGACTTGAGGGAAATCAAGGCGCGGAAATAACACACGGGAAATTGTCTTAGCAGCCGCATATTGATCAATGTCCGAAACCCAAAGCAGACCTAAGCAGACCAGCCATCTATATGGGACTATTCCAAGGTGCTCCGGGAAACAGGATATGAAGATGAAGGCTTTTTCAACGGTCGGTATTCCATATATGTAAATGCATATTCCGTTCAGAGATGTAAACGTTAACCTTCTGGATGGAACTTCCTCATTGACGTGTAATGTTTGGTTCTTGTTCATATTTCCTGTAAGAGAAAGCGTTGCTTGCGTTTAACGCAGCGTATTAGTAGAGATAGCATACAAAGTTCAAACCGACCTTTCAGGTTCCAAATTGCCAAGGAAGAAAAAAAAAACAGAACGATAACATTCGATCACAATTTCAGCCTCCACGGGAAACAGAAATCAGTGAGGGTTTTTGGAAAATATTACGCCGGAGGTGCACCTTCGTGCAGAGAGGTTCACTAATCTATGTGGGGTCCCAAGGGGCCCAAGTGGCCACACAGTCCCAACGGGAAACGTTGGCCCAAGGGAAATTAGGATCGGCTCGCAACTCACAATATTGCGTGCGATGCGAGACATTCATTGCACAACATGTTTAAATTTCATGGTCCATAACAGTACATAACGGGATATCCGAGTGATTGTCGAACACCATTGTATTGAATCTAGGAGAGAAACGTTGTATCGTTTATTCTGGAATCTGGTACCTGTAAATAAGCTCAGCATATGACCTGTAGTTTACAAAGGCAGGGTTCGTTCGTCGTTTTGGTCAAAACATATGGGTAGGCGAAGTCACCGCAGAGGATCCGGGCTACGCTGCGGTCAGCAGGTGCCAGTTTGTAGGCGATTTGAAAATTTGAATGCCGGTACGGACATGAACATGATTATAACGTCGGCATGTGCGACGGAGTGAGGACAGTCGAGGTATTTTGGCATAAGCTTAGCACTTCATGTTTTACTTGTTAGCTTTGTTCGACAAAGAAACAGAATCCAACGTTCGCCATAGTTTTCAAAGATAAATACCGAGGAAATGTGCATGGGAAAAGCTAGAGCTAAAAAACCTACAATTGCTTGAATCATGATGAAGACTGAGAAAGAGTACTTGTGCGCACGTGGACTCCCGAAAGGGAAATGAATATCTTTGTCAAAATCTTGCCGTTTTATTAGGCAGGCAAAACATTTGTGTCATATAAGGACCGCCATGACTATTGACAAGACCGTCGCAGTTATTCCCTCATGTCCACTGTACACGATTATCCGTTGGAGCTTCTGTCCCGAATCTGTGCCCATATATACTCCGCATGTCTTCCCCCTGTCGAAACTTCGTTGGATCCCCTCATTATAACTGAACACGGTGTACCTGTCTCTCTTCCATCTACCCTTCCGCCAAGTTACTGGCCGGAACAAGATTCGCGTCATACACTTTCCAGCCTTTGCCTTGTGAATCACGCTTGGTACGAGGCTGCGAAACCCTGGCTATGGCGTAAGCTGGAGGTCCGCTTGCCCCGCTCCTGGTTATCACTCGTTGACGAGATTGCATGGGATCTTGAAGAAGAGACCGTTGATCAAGTCATGGAAAAAACTGTTAGAGCTGCAACTGACGCTGCCCTGCGGTCTGCATCTTCCAGCTTTGTCGTTGACAAGGATGCGGAGAAAGAACTTCACGCGACTGTCATCGACTCCATTGCTTTGCCTGAAGAATCAGTTCCTCTCGAACTCCTTTCCCCGGTAGCTTCCCGTGAGCCGAGCCCAAGAAGATTCAGGACAAAGAGCAAGAGTCCGGCTCGCTGGGAGCTCGTGCGTACCATCAGCGATGCAATTCAAACTGTGCTTGATAGCAAATCACCCGGTTTTTACGGTGCGTAGTGACTGCTTCATTTATTAGTTGGGCATAGTTCTAATCTGTCCTCCCTATCAGTACCCATTCCCCGTGATCCTCGTCCAGGTCGTTTTGTGCAACATCTCGATTTCAATCATTTTCGGACTATTGGAATGCGACGTTCTGTAGACGACGGAGCCAACAGCAGATTTGTCACCGGTGATCGTGTTGAGGCCATTTTGAAGGTTAGTGGTCTTCTTTTGCTGAAAGAAACCAAAGATGTTGATTAAGGACCAAGTACAGGAAATGCCCAATCTGACGGTGTTTGGAGCTACGGAATATATGGATGGCGCATTGACTCTACCCGTGCTCAACGAACTGCTTTTACGTGGGGCTCCCTCTCGTGGTCGCGGTCGCCCTTCCCGTGGCCGAGCTTTTATAAACGTTAGTGACGCAGAGGAAGAAGATCGAGAGAGGAGACGAGAGTGTGTTGAATTGGAGGCTTTAGATTTCACCGGTTGCGTCAGTGCGGTCTTCGTAAATGCTCTCACGGAGTTTGTCACCACTAATCTCCTTCCACCGTTTGAGGGTATCTCCGAAAGGGATGTCCTTCATCGTTTTGCGACCACATCCTTGGATGATATGTTGTTCCTGCCAGGGCTCCAGCGCCTTGGATTACGTGGGGTCAAGTCTGTGCTACCACACATACTTACTCCATTTGTTTTGGCATTTCCGTCCCTCACTCATCTCGATCTGTCCGGAACTCGAGCGTCCTCGGAACTTCTAGCTGCTTTGGGTCAATCTCCAACTGTTCGACTGCAATCACTCGCACTGAGCCGTTGTATCCGGCTTACCAGTGCGGGTATCCGTTCGTTTTTGATTGATTCTCCTGTTACTTCCAATTTGACGGAATTGAATTTATATGGGGACATGACCTTCGTCTCACCGCTTGAAGAACATGATCTGAAGGACATCTTATCGTTGGCGCCATGCTTTGTTCGAGGAAATTTAGTGTATCTTGATTTGTCAAGTGCCCCTCTAACCCAAGATGTTTTGGATGTGTGCCAACCCCTACAAAAACTACGCTCTCTTGGGATGTCCCATATACCCGACCTTCCGTTGAAAATTGTATCAACTTTCATTCTGAGCAAGGCGCCACATGTTGAAGTACTCGCTCTGGTGGGTACCACACCTGAGCTTGACTGTGGGTTGAGACCAGGAAACACCGGACCTGTAGCACAGCGAGGCACAGTACGACAGTCATGTGTAGCTCTGCACTCGCGCTTAATCAATCCCTTATGCACGCCTCCGTTCTCGTTCAGTATCCTTAACCCCGATTCTCGAAAATCTCAAGCACCAACGAGCTTGCGAGTAGTCGAACTTTCTCAAGTCATGCTTGGCGGCCTCGGTGGCGGCGCCGGAAGCTGGAGAATTGTGAGAAGCAAAGGTGGTCGAGGTTGGTATGTCGACACTTCCAGTGGATGGGTCAGTCAACCTGGGGAAGGAACTTGTCTCAGACGCGACCTGGGGCTCGATCATCCATTACGGAGGGAATTACAAGCACTAGCTGATGCCAATGGGAATGTCAGCAGCGGAGTTGGCTGGCACGCCCGCAAAATGGAGGTACGTTACTTCCAAATGTATCGTTAAGTATTTGTACTGACAACTCCGCAAACCTAGGTTCTCCACGGGAGAGGAATGCTGGGTCGCGAGGATGGTCTCTACGGTGCTGTCAGTTTTGCATACCAGGGGTGACACGTCCAGAATGACGGTTGAATTTGTCTACCGGAGTTACTGTATGTACGCTCAAGAAATTATCATATATGAGCATTTAATACCATTATTAGTATTCAATGAACGCCCTTGTACGCCCCGTTAAATATGATCGTTGTACTTTCGCTTTCGATACAAGAACGTTGAAACGTTGAAGTCACCTTGCTTGCAAGCATTCTACCCCAGAGTTGAGTTCTTTGATGTACAAATACACTTTGAAATGGTTTTATTTTCAAGGTTCTACAGTTCACCATCCTTCACCTACATAGCATATGGAGGCTCTGCTCATGGCGCGCCCTATGTATTCGCGCCGCATTTTTTAAATGTACTAAGAAAGGAGTCCGTTTGGACATTGGGAGCCGCCTACTACATAGCGTCCAGACTCTACTGGCAGTGTATGTATGTAAGCGCCTACTGTGTTACGCTTGGCGTGAGCAAAATTAACAGCTTTATAAGTATAATTTTGATCTAGCGGCTGATCGAATCGATGATTGTGACGTAAAGTCTGAGTGTCTGAGTGCGAATTTCGAAAGTTCAAATTGCTTAACAGGCCGCATCTACTTGCTCAACTTCCATCTTGCCCCCCAAAATTCTTCTAACTCCGTCATGTTTCCAGAGTCTGTTGAAGAATCCACTGAATCGAGGCAGCCACTGTTTCAACCTGCATCCAGCAGCGCTGTAGGAACGAGAGTTGAAGTGGGACAACCTGGATTTTCAAAAAGGACCAATACTGGAAATAATGTGAATCGGACCCCTACACGTACTTCCTTCAATTTGCAACGTGCGAAAACGAGCTTGCTCACTCCTACAAAATCTATTGGACCTGCACCGAGTTTTCTTCAGAGCATCAAATCAATAGTCATGGCGTCTTGTGCGTGTTCATCATTCTGACTTGAGGCGAAATTAGTCTTACCTGTGGGTTTACAGGGCTAAATTTACTTTTGGTCTGCATCCCAGTCTCTGTACGTCGACCCCACTCCTTTCATTCCGCTCGTTGAACGTTGATTGCTTGTCCTAGTGGGCACTTAACTTTGCAGTGAAAGACCAGCATACACTTGTTTTCGTTTGTGTGTCTGCTTTACCCTCGAATTGAACATTGTGCTGATCTTCTTAGTCTCATTTCTGTCTATCATACCCCTTGCGAAGGTGTGCGCCGTATCTGTCCACCTCAAATCCCTGAGATTAAATATGCATGCTGCAGCTTCTTGCTTTCGCTACTGACGAATTATCAATACGTGTCGGTCAAACCCTGGCTGGTCTACTCAATGCCACATTGGTTCGCCACTTTTTCTGCCAAGTTTCTATGCACTCACATACAGAGCAGGGAAATGCGTAACTCGTTTATGTGTCCTATTATTAATCTATTCTCATTAACGTTTCAAGTGTGGAGCTCATAGTTGCGGTATGTCATGGTTTATCTTCGTGGCCGTCATACAATACTGACGATTTTTGGAATAGATCATCGCTCTGACGCAGTGCAAATTGCACATTGTGCAATCGTCATGTAAATTTAGTTAGTTGCACCCTTGTAGACGAACTAACTGCTTCTTAGTGGTCGGATCGATTCTCAGTAATCTGCGTAAGCGTTCTTTTATTGATGGTCGTCATGTAACTTATGGTTCTGGATCCAGTCCTCGTTCTTGGAATGTGCTTTTTTGCAGGCGGTCTTCGGTTCTCTGAGCAAGGATTCAGTGCAGGTAAACATTCGTTCCATACGTACGCGAATAGCCTCTCTTCACACAATTTATTCAGTGGCAACCCAATTAAACTCATCGTTGCTAACTTTGAGTGTTATTGCTGTGTTATTGCCTGCTGCATTTCACATGAACGTCACTGGTTCGACGGATTCCGATGAAGGTCAAGATATTTTGAAAGTTAGTCATGGGGTACGTTTGATGTTTTTTTGTTTACTTGTGCTCTGTTAACACATTACTTTGATTAGGTTGCCCTTATCCTTCTCTTTAGTCAGTGATATTGTTATCTTCGGGATGTTCCTTCACCAAATTTTCCTTCAGTTTACGCCTCTTATCTATTTTTCCAACTTTACTCTCATGCCACACTATATACCGACGATGGTGTTCCACCCTCCATCCCTTATCCGAAAAAGAAGGCTGAAGGGGCTGAATCCCAAGTTGGTGGAGATCTAGAGCAAAGCAAGCCGGTGGAAGATGAAGAGACACCCCAAATGAGCCTTTACACCACTATTGCTCTATTGGTTATTGTCACTGTTGTGCGTGTCCTCGCATCTATCATGTGTTTTGCAAACTCACGCGGTGGATAGCTTGTGGCCGTTACAGCGGAGTGGTTGGTAGATTCAATCGACGGTTTGACTGCAACTGGTGCAATTCAAGAGGAGTTTGTTGGAATCATCTTGCTCCCCATTGTAGGCAATGCTGCGGAACATGTCACTGCTGTCACTGTTTCTGTAAAGGACAAGTTGACTCTGAGTCTTGGGGTGGCCGTTGGATCCAGCATAGTGAGTTTGCTCATGGACCGTACCGGAACTGCAGTTTGTTGATACAGTACCAATTTTGCACGTTAGCAAATCGCTCTTTTTGTCATACCGTTAGTTTGCTTTTGATCTTAGGTCGAACTATCAGCTAACCTTTATTTCTTTAGTTTCATCATCACTTTGGGGTGGATCTTGGGAAAGCCGCTCACTCTTCTGTTTGATCCTTATGAGTCAATCACGTTGTTTCTTGCCGGTATGCATTTCACCTTTTCTGAATCCACTATTCATGATATGACCGCATCTAAATGTTTGATATCCAGTGCTTACCGTTAACTATTGTGTGCAAGACGGCAAATCAAATTGGCTCGAAGGCATGATACTCATGTGTATGTCGCGTCATTTGCACAAGGTTTATGGGCTGATGTTTTCCTACCTCTAGGTTTATATGTTATACTCTGCGTCACGTTCTGGTACTATCCTGGTTCGTTCCGATTTCAATTTCATTGTTAATATTGGTTGATTAAACCTTGTCATCGTCTAGGCTCAGACCCTTCAGGACTCCTCAATACATGTACTTAATCACTCCAAATCGTCCTCGGAACTTTTCGATTTTACGGGGTTCTTAATACATGCAGCTAACTAGTAACTTTTATCCCCAATACCCGATTCACGCTTTACATTTTCTCAAACTCTTGATAATGCACGATATGTATGTATTTCACAAGCGTACTAATACTACTATCAGTCTATTTCCATCTAACATTCACTCCTATACGTATCACAAATTTGGACTACATCCCACGGATAATTAGCACAATCCCTCAACGACGTAATGAAATCTATGACATCCGTTCAAAGCATCGCTTGTGCAGTTTCATGCAAGCTCACGGCTGCGGAGGCGAGCACCACAACCCCGCGTTCTTTGACCTTAGTGACTTTTTTCAATCGGAGATTTTTAGGATTAAACGACACCAATGAGACGTTATGAACTCACTGAAAATAACTTTGAACTTCTCCTTCCACATTTCAGTGACGAGGGTTTCACCTGGGTATACAACACCCGTGAATCTTCGGTTCAGAGTATTCAGAAAGTAAAATATTGCTACCGAACTTCAAGACTCACCGAACCTTAATGTCCTGAAAGGGACCGAACGTCTGCAAAACGTGTTTGCCTGCTATGCCCATCGAACATAGCCCATGGAGGATGGGTTTCTCAAAACCCCCAACGGCTGCGAATTCCGGTAATATCTGGATGTTCCTACATCGTTAACGACCAGCGTATGATAGTAGTGATTTATTCCTACGTGGAGAGGGTTGATGTCACCGTTTAATCTTGCAGTTGGATATTTAGCAACAGTGCGAGCTCACTTATATATCGAAAGTATACTACATACCTGTAAAGAGCGGCTTGAGATGGATGGGTTTTTTCCTCAAAAATGGCGTCTGGGGCCCTCGCCGGGGGTGTGTTGGAGGCGGAGGCAGGACCACGATCTGTAAGAACACATAAACAATCATATCAAAATGAAAAGAAGATATATAAATACGCGCCATCTCCTGTGCGTTTCCCTCCGAATCCGCCTGACCCACGGATGAAAACAGTGGATTGATTTTCGAATATAAGCTTTCCGCTATGTTGGTCTCGTGTCTCGACAACAGTGGTGACAGCTGCTGCATTATCCTTGTCCAGTATCTCCAGAAACCTGGCAATATGTGAGTCCACGAAGGCGAAAAGAGACGAGAGCAAACCTGGCAGAATTTACAAGATCCCCACTAGTAGGGATTGGCGCTTTGATGCTGAGGTATTGTTCTCCATGAAGCAACTTGGCCTATGACTGAGTTGTATATAGGGGAACTCGATAAATATAAGTGGAAGGGAAGAAAGTACCGGATTGAAATTTGGCAACCAATCCAAAGACAGCGAGCTGCTGGCAGAGAACTGGGGAATAACCCCAAAGGTAGGAAGCGCAGTAAACTGCTCATCTCCTTCATAAGTCCATTGAAGTTGAGTTTCGGTGGCACCGATTCCTAGATTGTACAGTATTATGTCTCGCTGAAGAAAACTGAGATTATGTCTAAAATTGATCATACGGAGCACGCACCTCTGTGTACGAGTACTCGCTAGTGACGACTTCTTTTTTTGCTTCAGCGATGATTGGAATGTCTTGAGAGATCGAGTTGGCCATGGCGCAGAAGAAAGAGGGGTTTATCACATGCTACACCGTGACTGTCTTACACTGTGTATTGATAGAAAGATCTCCTTCAACAGCTTCAACATAGATTGGTGAACTAAAGACCGTCCATCTTATATACCGTTAATCTTCAGAAGCTTCAAGCTTCAAAGCTTCAAAGCTTCAACGTTCAACGTTCAGAACGTTCAACTCTCAAATGTAGCCAAGCTTCAATCTCAAGCTCAAGCGCTCAAGACCGGTTCATGGTTACGGAACGGCCCGAACATAGAGGATCGGACGATCGAGCAGAGCAGACTGTCTCAGATGTTGCATTTTTATAGAGGACGGCGTGAACCTTTGCTTTAGCTTCCAATCGCCTATGGAGCAAACAACCGACCCCTCTTCCGGTCCCCATAACCCCCCCACACACACAGAATCCGACCACGCCAAACATGTCGCCTTGCCCAAGTCGCAGTAATTGGTCTTCTTTCTCCAACCACTGTCTGAATGCTGATATATGATACCTCCTATTGTGCAGAATCTGCGACCACCGACATTCATTTCCCGAGTTCAACGGTGACGAGCTCTTTCAACGTCATTACCAAATCTGGCCGTCAGATTCTGAGGGTAGCAATCTACTAACGTCTCAAATTCAGAAACAATGCCAGTTTGTTTCTTCAGTCCTACAAGTTGAACGTCGCGTTCATGCGGTGACGGCCGCATACCATGACGGCTTCCCGATAGTGCTTGTCCTCCTTGAGGACAGTGCATTGCTCCCAATTCTCAGTCAAGATCAGCTTCATTTCGAAGTTCATGTTTTTCTCGGTCAATATCAGTGGGCCTCGGGGTTTGATGCTCCTTCACAGGTTTCGTTCGGCGGGTACCTCTCACCTCCTAGCTCCGCGGTATGTGCCGGAACATCGATCACCTTACTACCATCACTGTTACCATCCATGTCGCCCACATCTTCCACATCTCTATCTCCTTCAAAGACTCAACTCGCCCAGTCTACCTTCACTGCAGGACTTTTCTTGCAAGATAAGGACCATCCATCCAACCGCTACATACTATCTGTGGGCCATCCGTTCTCATCCGAATTTCACTCTCATGTCATTAACGACGAAAGAAAAGACATTAAAATTGGATGGCCAGATGCATCGCTATCGTTAGAGCACTGCGACCAGTACTTGAAACTGGCAAATTTGCGAATTCCGAAACTGCAAGCTGAAATGAATCTCCTCCATGCCCAAACTCTTGAATTCAAAGGTGGCAACGAACATCAGCAGAACCTGTGAGTGGCCCTCCCAAATAACATCACAAAACACTTGACAATTCACAGGTTCCATTCCCGCAAGAAGCGTTATGAGTTTTTAGCTGCTACTATCGAGCTAATGAAGCTCGACATTCTCGAGATTTCTAATCGGAAAATTTCTTTGGAGAAGCTCAGGATTACTCCATCTGACACTGAAATAGGGCATGTCTTCATGGCATGTTTTGGTTTTGTCAATGACACCTCAGTTTCGACATCAAAATCCGACTCCATTCTTCTCCCCCAACATATTCCTCTGACACCTTCTGCATCTCAACCACATTCTCCCCACCAAAACCACCAATTCATCGACGTTTCTCTTATTAAGATTACTAATCAACTGCTGATCCCCCCGCCGAGCATACCGCAACATTTTTCCTCTATTCAAGAACTTCGGCCTGGCCAGAAAATCGTATTGGATTGTATGGCCGTGCAGCCACTACAAATAGGGAAAATCGGCTCACTCGAAAGTTTTTTCGGACTTCCCGACCCTGTCTGCACGACGAGAAATTCTACCGAAATATCAGATGCGAAGTATTTTATACACGAATACTGTGTTTCGAAGCCTCGTTTTGCGGACCCTGGAGCTTCGGGTGCTATTGTTCGTACGTCCGCCGAAGGTGCTGCAACAGGCATGGTTGTTGGGATTTTCGAAGGTCCAGGAATCGAATTGTCGATTATCCTACCTCTTAAACGACTTTTGGATAGAGTAGCAAGTACGTGTGGGATGAATTTGGAGTTGATTTCTTGATTCTTCATTTTTAAACGACGGGGTGCAGCTTTTTCCAGACAATTTTTTTTTTCGTTGTTATTTTCTATTATTGAATATTGTTTCTTAGAACTGGATTTATCTTAATATGCACATTTCTTTATTGAGTTGTGTAACTTTTGGTGTCTGTTAATAAATCCTTATTACGAATAGCGCAGTGTACCTAATTTCAGTAATTTGTTTGTTTGTTTCAATAGTGTTGATGTATCCGATATGGTGAATCCTTGCGCACGACGAAGACTTAGTTTCGAACAGAAGAAACAAGGTTAGAATTCAAGCAAAAGATATAAAACGCTTCAGGTATGAATCTCATGGAATGCGTAAATAAATAACCTGCTAATGTATCCTGGTCAGAATATTGGACAAAGTCAACGAAGGCGGCGATATTGATGTTGTCGTAGCAGGTTGTAGCGATGCAGGCGCTTCACATGAAAGTTCGGCGTTCAACGCTCAACTGCAGAGATTCCCTGAAATCAAATCAACCATTGTAAAGACCCTTGAAGACCATTGTACACGAAAAATTTGAGCAGATAAAGTGCGAATGTGTTGACCTAGAGACACGGCGAGTTCATCACGGTTCTGTGTCGAGCAATTTTTACTGCTCAATGAGAATCACCATTAACGGTCATTGTGAGTCACTGCACACGGCTGTGGAGGCGGGTATCATGACGTCGCGTTCCTTGGTGACCTTCGTAGCTTTCCCCCATCAGAGATTTTAGAAAACTCAAATAATGAGACAAACTAAGATTGACTTTGGACGGGAGTTCCACCTCGTATACAACACTCGTGAGTCTTCGTTTCAGGCTTGTTAGAATCTGAAATATTGCTACTGAGCTTCAGGGTTCACCGAGCCTTTATATCCTAGTAGAAGGGACAGAACGTCTGCAATAAGCTGCAATACTCATTGAACATCGCCTATGGAGGATGGGTTTCTCAAAAACTCCCTAATGGCAGTGCATTCTGGTTAAATCTGAATATCCCTACGCCGTTGATAACCAATGCATGTTAGTAGTATTCTCATCCTACGTGGAGAGGATTAATATCACCGTTCAATTCTGAGGGGAAATATATCAACGATGTGAGCTCACACGTTGGAGGCGGAGGCAGGAACCACAATCTGTAAGAGTGCACAGATAATCAAATCAAGACAAATGGAAGTTATATAGATACTGGCCGTTTCCTGCGCGTATCCCCTAGAGTCCGCGTCCACAGATGAATATAGCTCACAACTGTGTCTATCTTGTGAATTTACGAAGCTGAAGGGCACAACTAAAAAACGCGAGTAAACCTGGCAAAATTTACAAGTGGGGATTGGCGCTTTGATGCACAGTGATCAGAGAGTTGAGGAGTCATGGTAGGAAGTCCAAAAAATTCCTTGCATCCTTCACAGGTCCATTTAGTTGGGTTTCGGTGGCACCCAATTCCTAGATAATGTCTCGCTGGAGAGGACTGAGTTTTGAGGTTTCGACCGAAATTGAACAGAATTGAACGCGAAGACATGTATGAACACCTATGAGCACTTGTTAGTAACTACCTCTGTTTTCGCTTCAGCAGTGATTGGAGTGTCTTTTGAGCTCGCGAACAGACTGGTCATGGCAGCAAAGAAGGAACGTCAACATCAGATTCACATGATGCTGCATGGTGCCGCCCGAGCCGGGGACCCCGACCATGTTAGTTCCTTTGAACCTTCACTCTTCTTTCAACTACATGCCACTTCCCTTCAACATTATATGACATGCGCTTAACGCGCTACCAAATGGCTGACATGGTGGAATTTTTTGCAGTGTTTCAAGTTCTACTGGGTATCCGGATGCAAGATTGCCTTTCTAGAGCTTTCCAATCAACTTGGTCAGCGAATTGCTGCGAATGTGAGGCACCTGCCCTCTAATCCAAACTTGTCATTTGGGTAGTTAATGCCCTATGGCGCGTAATACTAGACTCGAGCCAGTAGCTTCGGATGTTGACACTTTGGAAACTGGCGCTCAAAGGTGTCAGAGAAAGTGATTCCGCATATCGCTTCTCAGCAGCAGACTGGTTCGAGTCTAGCGTAATACGGCCTGCAAGTAGGTTATCGTTTTGAAGAATTGTGGCCCATAAAGATCCAGTGTTGTGCACCCATATGCTCAAACTTTTGTTCATGTCTTTATTTAGCCTGAGACGTTGCACAAAGACCGCAAACTCACCTGTGACCTGTGCTGGCCTGTGAGTCGCTAGAAGAACGTTTTTGGTCTACATATGTAAAACTCTTCCAAGTAATTCTTTCTGATATACATACTCATCACACGACCATTGCGACCGGTCCAAATTCCTCCAATTCCAAACATCAGAATTCTAACTATGTTCGGTAGACTTGTAATGCTCTGCCTTTACACGAAAACCAGTCACTCAGCGCGAAGGTCGGTTTCAAACAGCTTTACGTTGCGCCTGGAGAGTTTGGCAATGAGTGACAACTGCAATAAACGGTCGGTTTGTACCCTTGCAATACGGATGAACATTGATTCTACGCTCAACAAAGCCATGGCCAGCAATAAGTATTAAATATCTTATTGTGCCTAACGGCATCGGTGTACAACTTTGATCCTTCACCCCGTTCCGTTTTTCAATGACCTCACTGTCGGAAAGATCTTGCTACATAGAGTCTTCATAGATAACGGGAACATTCCCGAGACTACCAATTATGGCGTATTCTCCTGTCCATATCAGGAATCAGATTTTCTGGATGAAGTGGTGCTACGTGACCAGCATTTAGCTGGAGTTTATCTGTGTACCTATGATAGTACTTGTCCGAATGTATGCTACATAATATCGATGAAGGGCTAGACTTAAAAATGCGTGCTTCAGACGAGCCTCGAGGTCCGAATTGCCCGGCCTAAATTCTCTCTCTTCCCTTTTTGTTGACCTGCCTGCGCCTGCTGTTACGGTGCGCTGCCTCATTGCTGTTCAAGCTTGGATGGGTCCTGATATTGCCTCATTTCAGATGTGTTACCGAGAAATGTTAATACGGTTATGCTTTTGTTAGCGTTCGTTTTGACCAATATTCTAATAGCCGGGGCGACCTATATCGAGGGTGCCAGGTATGCAAGTGATCCTCGTTGCTGCTATCGCATTGCCATTTTGTACTGATATTCTCTCCACAAAGCCCATACAGCACTTCCAGCGCACAGATTATGCCCCTGGACCTATCATTGACTGTAATTCACCTTATTGCGCCGTTAGCAACGCACATACACATACCTCTCCGTGTAATTGCTCCCAGGTGGGTGAGCAAATGTCCAAATGGTTGGGCAACATTTAATATTGTATATCCCAACAGCGAATTGCTATACGAGAGCGCATTGTAAACCAGTTCTACACCATTTGTGATAACTGCAAGCGCATCGAATTAGATCGAAGAGTTGGACGCAGGTGAACACGACAGAAGAGACTTGATTGCCGCTTCAGCCTTTTGAAATTACTAGTCATTCATATTCGAACTAAGAAACAATCAGAATCGTTTTCCCCCTCGCTTCAGAGGCTGCCTAACACCTCCTCGGGTACCAGCAGTCCCACTTTTAAGTTTAGCGACGCGTTTCCTCCGCTCCTCCTCACTATCTTCACTGGAGGAAGTGTCCTTCTTTTTTTTCTTCGTAGCCGGTCGAACAGGTGAGGAATCTGATGAAGGTGGTGCCTTCGGGATCAGTCTCGCAGGCGATGAGGACTGGTGTCTGAAATCACGCTGGGGTGGAATGGAAGACGTGGAAGCAGCCGCCACCGGGATAACTTTTGGTAAAGGTTCATCGTTATCAGGTTCGTCATCATCAGATTCTGTGGCTGAATCTTCTGCAGAATGATGTTTTAGCGGGTTGTCGGAAGGTTCGCGAAGAACAAAAGAAGGAGAAGGCGGTTTCGGCGGTGTTTTCGCGAGGTTGGGTTGTTCCTGCGAAGACAGGGAATCATGTCAGTAATTTGCGAAGTCACAAGGCGCTTACCATGAGACCCGGAGAAACACTGCGAACTTTCGTCGGAGATGGTGAACGGACTTGCACCCTGGGACGCGGTGGGTATGTGACTTGTAACTTGATTTCTTCGTTCGTGAAAGATATGGGTGCTGAATGCGATTTGAGTTTATGAAAAGTAAATAAAACCGAACTTACGCAGATGATCGACTAAGTTAAACAAGGCAGACATTCGTCGGATACTACTATTCATTCGAGGTTTAGAAATCGCATTTTTTACGTGAGTGTCGATGCTCCTCCGAGCAGCTCGTCCAACAGCATCTATTGCCTGTATTATCAAGCGTTTGAGCATTTTCCTCGCCTATAGGTTGAGACAAACCTTTTCAAGCTCTGATTCCACCATTTCTCCCACTGGTTTACCCGCGGAAAATGCTGTATGACTGACACTTATGAGAGGCAGTACAAGATGCTTTGAGATGATCTCGGCAGAATTCCTGTATCCAATAAAACAAGTTTCCCAAGTCCATTTGAATCCTTCGCAATCGATTTCAAAGGAAAAATCCTGATGTCCGCAGCATGAAACGAGTTTACGAAGAGAGGGAAATCCGACAAACCGAAGAACGAGACTCTACAACTTCGAACGAAGCATCATCCATACCACCCGGAGTATGGATTTTCGAGAGGTTTTCGATTACAATCAATCGCCATTCTTTTTCCGCTTCTTCTTCTTCAGTTGTATTTGCCACGAATGATTCTACCTTGTTACATGCTCTCCATCGACGAGCAATTTGACTGTTGGAAATAACTACATGTATTTCCACTGAATTAATGTAAGCTTGATATGGTGTATAGAGAGTTTACCTTCTGTCCAGACGGATTTCGTATCTGTGATCATAAGTAAACATGATTGGTCAATTTTCGAGGAGTGAAATTTCTGAAAGATCAGACTGTGAGAGGGAGGGATGATCACGAAAGAAGCGACTAACAAAGAGATAAGGTGTCGATTTCTGGCTGTCAACTTTCACCAGCCACTCCTTTGAAGACAGTAACTTAGATTGCTCCTAAAGAAAGTTACAACCTCTTACAACACCAAACATGTAACCTCACTTCCGAAAGTTGTTCCATGTTCACAATTATTAGCTTGAGATCCGAGCCACCACTTGAAGTTTCGAAGCCACGATATGTTTATAGCTCGACCAACAGACAATGTTTTCTTGAAACAGATGTCGTTATTGGTGGTCACAAATAGATGTGAGAACAGTTAGGCGCCCGGACACATTCTTCTCGTTGTTCGTCTATCACCCGGTCACCCTTTGACCCAACTTTAACCTCAAACTAATTCATAACATCAGGAGACACTGAGGAGACACCTGCAACGCTCTTTAAGGGGACAATAACATCGTAATTTTACATGGAAGACGGTGAAATTACGTCCAGATCTCCGTCGAACAAACGACATTGGAGTGTTCATGTTGCCTCCGAATGCGAGCCCTTGTCCTCTAATCACGCGCATGAACAATGCCAAGGATTGACATGGGGTACTGCTTCAGACGAATGGGATGACCCGAACCGGTCACAGATGCCCTCAAAGGCCGGGTTGCGCCTTGTCGTGCTCAATTCCCGGACACTGCCTAAATTTAATGTGGCTATCATTGACGGGTACCCCGAAGTACAGCTTGGGCGAGACAATCCAGTGTCAGACCACATACCGAGAATCCGGCTGAAGGAAATGGAGGTATCGAAACTACATGCATCCATATATTGGGATCAATCCTGGGACGGATGGGGTGTGGTCGACATGGGTTCGAAGCATGGAACTTATCTTCACTCGAGTGCCTTGACCATAGGTAACTCCCAAGCGGTAGAACGGAAGGTTAGACTATCTATCTCTAAAACCGCTAGTACCCCTAAGCGTCTTCACCACTTGGACCATCTCACTCTTGGAACCACGGTTTTCATTGTGCATATCCACGAGAATCAGCTTCCCTGTGAAGAGTGCTCACCAGGAGTAGGAGGAGAAATTCCCTTATTCGCTACTAGTAGTAGCCCAAAGCCTTCTTCAAATAACAACATAAATGTCGAGCGTTCTTCAGGTTATGAAGCTACAAGACCGTTGATTCATGACTCCAGGAAAGCTCTCTCGCAGTTGAAGCGCGAATTAATGTCGAGGCCTAGACATGTTGATACTAGACACTCTAGCAACATGGCAGGAAGTGTCACTGTCCGAGTCGGTCGATATGTAGACCGCTCCGCCCGTCGCCGTGCGATGTACCGGGCATCATCTTCCGATGCTCCCGGTATACCTACTTCCTCCCAGTCTTCACCCCAAGATTTCCCAAAATTGACATTACAATACAAGCCTGAGCCCATTTCGAAACCCGCAGTTCCAATTCCAGCATCAAGCATAGGATACAGGCTTCTAATACAACAAGGCTGGCATCCTGGTACTGTCCTTGGTTCTACCGAACGTGGACTAATCGAGCCCTTGGATATCCAACTCCCCTGTGACCGTTCAGGTTTGGGAATGAGAACCATTAAATGATGATTTGTACGCCTAGGACAATTACTACATAGTCGCCATGTGTAGACAATGCTATATAGACAATGTAAATATTCATCTTTCGATTGCGTTCTCTTCAGCGCCTATTTCCTAAGCTAACTTTATCGTGGAGGTCACGCGATCACGCGATCACGTGAGGTTGGACATGGAACCAAAAGAGGCGATTCAAGTTCATGGTCGATTTGGTTCCTTTCTTTTAATCCCGCATCCTACTTCCTTGTCTTTCGTTCTCCGTCACCGCTATTCCCACTGTTTCTTCAAATCGGTCTCGCTCTATTTGCACGTCTTCTCCGTATATAGTCAAGTACACTCGAATTCTTTGCAATAATGGCTACGAATCATGCTCGTGTAAGTCTACTTCAATCGAAAGTTTGCGCTTCATATTCTCACACTACTATGAATCGCTCTTATTTCAGTTACCGCAACGGACTACTAGAATGCCTCTTCGCGGAAAGGCCGACGAAAATGCAACCAGCAAACATCTTCGTCAACTCTCAGGTTCAGCCTTATCAGGGACCTCAAAGACTTTGCAGAAAGAGGCTGTTGGAGTAAAGAATAATATCGTGCGCGCTGCCCTAGGCGAGGTGACGACTACAGCCGTCAATCGAAGAGTACGTTGGTTGTCCCGTTTGCCGTGTCCGCGGGTGGCTCATAATTTTTCGACTCAGGAAAACAACAGCAAGGTTCTATTAGGCAAAGAGAAGGACGAGGTTAGCCTGAAGCGAGGTCGTTCGAACTCTACCAACAACGCTGTTCAGCGTGTTCCACTCGGGCCTGGTCGAAGTCAAGTTGCTCCACCCGTTACCAGTACTGCACCTATTCGCGCTGCTCCTGGCCGCTCATCTCGCCCATCAACTTTGAATGCTTCTAGACGTTCCATTCGGGATACATCTCGACCTATTGCTATTTATGAGGATGTCGACATGGACGTGGAGGACCAGCTTGAGCCTGTCGTCGTGCTAAGCGAAGAAAATCCTTCGGAAGCTGCTTCTGAGGCTGACGCGAACTTTTTGACCAGCGAACCAGACGGTCATGACATGGTCCTTGTTGAGGCAGAAGACGAAGACACCGAGACGGTCGCTTTTCAGGAATCTAAAGCACCGAAAGTTTGGCCTGATCTTGCAACGCAGCATCGTTTAGATTGTGAACGCCAAGTGGAAACCATCCGTGAAGTATTCGATGATGATGACGACGAGTTCGACCCGACTATGGTTTCAGAGTATGCGGAGGAGATTTTCGAATACATGTCCGGATTGGAGGTTCGTTCGGTATAAACTTCAGAGACATTTATCTGAATTGCTTCTAGGAAATGATGATGCCGCGCGCTGACTACATGGACTCTCAATCAGAGCTTAACTGGGATATGCGTGCTACCCTTATCGACTGGCTGCTCCAAGTTCACCTTCGATATCACATGCTCCCCGAGACCCTCTGGATAGCCATCAACCTCATTGATCGTTTCCTCTCACAACGCACCGTATCCGTCGTAAAACTGCAGCTAGTTGGAATTACTGCCATCTTCATTGCCGCCAAATACGAAGAGATCCTAGCGCCTTCCGTAGACGAATTTGTTTTCATGACGGAGGAGGCGTTCACGAAGGACGAAATTCTAAAGGGAGAAAGGATTATCTTGCAGGCGCTAGATTTCCAAATCTCGCACTATTGCTCGCCCTACAATTGGATGCGGCGTATTAGTAAGGCCGACGACTACGATCTTCAAACGCGGACCTTGAGCAAATTCCTGATCGAAGTGACATTAATTGACTCCCGTTTCTTGCGTGCCAAAGCAAGCCTCATCGCTGCAGTTGGGATGTACAGTGCAAGGACGATGTTGGGGGGTGATTGGGTATGTTTGTCCAATTACAATGGCCGTATATGTGCTCACGATTGTCATCACAGAATGACTCGTTTGTGTACTACTCTGGTTATACCGAAGACCAACTTTACCAGGGGCATCTATTTATTGTCGAAAAAATGGCAGAAAGGTCATTCCACAAGCTTGCATTGTACAAGAAGTATGCGAATAAGAAATTCCTGAAGGCTTCGACATTTGCGGTCAAATGGTCAAGGGCACACGCATCTGGCGTAGGTGGTGTGGAGAATACCATGCTTGACGCAGACCTTGTCTGATGTGAGCGTAACGATTCCACTGGCTTCTTGCATGATTTCTTTTGTACACTTATTGTTACACTTATCTGGCCTCTACCTATCTTCCCTAATCTCTTCATTCTGCATCTGGGTCCATTTTCATTTATTAGTCACATATATCGATTTGTCTATACAACTTCATTTGTTCCTTGTTCCAAAATTTTGACTCGAGCTCGCCATTTCCGTTTCGTATGTCTCGTCGTATGTTTGCTCTCGATTGCTGTCGTTTTATGCCCGCATCCACAACAATGCCTTAAAGGGGTGCCTCGCGCTATGTCTCTTTTCTATGTCTCATCTATTTTCGCCATTTCTCGTCGTGTATTATCGCCTCTATCCGGTTCAGGACTACGTCGTCATCATCTTTCGCATGTGGTAGATTCCCTTCGCATCTATCTTTGTCCCTCTGCGCCTGTATAAACATACACAACTTCCGCTGTATCAGGTATCTCGCGCAGGCCGCCATGGCATTTTTATGCTCATCTCCATACATGTTATTTATCAAGCAATGCATTCTTAAACTTAACAATTGATATCGGACTTGGATGGTGACTCACCATGTACAAGTTTGGCATCTGAATGGCAGACACACAGCTCTCCTTTTCAAGGTAGGTATAAGATCACATCATTGAGCAATGTAGCACATATTAGATTGGTTGGTTGGAGTGCCCATTTGATTCCTTCCTTTCTCTTTCACACAAAAATGAGGCAAGCTCGTTAGCAGTTCGCCTGTTTGAGTGTCTACCCCTCTCCTCATTTATGGGTGGGAGCGCAGGGCTTTGCCCCCAGGCAAAATTGAAACTGACTACTATATGCATTATGAGACTATTTAGGGTTATATACAAGAGCTCCAATAGTTTATTCCAAGATAAGTCAACCGCAGGTTGGCTTATCGACTGGTAGGAAAGTGTTAACATCAGCTCTCGGCATTGACACAATGCGTGGGGCCGCTGGCAGCCGAGAGTAACCGAAGCCGCGTTCGTTCTTGTTTATGTTGATCGGATTTGCATAAGATACGGACGCGAATCGCGATGCTGCCGGATCGTTTTTCACATGATATAACTCTACACCATATAGTAACGCGGGGTAGGCGTCGCGCTTTTCACCTGAAAGCTCTATAACACTAGCCTACTAAATCAATATTCTTTCATCAACATGTCTTTCTCCTTCAAAGGTCACACTGTCGTAGTCACTGGTGCAGGCGGAGGTCTTGGGAAGACGTGAGTAACAAAAACTCAATATCAATCACATATTCCTATTCAAGACATCCGCTCTTCCAGATACTCACTGTTGTTCGCGTCCCGGGGCGCAAACGTGGTCGTAAATGACTTTAACGGTGCAGCGGCTCAGAAGGTCGTTGATCAAATTGTCCAAGGTCCATCTTCTTCTATTCATCAGTTTCCATCTATTCTCATTGAAGACTAGCGGGCGGAAAGGCTGTTGTCAACACGTCGTCAGTAACTGACGGAAACGCAGTGATCAAAAGTGCTCTCGATGCATTCAGTGGCGTCACGATTCTAATAAATAATGCTGGTATTCTTCGGGACAAAGGGTGCGTATGCTTCAAGTGTTACCGACTCAATGGTTCCATGATTTCATTTCCAAGGTTCAAGAACATGACAGACCAAGAGTGGGACCAAATCACAGAAGTACATCTGAAAGGTGCATTTGCTTGTACAAAGGCTGCATGGCCGATATTCAGGAAACAAAAATTTGGTCGTATCATCAACACTGCTAGTGCAGCGGGGTTGTATGGTATGTTATACCTCGGTCCAACGGTGCTCAGGTCTCTCATATTTGATTCGTGTTAGGCAACTTCGGTCAGGCAAATTACAGTGCCGCCAAGATGGGGTTGATCGGTTTCACGAAAACTCTGGCTTTTGAAGGCTCAAAGTACAATATTAAGTCGGTGGCCATTGCTCCAGTAAGTCAGAAGCGGCTTGCTCGTCTTTGGAGCGCTTACCACCGTCCAGATGGCAGCCTCAGCCATGACTGAAACCGTTATGCCTCCAGAAATGCTTGCTAATCTAAAGGTCTGAATTGCGCATGTATGTCATACTCCGAAACCTGATCTTGGTGCATAGCCGGAATTTGTCGCCCCATTCGTTGCTGCAGTCTGTCATCCCGATGGGCCGGATGCATCAGGAAGAATATTTGAAGTTGGTGCCGGTTTTATCGCGGAAGTGCGATGGGAACAGAGCAAAGGTGCCGTGTTCAAAACTGATGCAACCTTTACTCCTTCAGCAGCAAGTAATATTATTGTCTTCATCGTTCAGATCTGAGTATTCCATTCGACAGGTCAAAGCGAAATGGTCCGAAATCACTGACTTCAGCCAACCAAAATAGTACGTTTTGCCATATTAGTCTGTTCGAACCTAAACTTATCGCACTCAGCCTCAAGTCAATCGCCGATATTGACATGAAGGTGAGTTCACATTTGGAAAACGATCAACTCCTGAATCAACCTCTTTTCATAGAAAACCCGCGAAGCTGCTCTCAAAGCACCATCTAACCCTCAATCATCACCCGAAGTCCGTTTTGATGGCAAAACGGTAATTGTGACTGGGGCAGGCGCAGGTCTCGGCCGTGTTTATGCCCTCATGTACTCCAAGCTCGGAGCTAACGTCGTTGTCAATGATGTCAGCGAGAAGGGCGCAAAGTCGGTGGTGGATGAGATTGTGAAAGGTGATGTTTCATCTAGTGATTTAGTTCTTGTTATTGATTATTATATACGGTAGCTGGCGGGAAAGCTACCACTGCTGTTTGTTCAGCCGAAGATGGGGAGACTATCGTCAAAGCTGCCTTGGATAACTTTGGTGGTGTTCACGTCTTAGTTGCTAACGCCGGAATCTTACGGGACAAATCGTTCACGGCCATGTCTGAACAAGAATGGGATATAGTTCTGGCTGTTCACTTGCGGTATAGTTGTTCTTTCCTCATTACCTATCCGCCCTTTTCTCATCATCCATATTTCTTCATAGAGGAACATATAAGGTAAAATTTGAAATTACATACTACATGCAGAGCATGATAGCGAATTTTGGCGTAGTGTGCCAAAGCGGTATGGCCAGTGTTCCAGAAGCAGAAGTACGGTCGCATCCTCACTACTTGCTCTCCTACTGGTGTCTGTATGTCATATTCCATCTCCTTGCTCGACACTTTGGTGATCATTATATCCACAACTCTACAGATGGTAACTTTGGTCAAGCAAATGTACGAGGTCATCTTTTTAGTTTTGAATTGTACTTATGGGCGTAGTATGCGGCTGCTAAAGCGGGCATCACTGGGCTAACAAGAACCCTTGCTATCGAAGGCCAGAAATATAACATTCTTGCCAATGTGATTGCCCCGACAGCTGGGACCGCAATGACAGAGACCGTGTGGTATGTATCAGTTACTGGCTGAATCCATCACCACTATAGTGCTGACCATTATTGACCAGGCCAGAAGAAATGTTAAAAGCGTTCACCGTTCGTAATCATATTCCTTCATTCATTGGCTTACCCACAATGCATTCCCTCATACAGCCTGCCCATATCGCCCCTCTAGTTGGGTATCTGACGAGTGCAGGTTTGTTGTTCTGCACATTGAAACTTGAAGAGATAACCATTAATCTCTACTGGCAGATAATGATGACGTTTCAGGGTGTCTGTTCGAACTTTCCGGAGGCTGGGTCGCTCAAACTCGTTGGCAGCGCAGTGGTGGCTATGGGTTCCCAACAGTGAAGCCATATACACCTGAGGATGTCGTCGAGAAATGGAAAGAAATTACGACCTTTGGTAAGCGTGATCAAGGAAATCAGTATTGTGTCTGAGCATAGCCCGTAGATGAACGTGCTACGCATCCCAGTTCTACTTCAGAAGCCTTGCAACAGGTGAATTTGCTTGATTACTTCAAAGTTTTACACAAGCATTGCTGACTCTTTGCTTCCAAGATTGTGGAGAATTTCGAAAACAAGGGTGATCAGGTGAAAGCCAAACTTTAGATACATAGCTTCTCGGGCGTAGTGTATCATACTGTAAGAAGTGTTTTGACTCAGGATGGACGGCCCAGGGCATGAGGAATATCCTATTTATCCTTGATTGGCTACAGCTTTGGTCTAAACATGAGGACTGCAGCATCCAGGCAGCATCATTCTTCCTAATTCTTCTCCGATATCCTTTCCACGATACTGCGCTGCAGACTATGAGATTTGATGCTTTTTTGAATTATTCTACGCTATAATGAACAACCCCAATCGATATGATTCGCCCACCGGACTTAACATTGGTTCACCCAGGATGATGTCCCCTAGAACCCACAGAACTCACCGCTCCGCGCGTTCTCACCGTCTTCACCAGAATTCCACTCATGATCCTAATGAAGTTCAAGACGAGGCCCAACTTCATACTGCGGAAAACTTGCACCAAGACAATTCCACGTTCAATCTTGATCCAGATGCACCTATACTTGGGGCTGGAGGCGAGAGTATACAAGAGGCTATACGCTCTGAAGAACAGCGTAATGAAATGAGGAAAGAAAAGAACTTTGTGGGCGGTTTTGTAGTGGGGCTCAAGCGAGTTTTGAAACCAACTTGGAATGATAACAGACAGCAATCAGATCCAGAGGCTGCTTATACAGGGACGCCGTATGGAGCGGACAATACGTACTTACCAGCGCGGGGTCCTGCAGACATCGAAGAACAGCATCCTCATTCCGAATCTTCTCGTTCCCCTTCTTCGGAATCCCAATTCTCACCTTCCAGTGAGACCATGCATGGTACCCAAGAATTTCCGGACGATGGTACAACTGCTATAGACCATCAGTCAATGCCCATGCCAGTGCCTATTCCAGGTCACTATGTCAGTCCTATCCTTGTCGAACCTCAGCTAGCCCCAGATTACGCTAAAATGGGTTCATCCGCATCGAGCACATCTGAAGGCTCGTTGAACTCATATGTTTCGCGCATAGCCCATTTCTTTCAACACATAAATGAGCTACCTTGGGTAGCAGACTCTCGTGTCACAGTGGACTATTACCCAGGACAGTCCCCACGTCGTGCACGTTCTCGACCTCCTCACAGAAAAGTTCTATCGTGGTACAACCGACATGCGTTTCCACCTGGTCAAAACGCAGAACCTTTGGATTTGGATGCTGGATCGTCGCCGTCGCCAGTTTTAGGACAGGTTGTGCAAATGATTGAGGCTCAACCTTCGGTGATTACGAAAGAACCTACTAAGGATGCAATTCAGCCTTTGATTCTACCCACTGTTCCTGTTCCAGAATCTCAGATTGAATCCGGTCCTACATATTTTGCCGAGCTCATTTCTCCCCTGCCCCCTCGTTCAGACACACAACAATCTGCACGCACTGGGAGGTCGATCGTTTACTCTGTCGTAAACCCCTCCGCTCCGTCTACTTCTACGACAACAACAACAACTTCTTCTCCCCTCACCGAGCCCCCGCGCCATCTGGGAATTGACACCATGACCGCTTTGGCACAAAGCATTACTGGTTATACGCCGTATCAACCTGTTGCACCTCAGTATGGCCGCCCCATTCATGAACCTTTAGCTCAGGTTCCAGTGGCATCTTCTGTGATTTCTACGGGTGATATTCGCGAAGTACCTCCTGCTCATACTAGAACCGGCACACCTGCACAGTCCATGTATCCGTACCCGTTGTATGCGCCCCCTACCACTTAGTATTTGATTCTACATCTACGCACGCCTCTGTTGCTACCACGTAATCAAGGCCTGTACGGTGTGACATTTTTTCGTTTACTTTACTTTCCTGTACGCAAGAATGTAAGCCAAAAGGATTAGGGAATGGATTTTGAATTAGAATAATAATTAAACTTGAACGGGCGGACGTCCGAACACTGTACCCAATCACGCCATCAGATGCTTATAACCTCACGCTAACTAATTATTCCAACGTACCACCAGCCAATGCAGGCAAACGAATCTCTACTTGAGGTTCGTTCTTAAGGTGCTTCGCACCCTTATACTGATTTATCATAATACCAGGCTGCTCTGACGGAGTCGTTCACACCTCCCCCATCCCGTCGACAATCGAAAATTGTTCCTGCGCCAACTTCCAGCTCTCTCAGGACAGAGCTTAGTCCAACTCCAGCTGAGGCTCTTGAAAACTCCGAAATTACTTCTGAAGACGCGTGGAAGAACGAATACGAAGAACAAGTCAAAACTTGGAGGTTACAGTCTGCTGAGGCTCGAGAGAAAGCGGAAAGGGAGCGGGCTAAATGGGAGGCTTTGAGAGAGGCGGAAAAATTCGCAGGTGTTCCACCGCCGCCACCGTTGCCTGTACAGCAGAACTCTCCATCTCCACTGGAAATGTCTGATTCACCTAGTCCCGCTGACGCTCGGGATCTTGTTACCGGGGAGACACCTAAAGCTGTGAGTTTTTTTTTTTCATTTACACATTTCCTTAATCCTGATAATTGCCTATCCAGACCTCACATTCACGACAGTTGACCAGTGAAGACTCTCAAAAATGGGAACATCTCCCTTCAGAAGTCACTTCATCACTTCCTTCCATGTCCTTTCCGGAAGATTCAGGCCACGAGGAAACTGGAGTACCTCCCTCTCAATCTCCTCCCACTGCACCCACTTCCGCTACACTCTCCGTTTTTGATAACACTCTTTCCACTTCCACCCGCGTTAAAGCGTTTGCCTCGGCCCTGGCAATAAACTTGCTCTTACCATTTGTGAATGGAGTCATGTTAGGATTTGGAGAAATTTTCGCCAAGAACGTTGTTCTCAGATGGTTTGGTTGGGGAACTAACGTCCCTAGATCAACAGCAGCATCTCTGGGTCTCCGCGGCAAGTCACATAGATAGAAGTTTATGTATATAGAGTACATTGGTGGTATTATTATACACGTATACACATGAGGGACAAAGCGGAGATACTGACGCGTCAGCTATTCCACGGAAAAGACTACGTAGATACATACTTGCAAATGTCGATACCCAACACCATCTAAACAGTGAGCCTGTGCAACTCAGGCTATCGCCTAGAATGATTCATCAGCCGCAACAGATGACTGGGAGTCAAACTTAACACGAACACTGGGAGCATTGCGAAAGTTTAGATGAAGCATCGCATGACACCTATGGTAATCAAAAGCCTAACATTCAAGCACGAACCTCATATTCGAATTTAAGGAGGGAGGGAAGCACCGACCGTAGAAGTACACGATACACAAAATTATGTAAGGCTTACCTCGAGACTCGTAGGGACAAAGGAAAAAAGTCGTACCGCTAATGTAAGTTATTTCCATGCCTTTACCGATGAAGCAGATAAATGAGAATAAGCGTAACAACAGGAGGGGAGGCAGGATCGAAGAAAAGGGTAGGGACGGACTGTTGACAAGTCTCTGCCACAATGGCGTGGATGTAATCACATCCACATCGTCCTTGAGCGCAAGAACTTTCCTTTAGAGGAAATCCTCTGCTCTAGCTCGTTTCTTTCCTCTAAATTCCTCGCCTTGAGAGGAAGCCGGATCTACGGATGATAATTTAGACCGGTACTTCGGTGAATAAGCACGAATTTCCTCCTGTGGAATTACGATTAGCAACAAAAAGATGATCTCATCCAAGAACAGATACTTGCAGGAGAGAAATTTGCATCTTGATATTTGAGTTCCGTCGGCTTTTTGAAGGAAGGATTAGTTTGTTTGAGTGAAGGGTTTGGTAAAGTAGGATGAGAAGACTGCTCAGCGATGGGCGGAGGTATGGGAGTAGCCGACGACGAAGGTGGCGGAGGTGTTGCAAAAGACCCGTTTGTCGGAGGTGTTGCCAGAGTGTCTCTAAGAGGCTGAGGTGACGCTGAACCTTGCTGTTGAGGAACAAAGGTCGGTGGAGGTGGCATAAGGGGACGGCCAGGAATCCCAGGTGCTCCGGGAGGAAGCATTCCTGGCGGTAGTGAAGGAAACCCACCAGGCGGCATCATACCCGGAGGAGGAAGAAATCCAGGGGGCATTGGAAATCCAGGGGGAGGCGGGCTTCAAGTGGAATATATACTCATGAGATTATAATAACCTAGTAAAAAAAACAGGTACTCACCCTGGAGGAAATCCAGGCATACCAGGAAACGGAGGAAATGGTGGCTGACCAGGAACCATCCCCGGAAGGGGTGGGAAGAACGACGGGGGACCGGGAGGCATCATCCCTGGTGGAGGTGGTCCCGGCATCGCCCCAGACGGTGCTGGAGGAGCAACATAAGCTTGTGGAGGAGCGCCGTAGACTCCGCCAGCGCTCTGATCGCTGGCTGCGGGAGGAGCATTATCATTAGCACCTCCCATCAACGCTCTATGTGCTTCCAAGGCTGCTTTGAGCTCATCCTCAGACAGAGGCCGATTTTCAGTCTTGGGACGTTTTGCAGGAGGTTGAGAGATCGACCCAGCTGCAAGACCCAACTCAATTTCTTTTCGCCGCTTATAGTCAGCGACGTCGGGTGCTGGTATACCCTCCATTCCAAAAATTTCGACCTCATAGCCATCGCGGCCAGGAAGAGCATTCTCGATACGTGGCAAGCTGAAAGATGTCGTAAATAAGAGTCACGGATGGCAGTAAAGAAAAACTTACTTCTCCGGTTCCAGTTTGTGAACCTGTTGGATGTGAACAGCCAAACCTCCAGCAGTGTTGAGCCTTCGAGGACACATGTTACACTTGAAGTGCTTTGCTTTCTGATGCTGCATAAGAACTATGGATGAATAGGAGATAAGAATCTGGTTTGAAGAAAGGCAACGGCTGAATAACCTTTTTCATCCTCGAATTCACGCTCACAGTACCAGCACCATGGTCGGATGATCTATGCAAAATATGAGGATGAGACCATCATTCTTGACCACAAACTTACCTGCTTGCTCTTTTTCTTGGCCATTTTATGCTGATGTTATGGAAATGTTGATTTTAGTGATGAAAGTCGGGAACGAACGAAATTTGTTCATATTGACACGAGTTATGCTGGCGCTTAAACCGGCACTATTCTATTACAGTATTACTATTATATCTTATTATATTCAGTATGTACAAGCTTGAGGACTCATGCACTCATGAACGATCATACATTCCGCTTGAGTGTGTCAGAAAGTTGATATGGAGGGGGAGGGGTTTCCGAAAAAAGAACGTGTGCATTGCCGTCGTCGATTGCGTTTTCCCCGCTGCTCGCATTGAGAATCACAGCATTTGCATTCGTTTGAGCACGACGAATTTCAGCAATGGCCCGCTCAGCTTCAATGCATACATTTTCAATGAGGCGTTGTGCCCTAATTTCACCGACATTTCTGTTGATAATCAAGGGAGAATTCTCTATGGCTGATTTCAAGATGAATATGGGATTCGTGTTAGAAGGAAGGCTGTTACCTGTATCTCTTTGACGAGATGCTTCTGTGGGATCTTCTACATTGGATTCTGATCCCGAGAGATTCCTGGAAGCGGGAGCTATAAATTCTGTAGAAGACAACTTCGGCCGCTGAAGTACTATTGAAACTGCAGGGAAGTGTGCCACATTCGTACAAGGGTCATAATCAAGAAGATTCATTTGAGTGAGCAGTTCTGGATGGTCTAATTGAGGAATGGATTTCCTCCGTGTGCCGTCATCTGTATGGCCTGCCAGCGAGTCGAATTTTAAATTCCCTTCCAAATCCTGAGCGAGAATTGAACGTCGTCGTACGGAAGTTCTACGACGTGCTTCTCTTTCTCGTAGAGAAAACAGGACAGCTAGAAGGGCTACAACCACAACTATCGCCCCTCCCAGCACTCCTCCTACTATAGCGCCTGCAGTGACAGAGTGCCCAGTTATAGCTGGAGGATAACTGGTAGAGGCGGTAGGTGCCGTTGCAATTGCAGAATGAGTCTCCGACAAAGAACTGGTCCTTGGCACCACTGTACTTGGGTCCAAGGTTGCAGCCGTAGCTGAACGACTTGTTGTAGGACCTGTTGCGTTTGCGTTTGCAAGAAAACTGGCGAATGTCAGATTTCCAGTGACAGGAGGATTGAGAGCGCCGACTATGCCTGTGATAGGAAAGATGTAAGGATAAAAGTCCAATACGGAAAAAAAAATGAAAACCTTACTTGAATTACAACGCCAATCTGGGTCCGACTGTTGAGAGAAAAACCAAACTGCTATCCGGTATAGACAAGTTCAATATCAAGATACCAAACTCAAACGAGAAATATTAACTTTCGCCGACAGTCCCTAGCGTCAATGTTGCTCGTGCCGCGGTACTCGAGTTCTCGGTATGCACGAGCCCACTGTCGAAACCACCATCTAACGGGGTGCAAGGTGATTCGAAAGAACCTGTGGATTTGACGTTCAGATTGATACCTGTTGGTGCTAAAAATAGTCTTACTTTGTGTAATACTGTAAGCAGATGCGTTTTTGGTTTTTGAGGGTTCCTTTGATGAACAATATGAATCAACTCACGAATAGTTGCCAATGCCAACAAAGACAAATGTTATGTTTGCCTGGGGTGTGGAAGATGTGGTCATGTAGGAAGGATCGAAGAAATTATGGTAGGTAGTGCCTGCACCCATCAGTATGGTCTGAAGTCACATAAGCCTCGCCCAGACAGAGACCAAGCAGTCCACGTACGGTTGACATCAGAAAGAAGATTCAGCAAGGGTCCTCAGCAAGAAGAATAAAAGAGAAGGAAAGTGTTTGAAATCAAGAAACCAAATGTACACTAGTGTATGCGTTCATGTATTGGGTTTTATACATCTCCAGTTTGAATTTCCATAGTTCTCGATTACTCCCCAATGTAATAGGATCACAAATGTCAAAGCGGCGTATTCAAGCGTCCTTGACAGCCAGAGGTAACAAGAACAAGAAAGCCTGTTTTGGGAAAGGTCGCACACATCTCAGTAGGTACGAGAAGCCTTCTGCAGCCTTGTTGTTTTTTAGGAATTAGAAAACACCGCCAGGTAATCAGGGATGATGTGTTCGTCCCTCACTGTCCCTGTGGGTTCTCTCTGGGTCCTTTGTGAGTTCATCAACGTGCAATGAGGCAACAAGCTGCAACAAGACCACTTACTTTGAAAAAATATACATACAAACCTGAACCCTCCCCTGCAAGTTTCTAGCCAACGCTAGCGCACAAGCCCCATCGACATTTAGTATGGGCGTACTTACTACGAGTTGGTGCAGCGCGCAAAGAGAATTCTCGGATGTGCTGACATTGAGTATCAGGTATTTCATGAGATTCATTTAAGTTCTGGTTGTGTTCTGGCTTGTTTTGGTCCAGTTCTGGTCTGTCGTCCTTTATCCGATCCCATGGAATTGGAGGTTGACGTCTTTTCATGATTTCAGTATCGAGTTAACTAATTCTGCACCTCTCAGCTGCTTAGCATTTTTTGAAACGGAAATCCGAAGCTTGTTTGAGTCGTTAGGCTCTCCCGGTTATAATGAATTTATTCAATCAATACCCCGGCTGGGAGAACAAGCTGGGGAGCGGGAATTACGTTTCTGACGATATGGAGAAATATCGGCAACGATTGTTTGGTAGTGAGGCAACGACCTGAGTTCAATCATGATCTAAAAAAACGCGCCCGTACGAAAGAGTCGAAACTTGACAGAGACCGCAAGAAGTTACTGGCAGTCTGACTTAGGTCTTGATCTGAGTTGTTGTAGTCGTTGCAAGCTTTTTCTTAGGAGATCTTGGGCCTGAGCGAGGGAAAACCTACGCCGAGATAACAAAAAAGCTCGCATTTGCGGATCAGATTTTTCCGTGTGAATATCGGCACGGCAAAAACCTCATACTAATCCGTTTCATCCTTCAGACGCCGCTCTCTCACTCTCTCAGTTGCAACATCTGGATGCATTCGTGGACGTCGAGTTAATTTTTTGTTGTGAGCTTTCACGAATAATTTGAGCGAAATTCTCTCATAAAGTAATCTTATAGGAAATTATATTCGCCCCGGATTAGGGCCAGCACTCTCCTTGTTTCTCTTTCACTTCCTGTCTTTTCTCTATTCCCTTTCTAAACCTTATGGTCCACCATCCTCTCATCCGCCAACATAGACGGAGCGATATCTTTGCTTCTCCAACTGTCTCTGGTATAACCGGGGCGTTGACAGCTGGTGCGGGAGCGACAACTGCAACTGCCCTTGCAGAAGCTCAAAATACAGCGAGTAATGGAACTCCGAGTTTAGAAGGGTTAGCAACTGGCGTTGCGGGAGTGTCTACTACCTCCTCTACATCTTCCTCAAGCTCCTTCAAGTCGACAGCTTCTGTATCATCATCCTCATCATCCGCATCCAGTAGCTCCTCCATTTCCATGAGTACAGTTATTGGAGCATGTGTTGGCACTCTGGTCGGAGTTCTTGCTCTCGTGCTTTTGGCTATATGGCTATATAAGCGCAGTGACCCAACGAAAAAGCGCAGACCCAATACTCGCGCCGGTCCAGGGCTCCAGCCTAATTGGAATAAACTTGGTGACGACGATGATAAATGGGAGGGAATGGACAAGAAACCGGAAACCGCGGAGATTGCTCCAATGGAGAAACTTACTATGTTCAAAAAGTCAACGCCCAGCATTCGCACCGCGTATACATCGAAGACTGAAGAGCTGCCTGCCTTTGACTTCGGTTCTCATCCATTCTCTCAGTATCATCCAAATCTTGCGAAAGAACTCGCTTCTGCGGATGAGCCCCCAGTGCCTCCGTTCAGACACAGAGCTGATTCAGCCGCCGTCTCTTGGGACGGAGATACTATCGGTGGAGCTTCCTTCCTTTCTGCTCCGTCGAAGCGTATGTCTGGTGCCATGTCTCCTACAGTAGAAATCGCTAGACCAACTCCCGCACTTACTAATTCGGAGCCTCATCGTTGGGAATCTGCAGAGGTGGTGAACCTTGAGGGACACGTAGCTGAAGTCATTGACCCTCAGGATTCAGAAAATCCATTTGAACATCCCATGGAACGGAGGAAGAGTCAGCACAACCCGTTCTTCGGTTCTAGCTCTAGCGAAGTCCCTATTGCCAAAGACTATAAGGGCAAGGGTAGAGCACGAGAACTCACACCTCTTCCGCCGATACCAGTCAGCAATCCTTTCGTTGACGATAGCGAAAATTTGGATAAAACCCCTACTCGTCCGACCTTCAATCATCAAGTCATTGGATCTGTGTCGTCAATATCTTCCAATGACCGTGCCATTCAGTCCCTTATTGCCGCTCTGGACACCACTCCTGAAGAAGTACATGCAAGGCTGAAGGTAGCGGAACCTTCTCTTGCTTCAGATACTGCCGACTCCATTTATACGTCTGCTGAATACAATTCTGAAGACGAGGACGCGGAGGAAGACGTTACGAATTCCTTCCCTCTGCCCCCTGGTTCTGATCATTCTGGTCACTCTTTCGATTAAAGCGATTGCACTCGTCCCCTCGAGCCATGCACCGTGCTAACATCGCACCTCCACACACATACCACATTCTTCATACCGTTTATTCACTTGTGCTGGTTTCTTTGTTTGCTTAAGATCTGGCATCGACGGTGTCCCATCATACCACCTTTTCACTACCTTTTTCATCAATCTATTTCATCGGTAGTTTCATGCCGACACTGTTTTCCTCTGACATTGTAAAGATATATCCGATTTTTTTGCTGAACTCCATTTCAGACGTCTTTTGCACGATCTCTGTCCAAGGTTGCTGTCCACTTATTTATTTAGTTAATTACTTTTTGTGTTCGTCTCAAGTTCTTTCCAGCCACGGCACTCTTAGATGCTTAATTTGCCCTCGATAGTACTCTTCCCCGTGGTTCGTAGCTGCTTGATTTTAGGTGTTCTGCCTCGCCTGGTCTTTCCAAAGCGCATGTACTTCACTTGAACGTGTAAATAATACCATATACATATGTTATGCCCTTCCTTAGGCGCAAATGATGTTGGAGGTAGCAGAAGCTCGCGAATGCGCCCCGTTAATCTCAAGGATTGACAACTGTCTTTCCCAAAATGCACACAAAGTTCGTAATCTGTTCAACAATATGCACAAGCTATAAAAACCTTGTTAAGTACTCAACGTTGTCAACATTCATATTATTGACACAGGAAATTTCCTAGAGAAAGAGCGAAAGCGATAACAATAACTGCATCAGGCAATGAACAGCAAAAAGATGACGGAGTGAGAGTGCGATGAGAAAGGAGGTATATGTACGATTCTAAAAGCTAGAAATATCCAAAAGAATTAATCCAACAGGTCGAGAAATATTAGCAAGTAAATGCGGCGAAGGAAGCACCCGAGCCAGTGTACGAAAAAGAGACTATACGGAAGTCCGAAAGCCTAAGCAAAATCCTAAGTGATACTTGAAGAAATGAATTATATGTACGTAGCTGTTAATGCAAATGTAGTTGTAAAAGATAAATTTACAAGAAGGAGTAAGACAAACGACACGGGATGCGCTGAGGTACCAATCCAAACACAGAACACAAGAAGAAAGGAAGAAGAGAAGATCGCCCATCCAGCTACGTGCCTCATATCAGTTTCGAGCTCACGCATCCAGTCTCAAACTATCAACACTCCCATTTAAGTCACCCAGATGACGTTCGTCTAACGGATGCATCCATAACAAGCTCCCCGGACTCCCTGGAGTCCCTGTGCCTTCAAAGCTGGTTGTGGCACCATCATCCTCATTCCCCGGCTCTGCGCTAGCTGTAGCTTTCGTTGTCTCTAGTTTGAGCGGGTGATGGTGCGAGTCGGATGGAGAGCGGGATAAAGAAGTGACATGCGAGAGGTTGTCTGGGCGAAGATTAGCACGGACGGTAGGATCAGGATCCAAGTCTAGTAGACGGTCTTCATCTTCGGAGATGATACTATCCTCTTCAGGACCTCCAGCATCGTAAAATGTGGTATTTCCGACTACAGCTTCATCTTCGTATTCGTATTCAGAATGAAGAGAGTGATGGGAGGAATTAGGATGTTTAACATGAGAGGAAGCAAGGTCAGGGTCAGGATACAAGGAGTCATGATCATCGGATGAATAGGTGTGAGTCAAGTGGGAGAAACTTGTCGATCCAAGTCTGGAGCGGGAGATAGAAGCAGAAGCATCATATAGATTGTGTCGGGGATCAGGTATCGATTTTGGGAATGGAGTGGAAGGATGTGCTTCCATCATGGGGGTTTGCATCGACTGGCGCCACTTGGATTCGCTTGCATCAAGCTCAAAGTTTTCTGCATCTTCACTTTCTTGGCTTGGTCGAACTTTCAGTTTTCTATTATACTGCACACGATTTGTTTCAAAAGAAGATAGATCGTCCAGCTCTGATGACGCTGATTGCTCCCCGGTCCTTGTCGTACCCTCCGCTTCCTCATGCATCAGCAAGGACATATTGTCCGGCGGAAGAGGGAATATTGAGGGCGGCCTTGACGATGAGGCGGAGGACAGTGGGGGTGACTCAGAAGATGTTCGTGAATTTATCTTGCTTGTTTTCCGGAACTCGATCTGACTATCGAGAAAACTGATATTAGTAGTAAGAGGATTGTGGTATACACCATTCGCGTTCGGCTTCAGTCCGTCGGTCATCTTCGCCATCCCAAGGGTAGCGTCGATGGCTCCACTTGCCTCAGACAGAGCCTCTTCTAGTTGCTCGATCCTCCGCAGAGCTTCCTCTGCTCTCATTTCCGCTTCCGCTTCAACCCTAGCCTTATCCCGCTGAGCGACATGCAACGCTTGGCGAAGTTTGTAGTTTGAAGTTTTGATCTCGTTCAAAACACACAATTTTCCCTCCGCTTGCATGAGACGTGCCTCTGCCTCGTCCAACTTCGATATCAGTCCGGCCTTTGCCTTGTGGAGGCCTTTTATTTCTTCTATGAACTTTAAATCTTCCCGCTTCCGGCCCCGAACTTCCTTCAATCGATCCTCCACTTCTTCCAGCTGCAGCTTCAGTTGCAACTTCTCCTGTTCCCAACTTTCCTGTTTGTTCTCAGCCAATGTAAGGGCTGCCCTAAGTTCAGCATTTTCCACTCTCAAGACACGTGTAGTACGTTGAGCGTCAGATAGCGCTGCAAGGAGAGCAGACGTCTCAATTGAGTGTTGATCTTTGAGCAATTGAACCTCAGAAGGTGGAGCACCATTGACTGACGAAGATGGAGCCAATGATGTTGTGGTGGGGAGGTTCAAGGTTGAGGATGAAGATGAAAATTTTTGTTGTTGATTCTGACTTTGCATAAGATATTCCCTCGCCGCTTGCGCAGGGGCAGAAGGACCAAGACTCGTACTGAGGCTCGTGGGAGCTGTCGAGGCGCTACGAACGCTTCCGCTCCTTATTGACGCAGACCGAACGGACCCTCCAGATCGCGCGGAGATCGCAGAAGCGGCTACGGAGGCTGAACGAGGGTGTGGGGTGTGGATATTTGAGGGATAAGGAGGACTGGGGCTGTGAGAATTCGGAGAGTTGGGAGAGTACGAAATGTCGGATGCGTAGGAAACAGGTCTGAAACGAGCACGGACAGGGCTGCTGGGTACAGATAAGGAAGGAGAAGAGTTGGAGTCCAAGTACGGATGAGACCGTTGTGAAGAGATTGAATCAGAATCATGAGATTGAGAGGCAAGTAGTCCAGCGGCTTTGAACGCCTTGGCTGTACGTGGACCAAGCCATTCTGTGATTGGCGGACGTTGCTGAACGTTTCGTTGGGATGAAGGTCGCACATCGCCAGCTTCACTCTGAGTCTTGTCGTGATCCCCGAATTGACTGAGACTTCGGGTGTGAGATTTATAGTTCTGCCTGCGAATGAGGAAACTTGAATCCCTTCGGCTGGTGATGAGACCAGCTCCGGAAGCTTGTCTCGGAGATTGTTCATCAACACTCATACTTCTTGTTCTGGTACGAGCAGCAGAGAATGTATTGCGACCAACAGATGCAGATGCAGATGCAGATGCGGTCATATTCGTCTCCTGTCTTGGGGCAGACACCGAGCTTCCTGGCCGCGATATGGATGCGGCAAAAGATCTGGAGTCATCAGAGCCTGTGCTTCGTATGTATGCCGGTCGCATAAGCCCTAGATGGCTAACATTTTTAATGCGCATACTAGAATGAGGGGTGGAAGCATGTTGAGGAAGTGATGATGACGAAGTCTGGCCTGTCGTTGTGGGGTACAACGGAAAGTCATTGACTCCAGGAGAAGGTGACGCAGATCCAGCGCTTGGAGAAAGACTTGGTGGTGGAAGATTATTTGGGCTCAGAAATGCGGCTAACGCAGAGTCAACCTGCAGTGCACTGTGCACCTGAGCCTGAATTGAGGATGGGGAGCGAGGTAGGTGTAGAGACGATGCAGAAGCAGAAGGTGAACGTGGATGAGGTGACGGCGAAGGTGATGGTGAAAAGGATGGTGACGGTGACGTTGAATGGGAAACGGAGGGTGGGGGAGAATCGAAAGTGGGCAACGCCGGCAGATGTTTGGACAACGACTCAGCCAGTGATATTCCTGACATTCCAGATGTATCGGCTTCTACGATTGTAGATAAATCGACTCCTCCACCATCGATCGTTTCAGGAGAACCTGGAGTACAATCCGTTAATATCTGATTTCATTGCAAGGAAAAGCAAATATACTTGAACGAATATCCATCACTGGTGCCGACTTGTCCCCTTCTTGCTGTTTCTTTGTGAGATCCCTACTGTCCCTACTCACACTCCTGCTCCCTGCCTTCTTTCCCAATGTCATAGACCGACGGACGATGTCGAATGAGGACGTTGACGGACTAGTATCGCTTCCACCACTATGTATGTTCAGCGACGACCTCGAGGGCATTAAATTAATTGAAGGCCTTGAAGCGGGCAAGTTCAGGGAAGGCCTTGAGGGAGACACCTGCACAGACTTCGCCTGGGATGAAGTGGGAGCAAAGAGTGTCCTCAGAGAGCGCAGAGTAGGAATTCCTGTGCGTCCGCCACCTGAACCATTAGAAGTGGACATACTGTTTTTCGACGAGCTCGGTTTAAACGAAGAAGGGGTCGACATTTGACAACAAAACCAGCTGCGACCTTCTCAGAAGGAAACATAACCTGAAAAAACATAAGGAAACTTACCTTGTGTTACATAGATAGAATTAACTTGCAATAGGCCCTTCCACTTCCCCTATATATGTAGGCAGCGTCAAGATGCCTTAGGATGGTCGAATTGAACAACTTGACGCCCATTTAATTTCAGCGGCCGGTTATAAAATACCGGTTTCTCAATATTACCATCATGGCCTTGAAGGGAATCAAAGTAGTCGAGGTATAATTTTTACACTCTGACGGCGAGTCTTTTAAACCATCTGCTCTCTAGTTTGCTGGTCTTGCCCCAGGACCTTTCGCAGGTCTTATTTTAGCAGACAACGGGGCGACTGTCGTTCGAATTGACAAACCATTCTCATCCTCGTCTCCAGATATATTATGTAGAAACAAACGGTCGCTAGCTATCAATCCCAAAACGCGCAGTGGCCTTGATGTTTTGAAGAAATTGATCGCGTCCTCCGATGTCCTTATTGACCCCTTCCGGCCAGGTGTGATGGAACGCCTAGGACTTGGACCAGACGTATTTTTGGATACAAATGGCAAGGTAGGTCTCAATAAGAAGCTCATATATGCCAGAATAGCTGGGTATGTACCAATCAATACTCAGGTTGGTCGTACTCTACTTAAAGAATCTTCAGCTTTCCGAGAACCGGTATGCATTCAACGAATCCCAATTCTGAGCATGTTCATTTAGTCAAGCAGGGTCTCATAAAAACATGGCCGGTGTGCACAGCTTTCAGGATGTTCTTCGTGAAAATTAAAGCAGAGTCAGGACACGATATCAACTATCTCGCTCTGAGCGGAATATTATCCGTAAGTAAGGATTTGAGCAATTGCTACTTTCTAATCTTCATTCTTCGAAAGATGCTTCCCGGCAGTCACGATCGCCCTACCTTCCCCCTAAATCTTCTTGCCGACTTTGCCGGTGGAGGTTTGATCTGCGCTCTTGGAATCATATTAGCACTCTTCGAACGCAATTCAAGTGGTTGTGGGCAAGTTGTTGATGTGGATATGGTGTGTCGAACTTGATGCGTCTTCGTTGTGGTCTTTTAGCAATCTACGTAGGTGTCTGGTGCCCGATACGTTTCGTCTTTCCCTCTCATTCACACCCTCAATCCATCTACCGGCACATTCGCCAGGGACCGCGGTGACAATCTTCTCGATGGTGGTGCGCCGTTCTATAACATTTATCCGTGTAAAGACGGCGCCTGCATGTCGGTGGGGTGCTTGGAGCCCCAGTTCTTCAAGACCTTCATCGAGCACTTCGTCAAGGCGCTTCCCAATGATTTCAAGCAACAATACAGATGGAACCCCGATCCTTTCATTCAATTTGATCGTGATGCTTGGCCCAAACTCAAGAATTTCTTGGAACTCGGTTTCAAAACAAAGACTCGTGATGAATGGGCCACAGTGTTCATGAGTTGGTGTAATTCTGTGTTTTAGATTGATATCTATTGAACGTTTCTGCTATAGACACTGACGCATGTGCAATACCGATACTTACTCCTAAAGAATCAAGTAAGGTAGAGGAATTTGGGCAACAATCTGTACCACTTCCTCACCCCAGAATTCTGAGTAAAAAACAGAACACAACAACAATGGTCATCGATTCAGATACAATCGAGCTTCCGCCTGGACAGCATACTGAGGAGATCCTCGAAGAGCTTGGACTTACGAATAGTGAATATCAAAGGCTGGTGCAGGACGGTGCGATAGAAGTTTCGAGATCCAAATTATGATTGTGTAGCCCAGTACACAGCGTTGTAGATTTCCTATTCAATGGCAATGGTCATGAGATCGTGAAAGCCTTGTTCTCACTATCAACTCGACTTCAACTTCAACCACAACCACCATCTTTGATAATGGCATTGAAGGGAAAGAAGGTGATCGAGGTACGTTTCGAACCGAACGGACTACACGCGCTTCCCTACACCAGATCTTCCAGTTTGCTGGTTTAGCGCCTGCCCCTTTCGCTGGACTTGTACTGTCTGACAACGGTGCATCTGTGATCCGTGTCAATCGTCCCTCGGCTAGTACACTGGATGTTCTTTGTCGAGGAAAACGTTCAATCGCTATCAACTCGAAAATTCCCAGCGGAAGGGAACTTTTGAAGAGATTAGTTGCGTCTTCAGATGTCCTGATCGATCCATTCCGGCCTGGTGTAATGGAACGTCTGGGATTAGGACCTGACGTCTTTCTAGGAGATTCTGGGATGAATCGACGACTGGTGTATGCCAGAATAGTAGGGTATATTACAAGCCATTTTTTTCGTGACCCGTGGATATTAATGCTTGACCTTGAATGTTGAACAGTTTCCCAAGGACTGGTAAGAATTGGTTTCAATGCTTGTTCTTAACAACTTATGAACGACCTGCAGGTCCATACAAAGATATGGCTGGTAAGAGATTTTAATGAACCGTCAATCAATTCATCTCAGTCTCGATGGTTCCTTTAGGTCACGATCTCAACTACCTTGCATTGAGTGGTGTCCTTTCTGTACTTACGCGTTAGTATGTTCTGTTCGATGGGTACTAATGTACCTTCAAGATGCTTCCGGGTTCCGTAGACAAGCCAAGTTTCCCCCTCAATCTCCTTGCTGACTTTGCAGGAGGGGGGATGTATTTAGCTACTAAAATTCTACTTGCATTACTGGAACGCAATGAAAGCAATCAAGGTCAAGTAGTGGATGTGGACATGGTTATTATCATTATCTCAAATGAACAGGACGTCTTCGACTAATCATATACCTAATAGGTCACTGGCACACGTTATGTATCCACTTCTCCTTTGATCCATCGTCTCAATCCTTCGACTGGAAGGTTTGCAGCCGAGCGAGGCGCAAATCTGCTCGACGGTGGAGCACCGTTTTACGACGTATATTTATGCAGGGATGGTGGTCTAATGACGCTGGCCTGCATAGAACCACATTTCTTCAAGATTTTCATCGAAAAGTTCCTCGAAGCATTGCCAGAACATTTTGTGCTTTCGGACGAATGGCGAGAGTTTCCTGCAGCTGTCGCACATGCAGATCGGAAATCATGGCCTAAACTCAAACAGTTTCTAATGAGTGGATTTTCCCTGCGAACTAGGAACGATTGGGCAGATATTTTTTTTGGTGGGGTACACTAAAGTCAAATTTTTCAGCACATACTGATTTTTTGAATTTTATACTCTCAAGCAACTGATGCGTGTTGCGTCCCCGTATTAACGCCGGAAGAGGCAGCGCAGAAAAGCACATCTAGCAGTAGGGAGGCTGGGTCATGCCTGCTCAATCCAGGCCAGCACACGAAGGAGGTGCTTACTGCAGAACTTGGACTCACAGAGAATGAATATGAAGACCTACTCGACGAGGGTGTTATAAGCCAATGTTCCGGAGACTGAATACCAGTTGAATGTGGAATACCTAGATTGAGCACTTCAGCGACCCGACGGTTTTTGATTGGCTTATGTATATGATGCATGACCGGGTCCCCAGAGACACCTTTCCATATTCACGTGAAAATAGTCTATATCATAATCACATGCGCATGTAACTTATAACTGTCCGGCGACTTGCCCCAGAGTAACTTTCACTGTCATTTCTTTACATTCACGATGGCTTCTAAACAACTGAAAATTTTCACTAGAGAAGAGGTCGCCAAGGTATGCTCGTCAATCAGGACTTCACCTCCAGAAACTGCATCTCCCCACAGCATAACAAACAGGATGATCTTTGGATAATAATTGACGCTAAAGTGTATGACCTTACGCGGTTTGTTGGGATGCACCCGGGCGGAATCGCTGCCCTCACTGACGAGGAAGTTGGTACGTAGATTTCCTCCTGTTCAGACTACATTAGCTCAAGACGTGTGTTAAGCTGGTCAAGATGCAACGGATCAATTCTTTGCTCTTCATCGCTTTGAAATTCTTCTGAAACCCCAGTATCAACGTCTTATCATTGGTAACATCGAAGGCGAGGAAGCTGCTTTGCATCCGCCAAACATAGGAGATATCAGCAAGGTTCCTTATGCTGAACCAACATGGCTGACGGAGGGGTACTATAGCCCATACTATACGGAGGTATGTAGGCCCCAATCTGAATTTTCATTTCCCTCATCCCAATTCCAATAGAATCATCGAGAACTTCAGAGGGCAGTCCGTAGATTCACAGACGAGTATCTGGTGCCCGACGCCTTGGTACGCCTTTATTCCTAAATCACCTCAATTTCTACCTAGATTCTCATATATCTCTTCACAGGCCAGAGAAGAAGATGGAAAGAGACCAGATCAGAAGGTTTTGGATAAGATGGCGTATGTCTGGCGCTTCTAGCCCGAGTAAACTTGGTAGCTCACTTAGTCTTCAGTGAGTTGGAACTTCACGCCATGCGATTGGGTCCGGGTAAACATCTGCAAGGGCGTACCCTGATGGGTGGCATTGTCAAGCCTGAAGAATTTAACTACTTCCATGAAGTAATCGTTTTAACATCCTCCGAAATGCTTTACTCATGTCCTCTTAGCTGGTCGTCATGCAGGAAATGGTTCGCTGTGGAGCTCGTGGATACGGCGATGGTGCGCATGCCGTGGATACACTCTGACTCGTATTCACATTCTCATTGTAGGCTTACTCGGAGGGAAAGTCATTGGTCTCCCTCCTGTTCTTAATTTCGGCAGCCAAGAGCTGAAAGATCGCGTGGTCCCGGAGGTTCTTGCCGCAAAAAAATTTATCTGTTTAGCGATTTCCGAAGCGCATGCAGGTAGTGATGTTATGGGACTGCAAACTACAGCCGTTAAAAGCGAAGATGGGAAAGAATGGATCATCAATGGTGCGTCTTTTCTCCAGTGATTATATCCAATATGATTTCATGTCGAATATGAATAGGATCCAAAAAGTGGATCACCAATGGAACGTTAGTATAATCTACTTTCGATGTCACTGCACTTGACGGCTCATAACATTTTGCAGCTTCGCAGATTACTTCACCGTTGGGTGTAAAACTGAGGTATGATGCTCTTGAATCAATTCACCCTCGTTTGATATATATATATATTTTACCAGGATGGTTTTACTGTCATTCTCGTCGAGAGGGGACCAGGTATTGAAACACGTCAAATCAAGACAAGTTATTCCACGACTGCCGGAACAGCGTTCATAACATTTGATAATGCTCGTGCGCCTGTTGGAAACACGTTGGGTGAAGAAGGTGGAGGAATTTTCGTAATGCTTAGGTGCGTTCTTTCTGGTCATTACTCTGTAGAGATGCTTAGCCGTTTGTTAGTAATTTCAACCATGAGCGATGGGTGATGTGTTGCGCTTCAGCTCGTGCTCAAAGAGGGATAGGTGAGCATATTTTCATTTCAAGTTATATGGCTATCATTACTGATAGTTCCTGTAGTTGAGGAATGTCTCAAGTAAGACAACCCTTTCGTTTCGTGTGCCTTTCCTCCGCCAAACTTCTGCCAATGTCTCTCAGATGGACTTCACAACGGAAGGCTTTTGGAAAACCATTAAACTCTTTGGCAACAGTTCGTGCCAAGCTCGCAGCGATGATACAACGGGCAGAAAGTAAGTCTAGTAATCAATCAAGACTTCAGTACGTACTTCTCAAACATAACAGGTGTACAGAATTGGCTCGAGAGCATAACATACCAGATGTGCAATATGGTATATCTTATGTATCCAATATTAACTCATATCTGATACTACCTTGTGTAACAGTCATACAAGCAACAAGCTAGTAAACTCGCCGGGTACGCCCTCTGTTTCTCAAATCCGGTGTCTGTTTCTCACGAATTCATGAAAACAGTCAAATCGCCCTTCTAAAGAGCTACTCTACCTCCTGTGCTCAGGAAACCGCCAGAGATGCTGTTCAGCTCTTTGGTGGAAGAGGTATCACCAAAACAGGTATGGGAAGACTCATTGAACACGTATGTGATCAGGTTCTCTCTGACGAGGCTCATTCTTACCGTTATCCTTTCAGTATCACCGTACAATTCCTTTCGATGCCCTGCTCGGGGGAGCAGAGGACGTCCTGAGTGATCTTGGAGTACGTCAAGCTCTGCGCTCTATGCCTCATGACGCTAGACTATAAGACGTCGTACATGATGTAATAGTGGAACAGTTGTCGACTTTAATTAACATTATTAGATTTCTAATGTCGTTGCATGGGCAGATTTTTGTTTTACGAATAGATTCATTTCATTATGGTTTTGTTAAGGAAAATTTTACTGTACATGAGTAGAGTATGAAATAATTTTGAACGTATCATTCGATGTGAACTAGAGTTTACAACAGAGACATACTCAAACCGATATGTACACCAAGAGAGAGAGATCAAAATCAAGCGTACTGCATCTGATTCGAGTATATGTCCGTCATGGGCTCTGACCTCTCTACCTCATTTTGAAACTGGGCAAGCCAGCTGTAACCTGTGGGATGATCAGAAGCAAGCAATAAGGCAGATATCGTCACACTTACCAGAGACGGTTACATCTTGCCATATCGATTGGTCGTTCATGGAATGGAACCTCATCAGCTCGTCGTCGCTTGGCATAGATCCCAGGTAGTCCATGACGTTTGGATCATAGGCAGATCCTTGCAATGCGACATTGTCGGGCACAAACGGATCAATGGCACCACCAGATGGTGCGAATTGATCAAACGACATTGCCGCTGTAGAAGGCGGGGGTGACAGGGAATGCGTAGTAGTCGCAGGTGACGCATACGCTGATGTATGATTAATACCATTGCTAGTATAATCAACGGATTCGGATTCGGCATTGGGGGTTGACGATTTGTTGCGATTCGATTTCCTTCGAAACTTGTTATGACCCGGAGAGTTCAGTTCAGCAACCATGGGCGAGGCAATTAGGCTTTTTAAAAAACGAGCGTATAACTTGGGACCGTGACGATTGTCGATAGCAATTTCGGGGGTACTGAAAAAATCAATGACGCTCTGGACACGGAAACGTATAGCGGCACGTTTTGAGGCATCGATATAAGCCGCGAATTTAGGCTGAAGGAGTTTGACCAAGAACGCAGCAGCAAACGCGACGAAAACACTCTGTGCTTCTGGCCCGTGACGAATGAATATTCCTACCTACAGGTCAGGACACTATAAGCTCTTCAATTTAGTAGAATCGCTTACTTTGCTCAGGACGACCGATATCCTCAACCATGGTCTGTACGATGTCGTTTGCCGCGTTCATGCATCGATCCAAAAATGGGTTGTCATTTGAACTGTTTTTCCCAAATGCATGTTGAAAACCGTATGAAAGCACGATTAATCGGGCGTAACCAAACGCCAACTTCAAAAGACCAAGACGGAAATGGCCAGGAGGATCATTCTTGTCAACGTTCTCGTCTAAGATAGGGAACCATTTGGTTTGAAGCGCAAGAAATTCTTCATCTGTCTCCGCTGCGATTTTGACGAAATCTACATCCTTTGAATTTTTTAGTGAAGACTGTCATACAGATACAGCTTGAAAGAATTTCTACCTTGTTTAATCCTGTTGCGTGGTCAGGATCATTGTAGATTTTTGAACGGAAATTCGACATGACTTTTAATTCTGAGTTGTAACAGCAGAGTTGAATATCGAAATTTTTCATGTTATATGGTGATAATTTCCACCAATCTTCTGAATGATTTGCTATATAATCGTTGTTGCTGATGATAGGGGGCTTCCCATTTTGAGAACCAGTACTACGGTCTAAATTGAAGCAGTTCAGCCAAACTCTCGTCCGATTAAGTTGCTCGCGGGCATGCATTTCATTCTGGGGTTTAGCAGTATTAGGAAGATGAAGGTTTAGTTCTGTTGCGATCCTAGTAAAGATGAGTGAATACGACTAGTTGTACAGATACTGGTCCTTTACCTGATTGCTACACCCAGATATAGCCATCCTCGAGACTCCTCCCACCGTTTGAGAGGCGGCGGATATAGGCTCAATAGTATGTAAGCAATACACATTTCGATGTTCTTCGGACCACCAATCAAAGCGGTGCCTGCAGCCAGTTGGGCATAGTTCATGATTTGAACATATAGACCAGGTTTTTCGTCATAAAACCGGGACGAGATAGCACATACTAGGTTAGGAATCAACACAACTTTCCCCAATTCCCTGGCAAGAAACTCACTTGTAGTGAAAAGAAAAGGACTACGATAGACCGTCTTTTGAGCGGTATATAGCACCGGATCGACGATGGAAACGGAAGGATTGACCAAATCGAAGAAACTATCAGAAAGTGAGTGCCCGAACTGACATCAACGACACACGTTCGCACAAACATTTTGAACAGCTTTTCGGCATCGGATGGCGTGATTATGCCCCTGGCCAATATATGTGGCAGTTGTGGAAGATTTGTCGTTTGAGTTCTGGCAGGGTCAGGACCAGGACCTAGAGATAAATCATACGTTTCGAAGCGTATTAAGGATTAGGTATCTGGGACGCACTAGGCCTAAAAAAATTGGCATTGGCAACGCCAGTTTCCGCTCCGGGTTCATCTGTCTCTACTTCAGATTTACTTCCCCGTTCCCTGATGTTTTTGTAGCTCAACTCTGCCATGAGTCCAAAAGGAACGGCTTCGTTGGGTATGGTGACCGATTTTCCAGTTGATTCTTTCTTCTTAAAGCCAGAGATACTCCCAGCACTAGAACTAGACAACCTCTTGCCCATCGGTCGTTTAATTTCCGACCCCTGAGGACTCCGTTCTTCGCCCTCATCGTCTACGACGGCGAATTCATATTCCCCGTTGCTTCGAGGGGCATCTAGACTGCTGTCCGTATCGCCTCCACTATCCGAAAGACTCTCGGGATCTTGCTCGACGATGTAACTTTTTGGCATACTGGCGCCACCGATACCGATGAAGCCTCCAAACTCTGCCAAGCTTTCGCGAGCCTTGGCTATCCAATCCTCGACGTCTTGATTGGCACCAGGACTAACCTGAGTCGCAGAAGCAAGATCCGAGCTGAAATAAGCAGAATCATGGGTAGAAGACGGCGACAATATTGGCGGTGAAGAAGATTCAGACAATCCAGCGGAATGTAAAGAAATTTTTTGTTTGTTGGCTTCCTCAAGCTTGGCCAGCTTGGCCATCAGTTTCTGGATTTCATCCGCCTGCTTTTGGATCTCGTTCAGAAGATGTTCCCGTTTTCTGGATAAAGAAAAACATGAGTAATGAATCATGATGAGACGTGCGGTAATAGCAATTTACGGAGGAGTCCGGCGTTTCTTCCGTCCAGGAATCACGCATTCATGGCCACCATTCAGACATCGTTTGCAAGGATCGGTATCCGTTTTGAACTCACAGCGGACCTTGACATTCTTCGTTAACATAGAAACGGGCAAGTTGGAAATGCTCTTCCTACCTTCAACGTCTTACACCTCTGACAAGCGCCACTTTGAGTGTGAAAACCTATGAGCATGATAAGGAACATTGTACAGTAAAACACGTACGGCTTTGTAGCCTTCTCTTTCGCTTCCACCGCATCAATGTCCTCGTCGTCTCCGCCCTCATAGTTGTGGTCGTTCATTCGAGGTCTCTTTCCTTTTGGACCCCGAACAGACGAGGACGCTCTCTCGTTGGGTCGGTCTGAGATTACATTTGTTTGAAGACTAAGAGAAGTCGGGCCAATTATTGGCGGAGGAGAAAGCGACAATGCAGGACGTTGAGTTCTCATGGAATCAACAGTATTTGCGAAACTTGTGTCGTAGGGGGTAGAGACGCCTTTGAAATGCTGCTGCTGCTGGATGGCTGATGAGCCCGGGAGGAAATTATTTGAAACGGAAGCATTTTGAGAGCGCGTCGAATTGAATTCGTAACCTTGATTTAAGGTGTAGGGAGACGTGGACGATTGAATGCTTGGGTTGAAAGGGTAGTCGTTAGGAATACTCTGGGAGAAATTCGGGTACTGTCTGTACTGTGAATCATTGGATTGGAGCTGCTGATAATCGTACTCCTGCTCGAGCTGGACCTGAGGCTGGTTGAACGCGGTGTTCCATTGACGATGGATGTAATGATCGTTCATGAGGGTAGCTGAAAAAGGATAGATTTTGGCTTTGTGGATTGATCAAAAGATTGAAAAAGCATACGTCGATGAGCTTCTGTCAATGAAGTCCAGATCTTCTCACAGTTGCTATCTGTAAGCAACACACTGAGTTTGGTTTTGTGAAGTGGAGAGGGAACCAAGCTCAGATTTCATACAACTGACAATTGCAGCTCTTCTTTCGTTTCCGATAAAGATTCCATCGTTCACAACCGAGTGCCCAATTATTTGTACCCTAAATAACATTTGGTGGCTGTGCTTACATAAACACACGTGCTGGCTGTGCTCAGCAAAGCGCTGTGCGGTGTGATTTTGAACCTTCTTCTTCAAAGTATCTACAGAACTTTGGGCGTCGGATACGGCTTACACCAGAACTCAACGCACGGTTCAATTCAGTATCGTTACGCGTCATGGCTTAAACAATAGTCAATGTCTTATTTCATTGTTAATATTCCAATTTTCAAGCTTCAAGCCTCAATGATGTATTTCACAAGCATTCCCCATTTCAAGCCAAAAATGACAAGAGCATGTGCTTACCCCAGGCATCCTCGTCGCGAATTTAGTCATGCCGGTGATGTCAACCCTCAGTTCGCTAGCAACGCCTTATCGTCCATACTGACTGTTTCTACTTAGGTCCTCTTCAAATTAGCCCTCCTCAAGTGTAGATATCTCTCTATTCCGCGTATGGAACCTTCTTGAATTTATTCCCGAAATTTCGTACTGCTCCGCTCTTCCCGGTATATGTGTATTTCATCATTCCAGAATCGCTGACAGACGCCAGCGATATACGAGTCCAATGATTTCATGAATATATCGAACCTGATGCAACGGCCTTGCAACTCGCTGGAACCCACGAGACAGTACAATGCTTGATTTCTTCCCCCATCTCCCCGCTAGCAACTCTAGCTATCGAGCCAAACCCTACGAATGCGGCTTATAGAAATCTATGCCGCTGTCTCTACAAGGGACCTGGACGAAGTATTCAAACCTGTTTCAAGTATCCCCTGTTCAATCTTTGCAGCGTTCCAAAGTGCTTCATAGTCGGGGGTTGTTTCGAATTAACATTAATAATGCCGAACAACCAGGATCTCTAGTGCGATGAGGCACTGTCTTAAGAAAAGTATAGTGAAACGAGCGTCAAGTATAAATAGTTTAAGAGATGGATCCATTACCTCCAAATACTTGACGCCTCCCATAACACACCTCGGTCTTTCTCTTTCTCTTGCCCTCTTTGTACTTGCGGCAATTTCCATCATGTACTCGTTACCAGCAGTTTCTGCTGGAATCATAATCATGATGGCTGGACAAAGTTTGTTGAACCCAACACCTGTCAACAATGTACTGATTCTCTACAACAGTATATGCTGCCGCCATCCGTAGATTCCCTGCTGGCAGGGGAACGTCTGCGGACACCTCCGACCCACTCTCCGACGTCGACTTCTATTTTCCTTTCAAGGATTTACAGAGCCAGATCCAATCGGCAAATATCCTATGTCCCGCACCGGGTGGACCATATGATACGGCACTGTCACTGATCACTACGAATGTACGTTTCTTGCTTCCATATTGTACGAAAGATTGTCCTTGACCTGGCATATAGTGTCCTTCGAGCGGAACCGATAACGTTCCAATCAACCCATGTTGCACACAGGATATGCTGAAGGATTTGGCGGGGGCAGTCGGGTGTGTGCAAGGTAGTGACACGTCGTTAGCATCTTCTATGCAATCTGCCACGAAAGGTCAGCCAACGTTTGCTGTCTCTGCTGTCTCTGTGAATAACTTCAAACTGTGTAGATTTCATTCAGCAATGTCAGCAAGCCGGGGTCAATGGGTTATCTGATCCTTTCTCTATCTCGAGTAGTGTTGGGGCCTCATTTACGTCAATAGCCTCCCCCTCTTCGATAATCACACCTACCAAGAGCGCGACTTCGACGATTTCCACGCCCTCATCCTCCTCTCCCTCTATTTCCGTTGACCGTCCCTCGACCTCTTTTGCTCCATCCTCATCTTCTAGTTTCTCAAGCACTTCACCCACTTCCCAGTCGTCATCTGCAATTAAGACTATACCATTTGGTCCTTCAAGCGGTAGTCTGGGTGCAATAGCAGTGATTCTGGTGACAATGCTAGTAACGTTGATTCATCCCTAAGGTTCAATGTCGTTGTTAGACCCACTTGAGGCGATTTGCTTGTTGGTGCCATCTGGGTGCCATTTCGTTCCTCTTCACGCTTTCATGAACTAAATCGTCGTACCAGTATTACCCACATGATGTGCTTGACCGAATGTATATCATCTTTCGTTGCGTTGGATGGAATGTGGAATGAATCCTATGACCCATTCAGCAGCCGCCTATGACTGATAACTGGGAAAAACCTCATCCTATGACCCGCTACTGTAGCATGTATCGGGCCGCTACATGTTCTGCAATACCATTTAAGCTCACTTCAACACAAGAATTACTCAAAACTTCGTCTTCAGACATGAATTGGGGTCCTCTAGTAGCTTTCGTTCTGAGTGCGATTGTGTCGGCTTCTAACTTAACTGTGACGGTATCTGGTCCTCCGACGCTTCCCGAAACCGCATCACATACTCTTCATCCATCCCTGGCCAGCTTCAGCATTGAGACAGCATTTTTCATCATGTACGTCGGGAACACAACGAGCCCAAACATCCTGACCCGGGATCTCCTTCAAAATATCAAAGATCGCATCGGTATTCCAGCGGAAATCCGTATCGGCGGTATCACTGCTGATTCGACGTTCTGGGATTCTTCACTTGAAGCCGCTATATTCAATTTTGTGGATAATACTGAAGCGCTAATAAATACCACCATCGGCTGGGAGTTTTGGAATGCGGCTCGTGAGCTTCTGCCTGAAGGCACTCAGATCACTGTTAACCTGGTGTGCCCAATTCAATTCTGAACCATCTTCGTATGCGTGCTTATGTTTGGTTGGCCAAGAACCTTGAAAGCTTGAATTTTACTGGGGCTCTTGCAGTAGCCGAGTCAGCAGTCCAAGGATTACCGAATCAGGTTGCAGCATTTAAGAGTATGCTTTCCGATAACGCGCTGTCTTCGGTATTAGGAGACTCATTTCCTTTTTAGTCGGCAATGAGCCTGACCATTACTTCTCATTCACTGCTAAGAACTATTCCAATATATGGGAGGTCAGACAATAATTCACCTTCCTTCGTCCTACCGGTTTGAACTCACAAAAGCAATAATAACACGTAGCCTTGGTCAAAAAATATCTCTTCCGCTCTCAACTTCACAACTCCAAAATTCCAGCTCGCAGCAACCGCGGATGATCCTCTGTGGCCTTATAACACTATTGCTGCAGATGCTCAGCTGGATTGTGTTAGTGCGCTGGCTGCTGGAGTGGATGATGCGAATACTGTCGAATGGTGCAGTGAACATACTTATCAATACAGTGTATGCACGAATACATGAAATGTCAAACATATACTAATGATGATAACATAGGTATGTGATCCGACAAGAACTGCCATTGCTACTCTTCCCAACCTAGTGAGGAATATTATATTTATTGCAGTCTCAAACTTCAGGCTAAACAACCCAGGTCAATCACACTCGTCTGGCGCAGTATCTCGACCTGTGGCAACCTCGTATACAATCAGTCCGTAAGCAACTTGGTTCACATGCTTTCGTAATAGGTAAGACTAGGGGTTTACGCGTGTATAACGTCTGATCCTCAACATACCTCGCTCAATCATGATTGTGCATAGGTGAATATAATTCCGTATCATGCTCTGGGCGCGACGGCGTGAGCAACACCTTTGGCCAAGCATTATGGCTACTCGACACTATATTTTATGCAGCTTCCCTCAACGTCTCCAGGCTGTACCTTCATCAAGGAGGTCCCCTTGCACTTCAGAGTGCGACTCAACTTAACAAGGGCGGCTTCAGTTTCTATGATCTATGGTATACTGTTTTCGGAATATATTCAACCACTTGATTCATTAACACTATGTATATAGGTATCCTATCGACAACTTGAACGGCCCCGTGCAAGTATTTCCATCGTATTCTGCCTATCTCTTCGTTGCAGATGCAATAGGAAGCTCGAGATCTCTCAAGATAGCCAACATTTATCCTGGTAGGCAGGCAAACGGATCCACAATCACCACTGCCGGAGGGGATACCTCGTCAGGACAGTTAGTCATATATGGCTTTTGGGACGAGTCTCACCAGGACCCCTGTTTATGGTAGGGGAGGTTAGTTCCTTGGCCTTCCAAATGAGCTTGATTTTGACCGAAAGTTTTTTTCGTGAAATCCTCCAATTTTGACCGAATTTTGCAACTGACCTCACGACGGACCCCAAATTTGACCGAATTTTAGATCCAGACATATTTTGGCGCCCACGCTTAGTGATGTCTCGAAATTCACGAAATGCAGTGGAAATGGTTTTCTGAGCTCAGTTCTAAATTTTGAACCAAGGACTCTGGATCTATCACAGTATGTATGCCAGAATAGGCCAGAATTCATACATTCACACTGCACAAGTGGTCAAAACCTGACTAATTTTGACCGAAATTTGTGCCAAGGCTCCAGCCCGAATCATTCATTCTTGACCGAAAATTTTACCAACATACATGCCAAATCAGGTCGATTTTTGACCGAATCTGGAACCAACGTCCCCTACCATAAACAGGGGTCCTGTCTCACCCTACAGGTACCAACTTTCCAACCAAATTGGCACTTCTAAATCTCCAGATTTATAACCAAACTCAGGATGAGATCAGACCAACAGCATCCTTCAATATCTCTTCTCTTCTGTCTAGCACAAATACGCAGATCTCTGTTCGTCGCCTGCAGGCACCTGGTGCTGATACGCAATTAGCCAATGTAACCAAGTGGGCGGGTCAAACATTTGAAAATGGGACAGCGAGCGGGCTTCATATAGAAGAAAAGGTTGAAGGTGGAATTGTGACGGTCGAAGCTTCAAGCGCTGTTCTAGTTTTTCTTGAGAATGATGCTCGGTCTGTACTCATATAGAATTGTTCCCCTGGAGCTATTTAGAACTAGAGTTGAACGTTGATGACCGGTGCTGACCGGTGTTACCAGTCAAGGAGGTCAAGGCTGGCTAGAGCGGGTCTGGCGGGGTCGAGGTGTATGTACTGGTAGGTACATAATACAGCATAGTATATTACTTTCAGGTACAGTCCACGAAATCTAATTTTAGGTTGGTACCTGCAATACAATAGGTCACGACTCACAACGTACAGTAGTATGTAAGATAGATATAGAGTATACAATTGTAATGTTTTATTTTTGAAATTCAACAATGAAGGTGTTCAAACGAAACCCCGAGCTCAAAATTAGTGAACTTATTCACCTCACAGTACATACAAGAGTACAGCAGAGGGCCGCCACTGGGATCACCAGTGACCACATCCACAAATCTATCCAGTACTTCGGGCGCCCCGGGCCGAACAAATTGATGGAGTCGTCATAGCAAACCGCGCCATTCGTGAAATGAGGGTATTTTTTGTTTGGTTTTCACCAGGTTTCAACCATCTCTTCGACTCAAGGGTATCGCTGCCTTTATTGTCAGCGCATCCCTCGTTCTCCCCATTCGCCGATAGCGGCCAGTCATTCCTTTATCACTGACTTTCCTTTTCCCCCTCGACAATCATTCTCTTGATCGTTATGCCCATACTTTCCCAATTCCTTCCTAGAGATGATTCATCTGACGATAATGCTTCTTCATTGAGCCCTATCTATATCGCTGGAATAGCCCTTATTGGCACGATAGTCATCGGCGTAGTCGTCTGGCTTACTGTCAGACATATCCGAAAACGTTCCAGAAGCAAACGCGAAAACGAACGAGGCGCTGCTTTCTTATCCGTTCGCGGCGTGGTGCGAGAGGATCAAGAAAAGGTGCTTCAGCTCGAGTAAGTACTGTTTTCATGATTTTATACGAGCCGTCAATTCAAAGAGCTACCCACGTAGGTCTTCACAAAATGTGAAGGGCACTTTTTCTCGTAGCCAACTTACGCAGTCGGTTGTGCTTCCCGAAAAAGTCCTTGCCCACCCTCCCCCGTCTGCTCCTCCCGCAGATATCATAGAATATCACCGACAATCAGGCAATTTTCCTCGACCTTCCGTGGTTTCACAGCCATTTTCTTTTGCTCTCAATGCTAGTAGTGAGGGCCTTCATCCGAAGTCTGACAATCGAGGATCATGGATCTCTTTCATGAGCGCATCCGGGTCCGGCCGCAGCCGCTTCTCCGTCATCTCTTCCACATCTTCCGTAGACTCCTCACCTACCACTGGCACCGTGCGAAAGATTCGTCAGGTGTTTAATCCCATTCTACCTGACGAGCTCCTTGTCATTCTCGGTGAAAAACTCAATGTGATCCAATCCTTTGACGATGGATGGTGTGTCGTTGGCAAGGAGGGAGGAAACATCCTTGCTCAAACCAAGTCACTCTTCAAGCAAGCCGAACCGGACAACAATGTCGAAATCGGACTTGTGCCTGCCTGGTGCTTCCTCAAACCTGTTGTTGGTTTGAAAGGTGAACGGCCTATACGTAGCAGCAGTCTTGGTATCACCATTCAAATGGAAGGTCCTGCCTTTTCTTCCAGGGAGGAGATAATGTCGTGGTCCAATTTCTAGTCAATCAAAAAAAATTACCGTCCTGCTCTTTTATACCCTTTGGTTTCCTTCTGCCTTCCCTCTCCTCACCGTCACTTGCTTGTGCATATTGTTATTTCTCGCTAGCGCTGGCATTTTCGCTCGTTCTCGTTAGTACGAATTGCATTGAATTCCCATAAGTTATCGTAGTACCCACCCACTACGTACCATTTTTGTCTTGTAGCCTGGAGCCACTATTCCTTTATCTCTCTCAGATGATACTTATCTATGTCTTCTTCGGTGTTGTAATCGTGTATCAGTGTCCATCGATCTTTTGACACCAACAACGCTTTTAGTAAGAGTTTAATCAGGTCGATAAGGCGATGTACAATGAAGTAATTGTCAAAGCTGTTATCGTGTCAGTGATACTCAAAGGTACACACGCGCATTGCGAAGCAGGCGTATCGATTTATCAAGCCACCACGCCAACAGCCAATTGCGACCTTTTTTTACTGCGCCTCCATCATCTCCTCAGGCATTGGTGCCCCGCTTCCCGGTTCTCTGTCTTTTCTCACAGCCTGAACGACGTCGTCGACGCGGAGGAGCATGCGTGCCGCCTGCATATCATAAGATTAGTAGTGACGCACATGTCGGTAAAAGGCGAAGAAAAAAGAAGGTATGACAGCATAAAAAGAAAAGCCGCTACTGCTAACTTGAGTGTGAGCTTTCTATGCTCAGCTCCTCTCTCGAAAAACGTATTATTATATCAAAAAATAGGATGATACGACCAGATTAAAGAAAATAAAAGAATTTAATTCACTGATCAAACTCCAGAAACTCACCTCAACAGCAGTTTTCAAGATCTGTACCTTGACACTCGCACTCTCCCATAAGCCGTATTCTTTCATGTCAACGATCTTGCCGGTATCGCCGTTCACGCCAAAGCTGGACAGTGAAGAAGTATGTTTTGCCTGAGGTAAACACCCGGTTGGAAAAAATGACACCAAATGAGGACCGAACTGAGCGAAGGAACAGATGGTATCATAAACTTACTCTTAACTCTGTCAGCACCCTGATAGCATTTCCGCCTGCATTCTGAACTAGGGTTCGAGGAATGACTTCCATCGCTTCTGCTACGGCTAGGAAGGGTCCAGTTTCGACACCAGTGATGGTACTTTCCTTCGTCCCCTCTTTACCGTATGTCGTAGGCGTTATTGATCCTGCAGTACCAACACAGACTTTAGAGCTGAAAACAAGGCTAAGTACGAGGGCACACACCTCGTTTGGCTGCTTGTGCTAGCCCAACACCAATGGCCATCTCAATTGCGCCTCCTCCAGGTACCAACCTCGGGTCCATGATAACATTGCGAGCAACGGACATTGCATCTTGAAGATTCCGATCGACTTCATTGAGGATGTCTTTCGACGGGCCGCGTAACAGGATGGTACATGCATGGGGGGATTTGCAAGGCGCTAGAACGGTGAAGTATCTAGAGAATACGGATAAAAAAGAGAATGATGAGCGAATTGGGATATACACACTCGTCGCCAATCTTATCCACCCGCATCTCCTCGCATCCAGTTCCAACATCGGATTCCCGTAGATCTTCAACCCGATTGACTATCGTCGCGCCAACCGCTAGTGCAATACGATTGTTATCTGATTTTCGGACACGTCTGATGCAAGAAACATTGTGTTTGAGGAAATGGTGCTGGGCAAGGTCTGCGAGTGGAGATAAATCCAGAACGTAGATAGATCGGAAAAATTGAAGGCGCACTCACCCGATACGCCTTTTTCAGTAAGCACCAGATCACATCCAACTTGGCATACTGCTTCAACCATAGCCTTCACAACTTCTTCTTCCACCTCCTGTGCCCGCGACCAATCACCTTCCTTGCTAAATTCCATATTTGTTTGGGATTCGCCCTTTTTGTACTCTAGCGGACAATCCAAAAGGACTATCCGAGGATTCTGGATGCGACGACGCATACCAGGATGAGTGATATCTTTATTGAGCATGATACCACGGATTACACGGGATTCTTCGATTGCTCCTCCAGGTATTTTTTCGATGCGAGCGTAGCGTTTGATATCGACTGTAGGCGTCGCCGAAGAAAATGTAGACGCATATTGGGAGTCAGATTTGTCGGACTGAACATTTTGTGCCACGATGTGTACGGCGTCGAGAGCCAGTTTACACATAAGTTCCGACCATCGGGACACAAACTTGGTTCCCAATGCTCCCTTCACGATTCCCAACATTTGTTCCTCATCCTCAACATTTACAGGTATTGCTACCTTTTCAATAATCGCCAGTGCCTCTCTCAACGCTTTGTTGTACGCCGAGATGATCACCACGGGATGAATATCCCTTTCTAGCTGACTCAGAGAGGAGGCAAGAATCGATGCAGCAAGCACGATGACGCTGGTTGTCCCATCACCACATTCTTCGTCTTGTGTACGAGAAAGCTCTATCATGTTCTTTGCGGCAGGATGAGCAACGTCAATTTCACGTAAAATTGCGTTCCCGTCGTTAGTTAGTCTATACATCGACACGAAGTTCAAAAAATCAGCGAAAATTAAGATATACTTGTAAACATTTCTCACAAGATTCCGCCCATTGGATCCAGTATCATTTTCAACATGGCCTTCGGGCCCAGGCACGTCCTTATTACATCTGCTACTGTTTTTGCGGCAGTGATGTTGGATATTTGAGCTTTGCGTCCCGATTGCCTTTCGGGCGCAGTGTCTAAAGTTCATCGATAGAAGTCAAAAATTGTAAAGTGGAAGTTTTAAGAAAACGAGGAAGTATCATAAGAAGACAATTGACACGAACTCATCACGAATACAGGTGTTCCCGACATTGGGCCGTGTCGGTGAAAGATAAAGAGTTGGGTCTAGTGATGGGTTAATCGGAAGACGCGTTCACGAAATTTCCACATAACATGTACATACAAAGCTGCTTTGTCCGCGTGTAAATTACAACTTTACATATAAATCTACGCAGTTGAATACACTTATGTGTAAGTACTCCAGACGATGAATTACTGACTACGCGGATCCGTCCACGAATCGCATTTCATGTCTTTGGGCCTTGCACTAGAGCGGGTGTTCAGAAGGAAGATGGGGCGGACTCCAAACCTCAAAGACTCTAAACTGAAGGAAATGATGGGCAACTTCGACAATCCTTCCTGTAATGCGTTTAGCGGGTTTTTGAAGAATCCACAATTCAGGTGGTACATCCGTAAGGTAAAGGAAAAAATAGAGTACCATTGTGCAAGGAATTAGTCTCCTAATACAATATCCATATCCGTGAGCTCTCTTCCATCTTGAGCATTGGATAGGCCGTTATGAGAGGGAGTAAACACCTCCGCACCCGAAGATAATGAGTCAATCAGCATCGACAGCTTGGGCGTAGTAAGCGCAGGATCCTATGGAACGTTAAGCAGAGATACGAGACGGTGGGATCACGATTTACCGACCTTCCTAATTATCTCCAAATCATCCTTGAAACCCTCAACAATATTATTCATCCAGAATTTCGTGAATTTTTCCTGCAAGACGCGTTCTGATTCTTTCGCATCTCGAGTTTCTTTTTCTGGTAGAAATGAAGGTATCCGAAGAGCAGAAGGAGCAATGGGACCAGGCGAGGGTGAGCGAGGTCTAGGACCTTTTTCGACAGAGTTTGCATGATGATGGTCAGATTTCGATTTGCCGTTGCCATGAGGGGGAGACTGGGACTCATCACTGGAGGAAGAGGAATCTGAAGAGGAAGAAGAGGAAGAGGAGGAAGAGGAAGAGGAATCAGAGTCTCCGTCCTCATCTGCTTTTGTTTTAACCGCATTCACCACAGGGAGTGTTCGTGTGACTACAGTAGAGTCATTATCTGAGGAAGAAGAGGCATCTGAGGATGATGAGGACACAGAAACTGCTCGACGCTTCCGTTTTCGGTTTGGCCGTTTTCGTGGGGCGGGCATAACATTGACTGAATAAGAAATGCCGGGCGGCAATAAGCTAAGAAAAAATAGAGCGCTTATTTTACAGTTAACTTATCGATCTATCTATCCATGTCGCCTAAAGTAGTAGGGATTCTGGGCAAGTACCAAAATTTTTTGGTTTCCAGAGAGCTGTTGACAAACTATACTCAGGACTTCAGGAGGAGGACAGCTTGGGCGAATGCTAGCGGCTTCTGCGTCGTTGTTAAATATCCCTGTGGTTGTTCTGGACGTTGGCGTCGACGCACCAGCAAAGCAAATCATTGCATCCTCATCACATATTGATGGTTCTTTTAGAGATAAGGAAAAGATCGCGGAATTGGCATCAAGAGTAGATGTCCTCACAGTTGAGATCGAGCATGTCGACGTCGAGGCACTAGAAACGGTACAGGAAAGCCATCCAAATGTATCCATTCATCCATCTCCCTCGACCATTCGGCTTATTCAAGATAAATTCTCTCAAAAAGAACATCTTTCCAGCGTTGGTTGTCCTTTAGGCCCTTTCCAAGCCGTGGACGCTACGCCGGAGGCGATCACTCAAGCAGCAAAAGAGCTAGGTCTTCCCTTGATGCTGAAAAGTCGAACAATGGCATACGACGGAAGAGGGAACTACCTCTTACGTTCTCTCGACTCTGAATCTATTGCAACTGCTATAAAGTTTCTTGGTTCCGGATCAAGGAAACTATACGCGGAAAAATGGGTTCCATTCGTGAAAGAACTCGCAGTGATGGTGGTTCGCGGTCTTGATGAGACTGTTGCTAGCTACCCAGCTGTGGAGACCATTCATAGAGATAATATTTGTCATTTGGTTTGGGCTCCGTTTAGGCTTAGTGACATCGATCAAGACCCTGCATTACCGACGAAAGCAGAGCGAGTGGCGAGGGAAGCTGTTGAAAAGGCGTTCAAGGGCGCTGGTGTTTTTGGTGTGGAGATGTTTTTGTTGAATAATGGTGAAATCCTTATCAACGAAATCGCACCACGCCCACATAACTCGGGCCACTACACCATCGAGGCCTGCGAGTCGTCTCAGTACGACAATCATCTCCGTGCAATCCTAGGGCTACCTCTTGGCAGCACACGTATAAAGGTCGGAGCTGCAGGGATGCTGAATATACTTGGTTCGTCCGACGGACAATCGTCCAAGATATCTGAATCGTCTTCCCCATCCTCATCGTCCTTCGCCGACGACTTATTGATTGACAAACTTACCCATATTGCCCTGTCTACACCGGGTGCATCCCCACACCTCTACGGAAAAGCACAGTCGCGGAAAGGACGGAAGATGGGACATATCACAATTGTAGGCACGAGTGATGCAGAAGTGAGGGAAAGGATGGCACCTCTTCTTAGCTGTTTATCCGAATTCGAGGGAGACGTTCAAGGCGACCAAGCCTCTTCCCCCGATCCTCCTCATCTTCTCGGATACTCTCACCCACATCCCGTTATATCCATCATAATGGGTTCCGACTCGGATCTGCCTGTTCTCCTTCCTGCTGCACAGATCCTCACAAAACATTTTCCTTCTATTCCTTTCGAAGTCACACTAGTTTCCGCACATCGTACTCCTTTGCGATTAGTGAATTTTGCGAAAAGCGCGGCGGGAAGAGGGGTGAAAGTGATTATAGCCGGTGCGGGGGGAGCAGCGCATTTACCGGGCATGGTGGCAAGTCTCACGGGTGTTCCGGTTGTTGGTGTACCGGTAGACTCGAAATCGGTGAGTGGAAGCGGGGGAGGGTTAGGAGGGGTGGATGCGATGTGGAGTATTCTGCAGATGCCGGTGAGTACTACTTAGTACGAGCAGGCGTGTTCTATATTTTTTGTTTCTTTCTCATCCTGGTAAACGCACTATCATTGTCTCTTTCAACCAAAAACTTGATGATAATCTCTGAGACTGATGTTTTTTCTTCTTTCCTTTATGTTATAATAGCGCGGAATCCCTGTAGCCACCGTTGCTATTAACAATTCAACGAACGCTGCTCTTCTCGCGGTACGCATTATTTCCGCTGGCAAACCTCAACTGGTTATCCAAATGGAAGAGTATTTGCGGAGACTAGGCGAAGAAGTGGAAACGAAGGTTGATGTGATGAACAGGGTTGGGTGGGCTGGATATAAGTAGACATCAAACTTACAGATGTGTAGGTAACCTTGTATGATAGTCGCGCCTCCTCCTGCACTATTATGAATCTTGTTTCTTCTACGTAACGTCCTTTCTGCTTGAAGCGCTTCTAGTTTTGCCTAGATAAACAGACCATGCTAAATTAAGGTTCAAGGTTCTTCAGAAACAGATTTGATTTACAGAGGAAGTCGTAAGATTCAAATCGAGGCTGGTAGTAGATAATCCTTAATTGGACACGCCGCAGAAAGCAAACTACATAGATATGCATCATGATAAATGAAGTTTTCGGGACGCAGCAAGCCGGGCATAAAGAAATATCTTATCGCTTTTCTTCATACAGTATCTAAAGTACCTCGACCCCATAATCTACTTGTGAAACGACAGGGCGGGGCCCGTCCTGGCCATCCACTGCTCCTGCCGAAAATAAATCCCGCAACAGAACGGAATTGCCAACTCCCATAGTCTGTCCTGAAAACCATTGAGTATTTCATTTTCTGCCTGTTCCCTCATGGACATATATTCAAACCAAGGAGGGTAAAACCCAGACCACCCCCAATCAATCATCCATAACCTCCCATCTGAGCCTAGAATCAGATTCCGAGGGTTGATATCGGAATGAGTGAGAACAAGGGGTGCGGTATCGTCGAACAATTCGTTACGGAGTGGATCGTTGTTGGAAACTCCAAAATGGCTCAGACCAATCCTAGCTTGGCGGTTGAAAAACTCTGAGAGTTCAATATAGGATGCAAAGGGACCTCGTTTTGGTCGAGTCCTGCCAAACAGCGGCGATACACATTTTCGGGCGGGTTCACCGGTATGTTCACACACTGGGCCTGGGGGTGTTTGGGGAGTTGCTTGCAAGCGATGGAGCTGAGAGATGTAACTGCGTAAAATGAGGATAATGGAAAATTTCTTCCACAAAGAGAGGTTTGGCCATGCTTCAGCTAGCGTCGGGCCCTCGATATAATCCATTACGATCACAAAGGACCATTCTTCTTTAATGACTCGTCGCACTCTCGGGACAGGAATCGTGGTTCGTGCATGAACCATATTTAGGGCATTGGCTTCTGAAGAGTTTGGTGGATTTCCTGGTTCGATCGTGGCTTTGGCAATCGTGCGAGGTGTGAGACGACGGACAGAGCAATCGATCTCTGGGGCGGTTTTGAAGCGTTGGAGAATTCCTTCATCTGTAAGTTCATCGACGTCCGACTAAGTATTCGAAGACATTAGCTATCAACATAGATATAACTCAAGCTCACTTTTGAATCCTGCGGTCGTTGTGCGAAAACAGAAATCAACTTGACCAAAGGTTCCGCCAAGCAAGAAAGAAGTACATAGAGTACAATGGAAACCGTTACACGACGCGATAATCGCTGTGACAATGGGACAGCGTTAGGGAGCGGCATTCTGAACGAACGATGGCTGAAAAGGGGTTGTCACCTGCCTGTCTGATAGGCAAGTATCTTTGCAGGAAAAAGCTATGCTAGGACGTCAATTGGTTCACTGGTACGAAGTCCTCTCAAGTGTTCACTGGGTATCGAGGCAGCTCAAACTTCAGTCTTTCAATGTCAAGGTTGACCGAGTGGAATTACTTGGTTGGAACATTGAAGAGGTCAACCCGAGCCGATACATACAAAAAGGAAGACGAGGATGGAAATCCCTTGACCGAAGATGTCCGCATTGAGCAAGTGTTCCTTTGCACGGATGATACATATCTGACAATTATAGCTCCCTAAATCGGACAGTTTACTTAGTCGGGATTATTGGAAGTCTGAAAGGGAACAGGCTCTCTATGTCCTCAAGCTCAAGCCCATTGGCTCTATCAAAACCCACGACCTCTATGAAAGAATGGAAGCTTTTGGTCTAAATCAATATGTCTATGATGGAAATGGTAGTGGCTGTCGCACTTGGGTGCAAGCGTTTGTCAAATTCCTTGAGAATGAGGGAATGGTTGAAGAAGGTTCCAGAAAGCGATTGGACGAGAAAATCTTGGAAGGACTGAGAGAGAACATATGGTGGATACCCGATGAACCAGAAGCGTCATTCTTTAGGTGGGGAGCAAATGGGGAGAAAATGCTAATTGGAAAAGAGATCCTGTGTATGGTGTGAATCGTGTGATGATGCCCCACCATGTATGCATAATTTTAATCACACAAAATTGCTTTGTGTCATCATTCAGCACTGCTGCAACTAGTGAAATCTAATTCGACACCTCGTTCCATTAAGCAATAGGCTATCTTTGAAATATCGAGCATGTGAGAAATTCCATGTATGTGAAACGTTTTACAAGGATTGGGAGGAAATTCACATACCGGACATTGTACCGATGTATATGACAAGTCAAAGTTTCTCGGACACAGCGGGTGCCCCAATTTCAATAACCAATTCCGTTTCAGGATAAACACTATCCAGCATATCTTGTGTAGTCTTCTTCGGCGCCCACCCAAGGGCTTTGGAGCGATTGGGTCGACAGCGCGAGTTGCTGCCCAGGTAACTTGAGCCCTGAATGATGATAAGTTGTTGAACTTGGTAAGCATAGAAGATATGAATGAGGGGTTGAAATCAGGGCTTACGTTGAAATACTTGTTGATCTCTTCTTGAGTGAAGGTAGTGGGTTCCCCGCCATTGCTTTTGTGCATCTTGAGCATCACGTCAGAGATGGATTTGCCAACTTGATATAGGGTGTGCTCTTCGTTTGCGCCAAAATAGTACCCTTCGCGGCCGTGTCCGGGGGTAGACGGTAAAGAAGAAGAGACGACGACGGCGTCAAATAGGTGATTATATAGATCTCCGACTGTAATCCAAGGAAACACACAGTTCAGCATATGTAGGTTTGAACAAATTGAAACCCGCCCGTATGCAAGCTGATTAATTGTTGGATGCCACTTACGCTCATGTATCTCGACGTTAGGCCAAATGTTCTTTCCCAGCCCCACCATACCTGCATGGCCTCTATCCAAAGACGCGCGGATCAAGGCTGGGATTTGGACGGATTTCTTGTTGGAGATTCCAGAAGTGAATAGGGGACCTTTGGATATACCCCAGATGGTAGCGGGTAGGACGATATAGGTTTTCACGTAGCCTTGAAAGAGGGAACATGAGAAGGTTAGATATGTATGTATAGCCTGAGGCTCAGAATGAAAGTCAGGGAGTACTACCTACCCTCAGCGTCAGCACCGACTATCTTCAAATCAACAGGACGATGAGGTTGAGTTGGTTTCAGCGTTGCGATTTGGTCGGGGTTGGCATCGTCCCAGATGATGTCTGTCGGGTACATTCCAGCTGCGTTGTCGCTAAGAACACCTGTCCCGGACTAAAATTGAAGGGTAGTATATGATATAGTAGGCGATTTTGGGTGAAGAGAAGAGAAAGAGGGTAGTGAAAATTGATATAATACGAGGGGGACCTACGGTGTTGATAAATATCGACTTCTTACCAGTCTCTTCGAACCGTTTTCTCAATCCTTGTAAAGTACCAGTGGCAGCATCCACATCGTCGCAGTCGGCCTGGGTCGGTTGTAGGTATATACAAACGAGTCTTATGTAAATCTGCAATGGTCACGATGCAAGTAACCTACCATCGCGATAACCACATCCACCTCCGAAGCCGCTTGGGATATCAATGGGATATCGGAGTGAGAGCCCAAGATCGGTGTTACGTTTTTGAAAAGAGATTTGAGCTTCTCGGCTTTTTCTGAAGAACGCACGATGGCTCGGATGTCGAATGTTTCAAAGTCGGATCGTTGGGCGAAACGCGTGAGGATGGTGCCTCCGATATAGCCTGGAAGGAAAAGGAAAGATGGGAATTATGAGAAGATTTAACATTAAACTTGTTCATGCATAGACCCAGGATTTACTTGCCGGTAACGCCAGTCATAAGAATTTTGGTCATGGTTGGTCGAGAGAGAAGGATTCGTGGAACAGGATGACTGAGCAACAATAACAGAGTGAACTTATTACATCATCTGCCCTCTCATTAGAAGATTCTTCCCAGCACTAGGTGTACTACCCTAGAAGACTACATAACAGTGAACGCAAGCTTGTGTTGCTTGAGTCTGCAGGAGCCTGCCTAGTAGAGACTATTCAGGTAGCGGGGAATTGGCAAGCTCCTATCCGGAATTGACCCCAAGTGTAAGTGTTCCAATGACATCTCGTGTAGCCTCCCCCGACACTGAGCCATCCTTCAAGAGACCAATCACCATGAGAACGTAATTTCTCATTGCCGAACCCCGCGAATAGAGCTTCTAGACCCTTGGAAATGAGAGACATATACCAATATAACCTGGCTTCCGCTTGAGCGCCATGTGCAGGATCGGTCTTATCAATGTCGTGAAATGGCTTTCATGGCCGGTGTACCTTTTCGTCAAGGGATTGCAACACTCGGAGTGACCGAAATGAGGCGAGAACAGCGAGTTCATCCTAAGCAAGATTAGCGTCAAAACTCGAGGGATAAAAAATCAAGAAACACGTACGACATTGTATCGTCTCTCATGATAAATCCCCACACCAATGTATGTATATATGGGAAACATGAAGCGGCAAATGGAAGAATCACAAGTAGGGAGGATTGAACATTCATAATAAGCTTTGTGTGACCTGCCACTCTGAAGTGGACAGTGAGCCAGATAGAACGCGACTGATCACCAGGCGAGTAATATCAAGCCCTTGCTGTGAGGACTTTGCGATGAAAGGAAGAAGGGAAGTGATAGTGTCGGCAGTGTAGTGTATTTCTGAGTTTGACATGGAAACGAGTATGACCTTCTGCAAGAGTGGGTGAGTAGACGCGAGTCGGGGAAACCACTCCAAAAAGATAGGATGACGATGCATGGCCAAGTTGATTACATGAAGGCCTGGAAATTTTGGGTTCCCGAAATCTTCCTCTAGTGATTCCGAATGGTCAATTTCAAGCTTATACACTTTCAACCCCCGAGCATATGATTCCTCAAAGCTGGGATGAGAGATGCTTTCACACTCGACTACTACCTTTGACAAATCCAAGGGATTGAGCAGACCCGGCATATGGTGTAGGCCGTACAATGACTTGACTATCATTGTCGAAATCGAAGGGTGTTGATTTACAGCGTTGAGTAGTACACGTTAATCGAATTAGTGATTTCGGTTGGGATCGAACGAGCTTCGCTGCAAGTGGAAGGAGTCATAAGTGGGAAAGGTTGTAAGCGGACTTCATAGGATACGAACCCTAGTGGAAACCGAACACTCGAAGTGGAGTCTTGCAGGTCTACTCATGCTAAACGAGGTTGATAAGCTCTGAGGAGCTCTGAGGATATACGTTTGCAACGGGGCACTAGACAGACCGTTGAATGGATATAGATAGGGGAGTGTATGCAAGGTTTTGAATCATATCTTCGAGCAGCTCTTCGGACAACATTGTCAACACGATTGCTGCCGATTGGTGTGGATGAAGCAGTCAATAGAGAGTGTAAGTTGCAGCCGCCGTAGCATGTTTAGCAGGGTCATGTGACAGTCATGACACATTTCTCTTACTCTGAGAAATCCGAGAGAACGGTGACTGAGTAACAAGGTGTACTTAGGACATCATCTGCATGATTCTTCCTAGCACTAGGGAAAGTAATGTGCACAATCGCTTCTAAAAAAGATCTAAAGGGAAAATCAAAAAACCCCACGCCCTTTTTGTCGAGACATCCCAACACCCCCACCCTACTGGTACCTACCAGATTGATAGACAGAATAGACAGATAGATATACCACCTAAGACTACTAGTATGCACCATCAAATAAGAAACGGAATCATACTCTTCCTCCCCCTCGGGTACGCTTTCCCGAATTCCTTCTTGTACGCAGCGTGTTTCTTGAGCGCCCAGAGCAGCATTTGGCCGGTGCCGACGGTTGTGAAGAGGTATGCTGAAGAAAGTGGAAGGTTAGAAATGGATAGATGATGAGATTTTGGGGGAAGGGGGAGAGCGACGAGAGGAGGGGAAGGATAGGAAACTCACCAGCCCAGCTCCCCGTCATCGCACAAACCACACCCCAACCCAACGTTTCGAAGAGATAATTCGGGCACGAGACAAGACCGAACCCGTATCCAGTGGGTATTGCGCGTTTTTTAGTACCGGAGGGACGGAGAGAACGGAGGTGGAGGTGTGTGAGGAGGTTGGAGAGTTCAAAGAACTGTTTTTGGGGGAGGAAAATATATAAATGATATATCATAGAGAAACGACAAAAAGAAGAATAAAAGAATTGTTACATACCGCCCAAAGACCGACGCATACCCAAAGGACTTGAGGGTCGTTCCTCCAAGTATTTTTGATGTATGTGGAGGAAACAGAGAAACTGGGTCGGTAGAGGTCGTAGGCGAGGAATAGACCTAGGAAAAGGAAGAAAAAGAAAAGGAAGAGGAAGAGGAGGAAGGGTCAGGATGTTGAGTACGGACTGGAACTTTGAGTTGAGGTTGGGAGTGGACGTACCGGAGAGGATATGGTAGTGGCCCGAGCTGAGGGTTATTGTTTGATTGTTAGAGTCATGTGAGAGTCATATGAAAAGGTGTGTGTGTGTAGGAGGCGGAGGAGAGAGACAGAGCGTGTGTGTGTGCGTGTGTGTAGGGAAAAAGGCGGAAGAGTAGTAACAGTACTCACTTTTTGAAGATATTGAAGAAAGGCATCGTACCATGCGAGAATCGGTGGACACTGTATATATATAAGTAGATTAATTGAACGTTTGATTCTCCTTAGCGAGCAAAAGGCAACAGAAGAAAAAGAAGGAGGAGGAGATGTACGTACAACAATGTTTCTAGAATCCGTTTCGCGAAATGAGCTTCGATCATTGTAAATACCAGCCTATTTGTAGGTCGAGGATATGGATAAGGAAATATATAGAAGGTCAATGAGATTGGCGGCGGCACCTTTGTAAATCACTATGTGTGACGTCTGTGCCGTAGAAGAGGCGAGGGAGGTAGTAGAAGAATGGGTGGATGAGGAGTGGACCGGCCTGTGAATGAAGAAATTAGTTGATTATTTCAAGGAATAAATGGATAAAGATGATATGCGGGGGAAGGGGACACACGTACATATTCCACAACAAAAACAGTCTTCCAACCAAGTTGAGGACCTAGGTCTTTCACTTCTAGTTCGAGATTACTAGACCCAGGTGCGAGTCCCGCGAGCACGTCTTGGAGTTTCGTCTCGTCTGAAAGACTCGGAGGTTTCGTGTTTCCTGTGGGCTTGAGAGTAAGTCGTTGGCGAGAGGGGTGAAACTTGTGGGTAGGGGGGTTAAATGAGGTTGGTCAGCCAAAAATTAGCTTCCGAAATCCCAAGACTACGAACTTTTGGGATCTTTGCTTGAATCTTTCGTTTCACATGACCGACAGTTTCTTCGGGGGATGCTTGGATAGTCAATGGGAAGGATACATTTCGTGCGAATGAGGGAGGCTTTTTGGAGGAGTTGATGTATATTGTTAGTTTGGAAGAAGACATTTGCTTGACTGGGAGCTCGACGTCGAACCTACGTATATTTTTTGGGCTTTACGCGTTTACGGACCGCATCGTTTACGCGGGGTCACACGCTAAGTCACTCAATGTCGGGCCGGTGGGTCCGTTCCTCCTGATCACCAAAAAAATTAAAATGCTCAGTGCGATTGCTGCACGGAAGGCTGCTACAGCTGCAGCTGCGTCTGGTGGGGTTAAGGGTGATTCATATTCGACATCTGCATCTACATCGACGGTCTCCACTTCGATATCAACACCAATAACGAAATCAAAACCAAGGCCAACACCTTCGAAACGAAAACATTCTTCAACGGGTGCGGCGTTGGACGGGTCTATAACCGCGAAAAAGAGAAGGAGAAGGGAAAGAGATGTACTAGAAAAGCCCCGGGCACCCAGGTCTCGATATTTTGAGCAAGGCAGACCAGCAGCGACAGAGGGGGAGGATGGGGTCGGGAGGGATGAGGATGACGAGGAAGAGGAAGAGGAAGATTGGGATGGTTCAAATTCGGATGTAAAAGTTCAGACGACGGCTACGAGAGGATATTCACCTAGTCGGCCGATATCCCCCGACGACTCTTCTGATGAAGAGCAAGTACAAAATGGCAGCATACAACCAGAACCACAAACACAAACACAATCGCAGGTTTTATTGACTACCTTTGTACCTATCCCTGGACAAAACACGTTCTACCTCTCCCCAGATGAACTCTCGCTTGTCCTATCGGCTGAGAAAAGTACGGTACCTGCTACGCTGATTGCACTCGGCCCCTCAGAAAACCTCACTCTCCTTGGGACGTATCGATTGACTGTTATCCGTGGGTCTATCGAGATTGGTGGTGCCATTCTACGTAGTCGGGTCCATCCGGAAACACACAATGTGTTTGCACCTCGATCGTCCCCGGTTCCTTCCATCCGTGTGGTTTCCTCAGCACCTTCTTCGCGTTCACCTGCTCTTTTTCCACTGAGGATTCAACACGAAATAGATGCGCTTGTTGGAGATCCTGTCTTGGTTTTATTGCAGGAATTACGTTCTGGGGTGGAGGCACTGGGCAAAGTCTGTAGGACGTTTGATGGGGTTTTTGACGTGCACCCCAGGGATGTCCTTAATCGTAATCGTGAATTGGAGGAAGAAGCAGAGGACGTTCTTCGGTTGAGGTCTGTAAGAATTGTGAGTTTTCCTAGTCTTGTACTACAGAATTTATACTGATCAAAAAATTCTAGATAACTCATCAATCGAAATACGTTTCTCCGCTTGTTATTCCCCCGTCATGGGAGAAAGCTTTGGATGAAGTATCCACCCAAAACTTGGAGTGCCACGACGACGACGACGACTCGGAAACAGAAAGAAAACACCCACCCAACATATACCTAATCAAAGGACCCAAAAAGGTCGGTAAAAGTTCCTTCGCAAGGACGTTGGTGAATAGGCTATTATCCCAACACAACACTATAGCATACCTCGATCTTGACCCCGGTCAATCAGAGTTTACACCCGCCGGATTAATTGCGCTTACGCTGGTTTCCGACCCCGTACTGGGTCCTCCTTGGACGCACCCGAGTGTTCCCTTGCGCGCGCATTTCATTGGCGCGTTCTCGCCGAAAGGGTGTCCGAGTTTGTATGTGGAGGGTGTCAGGGATCTGGTGAGGTTTTGGGGAGAGGAGGTTTGTTGGGGGGGAAGCAAAAGTGCGATTCCACTTGTGGTGAATACGATGGGGTGGGCGAAAGGGCTTGGTGTGGATTTGATGAAGAGGATTCAAGATGTGTTGGTTGTTGATGGGGTTGAGAAGGTTTCGTACGAGACGTGTTTTGGTTCTCGGAGCGGGAGCGAGTCTCGGGCTGTGATGTGTGTGTATGAATTTGGGCAGTCGGAGAATGAGATGGGTAATGGACGACAACGAGGAATGGATGGTTTGCCATTGGAGAGGTCTTCGTTCTTTGGTGAAGGAGCTACTTCACGAGTCGATTACCATCAACATCCTCCACCGGGAATCCAGATTCATAACTTGGAACCTGTACCTGTGTCAGCCAGTAACACGTTGTCGTTGTTGTTCTCAGCGGCGGATCAGAGAACGATGAATATCATGTCGTATTTTCATGCGGTATTTCCTTCTTCTTCGTCCTCTTCGTCGTCGTATACCGCGGCGCCCCATTGGGATGCTTCCCTCCCGCTTCTTGCGCGTCCGCCGTACCAGGTCGATGTTGGACGCGCACTCGATAGGGTGTTCCTTCTCGGAGGAGGAGGAGAGGTGATTAAAGCCGAAATTGAGAATGTGTTAGGGGGCGCGGTGGTTGCGCTCGTTAGATGCGAGCCTGGGACGTTAGATGCGATTGATGATAATGATGATGATTCGACGCAAGGTCAAAATCAATTGGGGGAGGTGGGGACGAAGATACCGTATTTCCCGACCTCGACTTCTGCATCGTCTTACCCATCTCCATCGACCTCTTCTGCTGTCGGGTTGGCGCTGGTTCGGAGCGTCGCACCCGGGGGATCTCATTTACATGTGTTGACGCCTTTGCCTTTGAGTGCTATCCTCTCATCATCTTCGATATCCTCGGGTTTGAACTTGTCAAAGTCCTTAGATATGGGTATGGGTATGGGTATGGGTACGGGCGCAGCAGGGGCGAGAGTCCTCGTTAAAGGGGAGATGGAGATTCCGATTTGGGGAATGGTTGATTTTAGGAGGTTGGGGGGGAGGGGGGTGAATGGGGGAGAAGGGGAAGAGCAGAGGGATATACCGTTTTTGCAGTGGGAGAAGGGTGTTGGGGTTGGTGCGGAGAGGAGGAGGGTGAGGAGGAATTTGATGAGGAAGGGGCAGGGGGTGTAGGGGAGTATAGGGGAGTATAGGGGGTGCCATAGGGCCTGACTACTGGGACCCTAGCTCCGGATCTGGAGGTTAGTATTGGTTAGTTTTGAGTTATCTCCCAATTTTAATCTACATAATCCTTGAAGCTTGATTATATATCCCGGTTCATGGCGCATGATTTGTTTGGCGTATAACATCCCCCCAGTGATTGGTTTAAATAAGTGGTTATAATCATAGGTGGCGGGCAATGGTATCAGTTGCGCGACCCAGCCGCTCGTTTTCCTTTTGAGCCTCGACGATATCCCAGAACAGAACTCCCAATACTGCTATTTCCCCTCCTTCTATAAGGCCCCTCTTTCATTCACGCATCGACGCACTGGAATTAAGAATATGCCTTGACAAAAAAAAATTTCGACGAGGCGCGCAAAAGAGAAAAGTTTCAGAAGGGTGTAGAGAATGCTGCCAGGAAATACTGCAAGTCCAACAATCTCAGCTCTAGAAGTCACACACACTGGCAGTCTGAGTCCTCTTCAGCTTTCATGTGAATGATATAAACGTGATAACAAAAACAGAGAAACTTGAAGAAAATCATGATGTTGAAATTTTTAGGCCCCGGTGAAAACTCCCCGACCACGTATGTACTTGTAGTTGACCTCTACACCACCATTTATTCATGCCGGAGCTTCCTGACAGCTTCCGTTGTCGAGCTCTCAGAAAGCCCGCGATTTGGTCCGGAGAACAATGCAGGGAAGTTGCAATGGATGGCACAACCTCCCTGCAGCTCCCCAATTGCAACCAGCCAGTAAGCTCCTGTAATAAGTCTTTTCTTCATACAAGCTGTCCATGTCAGACCTTAGCTTGTATGATGGAGTGGCACTGAGGGTCGCTAAGAGGAGTTAGTAATGACGACATTGGATAACTTATGTAAAAAGAACCAAGAGAAATATCTCTTCAAGTTCTACTTTTATCTTTCTCACTTTACGCGTTCACGTTCACGACTCTTACGATTACAATGAGCCATGAAAGTTTAAGTTTCCTGGAACAGGCTCCGTCTGTAATTAGAAAGGCAAAATCTGTGTGGAGCGATTTTATCGGTGAGTATACATCGCAAGGGTTCAAGCTAGTTGAACGTTAACTTGCTTTGAACTAGACTTTGTTGCTAGTGACAATGTCCTTCAAGTTGCTGTTGGTCTCATGTGAGTTCTATGACTGACAACTAATTGCTCTCCTTCAACCATCTACACAGTATCGCCAACGGCTTCACCAAAGTCGTCCAATCTCTTGTCTCCGATATTCTCCTACCCCCAATCGCCTTGTTACCATTCATCGACCGGAACTTTGAAGAGAAATTCGTCGTTTTGCGTAAAGGACCTCATGCGAATCAGACTCTAGCACACAGTGCAGGGTACAACACCCTAGACCAAGCAGCTGCAGACGGCGCAGTGGTCTTGGCTTATGGACAGTTCATTACTAATGTAGCGAATTTCCTTGCGTTGGGAGTGTTTTTGTATTTGATCGCGAGAGTTTATGCGGTGTTCACCCATAAGACGATTATAAGCCATACGGTGAGGTGTGCGTATTGTAGGAAATATGTTTCTGAAAAGGTGAGTTATTCGGTTGATCTGGTGGTTGACTGAGTTTTGACATTGCTATTCTTTTGTGGTGTGTTTAGGCTAAGAGATGTTTCAATTGCACGAGTTGGTTGGATGGAAGGGAGGAGAGGGAGACGAGTGCGCTTTGATAAGTCAAATCAACTGTTTTATCTTCGCACGTGGATAAAACTATGGGTATGTATGTACTCTAAATAGATACGGACCATATATGGTGAACGGAATTTCCACTTTCGCATAAATACATGAATATACTTTTCCCTCCGAGAAATTCTCAAGTTTGACCGTAATAGTCTCGCGCCGTTTAGGAATTGTTGTTGAAATCGCGAGGATCAGTGCCTACGGGTAGGACATTAGTGCATTAACGACTTTGGTTCTGTTTTTGGAGTTGAAAAAGAAACTGACCACAGGCAGTTTCATGGGTATCGAACTCGAGGTCCGATGTGGGAGTCAATTGGGTTATCACAGCACCGGTGAACCACTACACCAAGGGTTTTTTTCCATAACGGTTAGGGTTCCGAGTGAATGAAAATGTGCTCGAACTCACTATGAAATGATCATCCACTCGGTCCCCATAGTTCACCTGGACGTTACCAGATTGCGAGTGGGTCAAAACACCGACAGTTTGAACGATCTGTCTCCCGGGGTCTATCGTTATCGTCGTAGTGTTCGAGGTGGTCTGCGTCGTAGTAGTGCCAGTGCTGAGTCCTCCCCCAATGTTGATTCCTGCAAAGTTGATACCGAGGTTGACGTTGGCGGTTGTTGTGGAACTGACTTCAGAGGAACCGCCGATTGTGACGGTTATGGGTTCGGTGCCTCCTCCGCAGCTGGATGATGATGATGATTGGGGTAGGTAGAAAGGTTAGTGGAAAGAGTTCGCTCTGAAAATGATTATGAATATCCTCACTTGAGTTGTGGATCGCCTATGACAGAGTATACGCGAGTGTCGGGATTGCTGACGATGTTGACTAGGGTGCATTTATCTGCATTTTCGACATTGGGAGAGCCTTGTCAAGGAAGAGATATGAGACGAAGAGATAGATAGATGAATTATAGATAAATCATTACCTGCAGCACCGGGACATGAAAGCAGCAGATCGTTGTCTGAAGGCGAAGCGTCACGACGATGGTTGGGACTTCGAAACTTCGAGGGAGCGGCGATGACGCTGGAAGCGAGGAAAGTGCTGAGTAGGATGGAGGAAGTGAAAGCAAGCATTTTGGATGTGATGACTGGAGTAAAAAAAGACAGCAGCGAAGAACTTGGGGGCAGCGAAGAAGCGAAGGAGAAGACAAAAAGAAGGAGGGGTAGAAAGCGTCAAGCTTGAAAGACAGAGGAAGAAAGAGTTGAAAGAGGACAAAAAGGGAATGTAATATCGTTGAAGGAGAGCCTCGGACGCCTTTTATGCTGCACGATGCACATCTACATGAGGAGTTACCATGTATAAACTTGATTGGGCTGTTCCGTAGTGTTTCCTCTTCGTGTAGGCTACTGTCACTTTCACAACAATCGTTGAAACTCGAAAGGCAAAGATTCAATGATCAACTGAAGTTAGACGCATTGTGACGGGCACCGGTTCATGGATGCCAAGAGAGATCTAGAAGGTGTCTTGTTATTAGTACTGCACATACCGTTCTCTGTTTGTCAATCTGTTCTGGATTTGAGCCTTGGGTTGACTAAAATATTTAGGCGAAGGAAGAAATGGTACCTGTACGTGAGCATACCAAAACACAGCAGCGAAATTTGAAACGAGGATTTTGTTGTTATTCTTAGATGGGGCTAGAATGCTTTTTTTCTCCTGCCGAGATTTTGTTATACACAAGTTCTCGTTCACGACCTTGAGAGGGATCATCTCGGTTCGATGAATAAACCTAGAGGTACAGTAAAAAGATGATGGGGATCCTAATTCCTGAAGTCGTTACTTACGGATCAGGTCAGGATCAGGTGAAAGCGATAGATGGAATTGCCATGCATAGCACTAAGCACCAGCTGCATCAGGCTTGGCTGGGATCGCCACAACGTTGAAATGCAAAGAATTAGACCTAGAAGTGATGTCGAGTAGACACCCTCTGTTGGCATCGAGCAATTGACAGATTTAGGGTGGGAAATATGTATGGATTGGATGATGGAGGCAATGGTTGTAAGAAAAGGACCTGTATTAGATTCTGTTAGCTGTGAAGGATAGTTCCATAAGAGGGTCAACAACAACCAGGCAGTTGATAGAGAATACATTGACATTTTGTACGATATACAGTGGCTTGAGGATGGCAATTTTCAGCCACACCAACCGCGGGGAGTTCTACCCGCTGCGATACATGGCGAATGGAGATGAGAATGAGCAGTGAACATTATGAATTTTGAGACCAAAGTTCTGAGATGAATCCGTTGATACAATTTGTTTTCTTTCTATACATATACCTATGATACAAGCTCTCATGCACCAGATTTCCAATATGCGATATCTCCATCGATCACTGAGGGGGTGGATATGGATAATGAGAATTGCACAAAGGACAGGCATAACAGAGGTCATGGAACTCACTCTCATAAGGTTTACCTTGCTGTCTAAGCTTGCCAGCAGCTTTCACCGCAGCTTCGGAGCCATGTTCTTTCAGGTCAGCGAATGACATGATTTCACCGCAAACAAATTTATTTTCAAAGTCGGAGCTGAATGAAATGAGGACAACAACAAGTGAGCTTGATGTAAGTGATACATCAAGTACAGGACGCACTGAATGACACCAGCAGCTTGAGGAGCTTTGGTCCCCTTCCGGATGGTCCAGGCGCGGACCTCATCTGGTCCACAAGTGAAGTAACGGATAAGCTGCGAAGAGAAACTGATATGAGAATGAGAAATATCATGGAAAGGCACAGGACGGACCTCTAGACTTGCGTAACCGGCATGCGTGATCTTGGGCAACGCGCTTTGCGCACCGACTTTCTTCTGCTCTTCGATTTTCTCTTCATCAGACATTGTGGCGAGACGTTCCTCGAGGGCAACTGAGAATGGAATGAGTGGGTCACCGGGATTGTTGGCATCGATCCACGCTTTGATTTTAGGTAGCCTAAGGAAGGAACGTCGAGCTTAAAATGGATAAAAAATAGGAAGTAAGAGCTTACCACTTGTTTTTCTTCCTTATGTAGTCTTTTTCGCTCAAATTCACGAGATAAGTAACAGGTTTGGCGGTGAGTAACTGTAGAGAGTTGACAACATCGATCTAGAGATTTGATAGAAATGGAACATGTTAGCAGTTGGCAGTGAGTGGAGGAAGAAGAAAGAACACGGTATAAAGACTAAAAATTGGGTCAGATTCGAAAGTGTTCTCAATGGCACAATGGGGCGTTACTCCCGCCTCGACGAGCTGGGTTAATCGAGCTTACAGCTCTTTGTCATCAGAAATGAAGGAAAAGGGAGATAAAAGGGCGCAGAAGATTCATCATGAATGGGGTTTTATTTACCTGGAAAAATAGTCAGTTTGAGCAGGCGATAATGAAGACAGGATATTCAGCATAAAACAACATCTCATAGGCACAGTGGGGCGTTACTCCCGCCTCGACGAGCTGGGTTTCGAGCGTATAGCTCTTTTTCATCCTATATACGTGAATGAAAGTATGAACACACCTCTTTACCGGTCCATTCATGTTTGCGGACATCTTTCTGATCGACTGAAATGACTTTGAGAACTTTCTCAATGGTAGCCTAAAATGACGGTATAAGCAGGTAGTAAAATGAGGGACGAGGTGAATACGAACAATTTCCTCTTTCTTTGCCTTATCGGCAAGACTGTTGCTGCCGAGGGCCCTAGTAGTTTTCTTCATACCATCCAGATGCTTCTCAACCCACTCGATGTCCTTCAAGCGAAGTTCGGTTTGTATAATGTCCATGTCACGGCAGGGGTCAACGTCACCCTCGACGTGGATGACTTCAGCGTCGTCAAAGGCACGAACAACTTGGAAGATACCATCTACAGCACGGACATGAGAAAGGAAGGCGTTTCCGAGTCCTGCACCAGTAGACGCGCCCTGTAGAGGAGTCATCTGTTAAAACTCGGGAGATTGAGGAATTAGAGAAGGCACATACGGCTGTTAAACCAGCAATATCGATGCAAGTCAAATGAGCGGGAATGCGTGAGGCGGGTTTGTAAGTGTCGCAAAGCCAGTCAAAGCGCTCGTCCGGAACGGGGATACGAGCTTCCTGATCACGATGGGTTTAACGACAAACATGGAAGAGAGAGGTGAATTTGCCCAGGTCTTCCCGGCGCACCTCGGGGTTGATTGTTGCGTATGGGTAGTTAGCTGCTAATCCAAGACCTGAAGACTAGCGTTTCAGAAGTGGATTTATTGGTAAAAATGCCACGTACTGGTATTGGACAGCGCATTGAAAAAAGATGATTTGCCGACATTGGGGACTCCTACATATGAAAGGTCGCATGAACAAAACGTATCCATAGGATGTCTCGATTAAACAGACCTACGATACCGATCTTGAGGTTGTTACCAGGTCGGCCGAGAAGAGCTTTCTTAGTTTCTTGTGCTTTCTTTGGTGGCATTTGTCGAGAAGTAGTAGTGGAGAAGGGAGAAAATCTGGGCCTAAATAGAGGAAAAAGAGAAAGCTGTCGTAGCTGGCGTGAACAGCAAAGTAATCGATTTGGATTTGGAAGCATGAAAAAATTTCCTTCCTGGTTGTTGTGACACGTGGTTTTTATCAGTTGTCGCTTAGAACGTAAGCCCGCACGCGTCTTTTGGTATTACCTACATAAAATCTCTAACAACCTCTCCACACCAAAGTTGATGATGGATATCGGAGCTGGGATAACGACGGGCACGGCCGAATTGAGAGAGGCCACAAAAATGGAACGTATAGGAGTTCACTCTCATATCACAGGTCTAGGACTAGACGACAGATTGGAGCCAAGGCCAAATTCTCAAGGTATTCCGAACTATATCCTATCTTCAATTGGACTTAATTTGTTGAATGTTATTCTAGGAATGGTTGGTCAATTGCGCGCACGGAAAGCGGCCGGTGTCATTCTTCGCCTGCTCTCACCTTCATCTTTTTCTTCATCTACAGTCTCTGCTGCTCCTGGACTCTCTGGCCGTGCGATCCTTCTTGCTGGCCCACCTTCAACTGGTAAAACAGCAATTGCGCGTGGAATGGCAGCTACATTAGGTCCAGATGTTCCTTTCACGTCGATCACCGCGTCTGAGGTGTACTCGTTGAGTATGAGCAAAACGGAAGCGCTGACCCAGGCACTGAGGCGAAGCATTGGTGTCCGGATCAGGGAAGAAGAAGAGATCGTAGAAGGCGAGGTCGTGGAGATTGTTGTGGAGAGGGGAATCACGGGTAGTGGAAAATCAGGACGTGTCATCTTGAAGACAACGGACATGGAGACTGTGTATGAAATGGGTGGAAAGATGATTGACGAGATGACGAAGGAAAAGGTGCGCGTGTATGAAATATGCGCATTTTCTCAACACATTATAATTACAACTTCCAGGTCCTTGCAGGCGACATCATCTCCATAACAAAATCATCTGGACGCATAACTAAACTCGGACGATCTTTTTCTCATTCACGGGATTTTTCACTACTCTCTCCATCGACAACCTTTCTTCCTACACCTTCAGGAGAGATTCTCACCCGACGTACCGTCACACATACCGTGTCGTTACACGAAATTGATATCATTAATTCTCGTACTCAAGGATTTCTTGCCTTGTTTGCTGGTGACACAGGAGAAGTCGCCGCGCCTCTTCGGGCACAAATTGATGTCAAGGTCGGTGAATGGAGAGAAGAAGGCAAGGCGGAACTGGTAACAGGTGTCTTGTTCATAGACGAAGTTCATATGTTGGACATGGAGTGTTTTTCATTCCTCAATCGTGCACTTGAAGGCGAACTTGCTCCTTTGGTAGTGATGGCGTCCAACCGAGGCGTAGCTCGTATCCGAGGCACAGAGATGCGTGGTCCGCATGGTCTTCCTCCGGATTTACTCGACAGATTGCTCATTGTAGCAACGAGCAAGTACGTTCCAGACGAAGTGCGCCAGATTATCAAAATCAGGTGTCAGGAAGAAGATGTGGAGGTTGGGCCAGATGCGGAGGATTTATTGGTCGAGATTGCTGGAGATGCGGGAATGAGGTATGCGCTTGGTCTGATTGCTGTGAGCCAGGTGGTTGCGCGAAAGAGGGTGAAGAGCTCAGGTGGGGGCTCGGAAGCTGTCGAGGTGGAGGATCTGAGACGAGCGTATGGGTGCTTTATGGATCCTGGGAGGAGTGTACAATGGCTGAAAGAGCAGCAGGGAAGTTTGCTGGTGGAAGAGATCACAGGGAGTGAAAACATATTGCAGGGACAGAGTGATAAAATGGATGTTGTGTAGTGAGAGCTCTTCAAAAGTACTCTAGTGAGCACGTTGTAAATAATGTGTCGTATCCTTGGCACCAACAATCAAATAAAGTCTCAACAGGTCACAACGCGTTTCGCCGTTTACATATGTATGTACATCATTTACCTTATTTTGTTTGACTTTCGAACTTGCGTCGATCTATCCTCTTTGACATGGTATGTTTGCTCTCAATGTAATCAGGGTAGTGGTAACGTTCCCCCCATTTACCTACACAATTGACAATGAAAGATCTACTGAATTCCAGGCAATGTTCTCAGTCAGGAAAAGAGGCCATCTTCGAAGTGAATATCAATGTAGATTGACACTGCGCTAGATTTTCCTTCTGTCGACACCTCTCGGCCTCTCCTTCACCACCAACTTATTACTGTTCTTCGGGCCTTTCGGTCCAGGCTTCCTTGTCCTCGTTCCTTTTGTACCCCAGCCCCAGATACTAACAGGATGTTTATTACTCTTGCCCTTACCTCTACCACCACCATGAGGATGATCCTTTGCATTCATCGCGACACCGCGAACCGCAGGACGCCATCCAAGCCAACGACTGCGACCGGCTTTCCCGAGGGATCGATTTTTCCATAAGGGATTGGAGACAGTACCGATCGTGGCAAAAGCGCTTTGGAGGATACGACGAATTTCGCCAGACGCAAGCCGGACCTGGGTGTAGAGAGTAGGGGTGGGAGAAGGTGATTGTTCGGCAGTCTCGTGTGCAACAACGAGAGCTGAAGTACCGGCACTGCGAACTAGTCGAGCAGGGCCAGTCGGCGTAAGAGTAATGTTGTGAACGACGGTTCCGGGAGGAATCAACGAAAGCGGAAGAACGTTTCCGGATTTGAGAGTGAGTGCACGGAAAATACCAAGTGCAAGAGAGGATGAGGTATTTGCGTCCTCATTGTCAGACGAGTCAGACTGGGATTTTGATTTCGAAGAAGGAAGTTCAAGATTCAGCCCCGGTACGAGGTCAGGCGGGATTCCAGAACGAAAGCTCTGTACGTGGTCACCTGCACGCATTCCTTCCGTGGCTAGAATGTAAGCCCAACCAGGTCTCCCTTGCGAGTCCACTGATAGAGAAGCTTCTGCAGATTCCGGTGTTCCCCGACGTTTGATGAGTGCCAGGTGGGCACTGCGCCCTGGATCGTACTCTATCCTGACAACATCCCATATTCCACCTTCTTCTCGTTTCCAGTCAACGATACGTATCCGCTGCCTATGACCTCCACCTCTATGCCTGACAGTAATCCGACCAGTATTGTTACGGCCACCAGATTTGCGCAATGGGTATGTAAGAAGACGAACAGGGCGCCCAGCATACAGATGAGGATTCAATGGTCGCTTTAAGTGACGAAGACCAGGGGTTACAGGCTTGTAAGTTTGGAAAAGACCATCCACGGAGGTTCGTGTAAGAGGGGATTTCCTATGAGAGGTTTTAGATGTAGCGGCTTTGTTAAAGAATGGGTTCGGTGCAGGTTTTGAGGTTGTAGATACTACTTGCGCACAGCGGCGCAAAGTGGCAAACATGGTGATCCTCTTCGCGGTGCAAAAAGTCGCATTCGCGATTTTCAGCATTCGCACGCTGGGCGTTTATTTTCACGCGCTTGTTTTAGTGCTGTTGAGGAATTGGGCATTATTTACAATTGCAGGCCTCATAACATCAAAGAAGGTATGTACAGTACGAGCCTGCATGCACGGGCCAAGCTGCATCTTGTGAATGATATAAACCTCCTTCCTTAATATCTGTAAGTTGAATTTGGTATGTATGCAAATATGAATATGTGAATATGGACCACGCCAATAACATCGACCAACGGGGAGATCGTTCCCGCATGAGGCCTAGACATGGGATATCCGTCTCTTGTTTAAAGTTTAGCTTTTGCACCCTGTAAGCCGGTACAAGTTAACTGGGTCCTGCAGGCTCAATGTTACATGTGTGGACCAGGGTACAACGAACCTTTAACACTCCATCTAATTTCGTGGCAAGCATGATGTTTCCCCTTGTCTTTAGCTTGCCGGACATAAATGCTTTTTGGCCATTGAGCTGCACCGAAGGGCGATGGGCATGAGCGCCACATTGATGTGGACCGAACTCAAATGAACTGCATACCTTTCCAGACGCCAGATCAACAAACGTCTCGTCGTCCATGGTAATGGTTACATCGGCTTTGGTCCCTGCTGGTGCTTTCCCTTTGGTCACCTTACCTGCCTTCTTCAGGTCAATTGTCCAAATAGCTTCCTGAGCGGTTGGTGACGGGCCTTGAGGTTTCTTGACTACGATTTCGAAGACACCATTTATCTGTGAAGTTATCAGTAGAGTCCATTAAACCATTAGCTTAAAGTCTGAGTACACGCCTTTTTAATTTGCGAAGTCTTCTCTGCGGGCGAGAAGGATTCAAAGACGGCGCCGAGTGAGGAAATTAGTTCAGAGGACTGTGCATGGAAAGGTGTTGAGCAAGGAGACACCCTAGTTTTGATGTACACTAACCTTGAATCCTGCAACTTTGAGATCAGCCATTTGATGTAGAGGGTACCGGTACAAGTTCAATACTGTTCAAGGACAGATTCATAGTGGATGCATGTGAAATTGAAAGCCGGTGGAGCCGATCCCACCGAGCGCTTTGCCGACCAGACTGAGCATGTGACATGCCGAAAGCCGGCAAACCCTGTTTAACTTTAACACTTCTTGTCCTCAAGCTTGTTAAGTCGATCCATGGACCAGCCAGGCGAATCGCGCCCCCTCTCTACGAATGAAGGCCATGAGTTACGAAAGGGCACACTTCAAAAGGCGCCCCGCTCTGTTTCCCGTGACCCTGCTCCAGGAGGACTTTTTTCTGGAGTATTCAACTATGTGACTGCCGAGGTAGGGAGCTTCATCACGAACGCAACAGGGGGAGTTATAACCGTGGTGCGTTTGAATATCCATTGCTGTTTTGACTTTGCTTCATGGCGTTATCTCTGATCAGAATACCGGGACAACATCAAGACGCGTGAAACACGCGGGGCATGACCCGGAAATGAGAAGGAGGAAGAAAAAAAGGACCAGGGATTGGACTGAAAGTGTAGAACGGGAGACAACTTCGGAGAAGTCTTCTCGTAACTCGGAAGGACGTTCAAAGCGATCACGTAGGATGTTGTTCTGCAAGCAATGGTTTAAATTCCTAACATATAACTTTAGCCAGCAGCGCTGATTATGAGCTTGAGCCGGAAATAAATACTCTCAAACTGGAGTCCATCGCCCTTCCAAAAGCAACAATGCCTGGCTCACTTTTTCCACGTTCACCATCTCTAATGCCTAGTGAAGCGGGTCAGCGTCACCGAACCGGTGCAGAAGAGGAAGAAGAACCACGAGTTAGTTGGAATTTTGGTTTTGATGAGAACGAAGCAGGCCCATCTTCCGGACCTGTTCCTCCAACGCAGTTGTCACCCACATCGCCGTTCCGTCCTCCTCTCGTGCCCTCGGTCAAGGACGCTGTTTCAAAATTTCACACGGGCCCAGATATCGACCCAAGGATCCTTTTGCCCTCACCCCCTCGCAGAAAAGGCAAGGAAAGAGAGGTTATAGATGTAGATGCTGACGATGACAGCTGGCTCATGCCTCCTCCACGCAGCAATCGCCACATTGCATCAGACGGTGATACATCTCGAGAAATACGGGTAAAAGGTAAAGAACGAGAATTATCTGCGGCTATAGAGGAGCACAAAATGAAGGAGAAAAGATGGGAACGAGATAAGGAAAGTGTCACTGGCGATGAAGAGAATGTTATAAGAGAAAAGGAACGCGATAAAGAGAAAATTCGAAAACTTGAAGAGGAGATCGAGAGACTTAAAGAGGAGCTGCGCAGGAGACCCGCCCCAACTCCTCCGTTTCCAATACCACCACCACCACCACCACCACCGCAACCTCCTTTAGCAATCTCTATTGCTGCGCCCTCTGCATTAAACAACAGTAATGCACCAGCTCCGTTTGCCCATGCTCGTGCTGCGCTCAATCACGCTCCTACCCCCAAGGAAGCTCCAATAAATCCACCAAGACGGGGTGGACAGCCTACTGTGGGCGTTACTGCCGACAAGATGGCTGCGTTTTTGACCGAAATGAAGACGGTACGACTGCGAAAAGTCGGTAGTCAATCGACTTTGGGTAAGAGTACCGGCAATCTCAGCAGGAGAGATAGCTTTGGTAACGACAATAGCCGAAGAGATAGCTTTGATGACTTGAATATAGAGAGGAGTCGACTCAGCATCAGCGATCTGAGGACCACCAAAGAAATCTTAGACATTCGGACTCAACATGGTCCTTCCGTTGGCCCTTCCTCTGCTGTTGCTCGAGAATTGAGTTGGCCCAGCACCCGTAGTGTCAGTAGCAACAGCGAGGAGGACGCGTCGGGCTCCTTGCATCGTAAGCGGAAGAGAATGGAGAGCGCAGATGAGGAAACTAATCACAATAAGAGCGGGGACTTGAGTTCACAGATACGTAAGTATATTCATCCGTTCGTGCTTTCTATATTGACATCTTCGTAGAAAAATTACGCGAAAGTATCAGAAATAAAAGGCGAACCATGAATTCCTCATATAGTAAAATCAACCCTACATCAACATTTCATTCCGCATATCCATTTCGTCCTCTACCTCCAACCGCCTCTGGCCCCCCACAGTCCATTGTTTCCCAAACGAGTTTTGAATACCCCCTGGAACCGGTATCCTCCTCGGTTGTACCTCAAGGAACGGATTTCTCTACCCGTGTCAGGGGTTCTATCTCTACCGATTCCACCTCTTCTAGCAATGCCAATCATAACCTTGACAAACCAGACACATTTGCATCGTCCTCAACTTCAGCACCGGCTGACACACCCTCCCTGTGTTCAGACAATGATGCGGAGATGGACGCGGAGCGTCCTGAACACGATAATGATAGCAGTACGCCTCCTTCAACTCCGCCCGGCACAACTGCTAGATTTACTACCCCTCCAAAATATACAGGAGAGGTGATTGACCTTGAGGTTGACTTGGTGGATGAAGATGACCAGCATGACCATGATCCATCTGAGGATCAGAAACAGTCGAGGAGGCGGTCCTCCCCTCATCCATCCGCATATCTGACGGCAAAACGCATCCCAGTATCGCCGCTTCCAAATATGTCCCCAAAAAGACCAAAGCCACCCGCTAGCTCGAGGAGAAGGATTAGAACAAGTACAGGCCGTGCCACCACGCATCCCATCCCAGCGACACCGCCCTCGCATGCCAATCTGTATGACTTGGAACACCAAGACGATGAGGGTGATGAAGATCCCCTGTTGTTACGTCTCACTGCAGACGAAGACGATTTTGTCTCTTTGTCTGGTCTGTCTCAACGCCAACCTCAGCGTCGAAGGTCAACCCTTGATGAGGAAATGCGCGCTGCACATAGAGCTTCATTGAATGTCGAAACGCAAGGTGGATATAGCGAAGATGAATTAGAAAATGGCGTGCTTGTTGCAACTGGCGCTCGTTCAAAAAATCTTGGCTTCTTAGCCCACGGGGGTGCAGGCGGTCCTCCGGTCTGGATGGGTGAGGGATATGTTTTAGGTGTTGGCAATGCAGAAGAAGAACAAAGGGAAGATCATCGGTTGTCTAGTAAGGAGAGCGGCAAAGAAAAATCACGGACGCGAATACCTATTCCAAAGTCCAAACCACCAATGGTAATGCGAGGACGCTAGATTTTGAACGTTTTGTGTCTTGTCATTGTTTATCTTATTACTATATGTTATATCTGTACCAGTGTTCGCTACTTATCGTACAGTTGTTTTTCCATTCATCTGAAATTTGTCGGAAGCATGCGAGGTGCGTGTGTAATATTGTAAGTCTCAAGAGAAATACAAAGATGGCAGTATATGAGACGAAGAAAGTTGGTCCATTCCATGAAGTCTTTTGACCGCTCGCTCAGTTTTGATCTTCGACGAAGTTCCTCACAGCCGTCAGGTCAGCCTCTACCATCTCTTTGACCAGGTCCTCAAAGTTGACCTTACGCTTCCAACCCAGCATACGTTCAGCTTTGGCAGGGTTTCCGAGAAGAAGCCTGGTTGGTGGTCAGTCAGTAGGCGAATGTATAGGGTTAAACCCAATGAATGCTTACTCGACTTCGGCCGGCCTGAAGTATTGCGGGTCTATCTTGACCACAACTTTGCCTGTATTCACATCTCTCGCCTCTTCGTCGAGACCGGAACCTGACCAGGCGAGCTTGATACCCACAACACCAAATGCTTTTTCTACGAATTCCCGTACGGGGTGAGTCTCTCCAGTTGCGAGAACAAAGTCAGTAGGTGGTTCTTCTGGCTTCTATTAAAACTGAGTTTTCGTTCAAAAAAAGACAAAGTGAGACAACATACAAGGCCTTGGCCTTGGAGCATCAACCACATTCCCTCTATATAGTCATTAGCGTGACCCCAGTCTCGTTGAGCGTCGAGGTTTCCAAGCCACAAACATGCTTGTTTCTTTTCATAAATTTCAGCAACAGCTCGAGTGATCTGCCAATCTAAGTTCAAATGCATCACTTGTGTAAGAGAAGCAACGGCGCACTTTTCTAGTGACAAATGTTCTGCCTCTTCGGGGACTTTCGTGATTAAACAAGATACCGTTTACAGCATACATCCCGTATGCCTCGCGGTAGTTGACCGTAATCCAGTACGCGTATAATTTTGCTACACCATACGGAGATCTGGAAGGAACTGTCAGAAGAGAGATCGGTAATAGCATGGGACACGAACCGAGGATAGAAAGGAGTAGTTTCGCTTTGAGGAACCTCTTGCACGAGACCGTACAACTCGGATGTGCTTGCTTGGTAAAATCTACAACGACGGCAAATAAGGAAATGACGAATCCTTGAATAAGAAATACACTCAACCGGCAATGTTTCGTCAAGCCACAAGTTCGGATAGCATCCAACAGCCTCAAAGTACCGATGGCATCCACGTCTGCAGTGTATTCTGCGAGTGAGAAGGAAACCTAGAGTATGATAAAAGATGAGGAATGGTCCGGAGAAACGCAAGTTGCATTAGCACAGACCTTGACGTGACTTTGTGCTCCCAAGTTGTATACTTCAGTTGGAAGGATTCGGGCCATGAGGAACACGAGAGCAGTGCTGTCGGTGAGGTCACCGTAGTGAAGGTGAAATCTGGGGTTGAAACTGTAGTGGCTGAATTACTTATGAGAATGACGAGAACGTACTTGTTCGGCCTCTCGTGCTGGTCCTCATACAAGTGATGCAACCTGCCAGTGTTGAAGCTCGAGGAACGCCTGATGATACCGTGTACAGTGTATCCCTTTTCCAAGAGGAATTCGGTAAGATAAGAGCCATCTTGTCCAGTGATACCTACAACGAGAACGTTCAGAGTCTGGTGATAGTGAGGTCAAAATGGTGATTTACCGCTGATTAGAGCAACTTTTCGTTGGAAATACTCTTCAGGGGGAGGAAGATTCAACGGAGCGAATGCCGCAGGGAGTTCTGAGGCCGAGTTGCCGTCCCAGTGAGAAGCGCGAGGAGAAGGATGGGTGGATTGTGAATGATCACCAGAGTCGCGTGCGGAAAGATTGTGAATGCCAGAGAGAGCACCAGGACGAACGCCAGGAAGCATGCCACGTATAGGACCAGGGACATGATCAGTGGATGGAGATGCGATTAGAGCCATAAGTAGATAAAGGAGCGAGTTCGTCAGTTGAGGAAGAAAAGAGAGACATATGAAGAAACAGTAGCGTTATAAAGGAAATGTGGCTGAAGATCTCGATAAATGTGATGTTCACGGTTCATCAATCATATCTCCTGACCAGTGTCTCCTGTATACATACATCGTAAGGGCTCGTAAGCGCAATGAGGACCAAGGCACCGATATCGGAAGATAGACAAGGACGTAAATCAGCCCTACACTGTCAGGAATTTGACAGAAAGAGCGGTTGTTTGCGCAGTTTTCGCTTCATCTTCCAATAGGTATTACAGAGCGTTTATGGATACATGATTGCCAGCAAATCGTTCACAGTCCAGAACGCTCTCAACACAGATGTCGCGTACGAGAGGGAGTAATCCGAGGCGAGGAGATCGGAAAAAGAAAATCACTCACCACCTAGACCTTCCTTGTTCCTTTGGCCATCCTTATCCGAAGGTTGCTCTGGATAGATAGTCTTGGAGGGAGGATGCGACATGGTAGAAAGCAAGATGAAAAAAGGGTAAAAAGGATACCGTGTCAGTGACCGTGGACGTGATCGCTTTGTCTATGTACATAATCCACTTTCTCGTCCGTGGAGCGACATGTGGGGTGGTAACCTACTCAATGATCTGTACTGTACGTATCCACTAAATATCTGTCTCCAAAGCATCGAATTGTGATTCACTCAGTAGTACTTACAGCCCACTGCGTGTGCAGAATTGATTTTAGATTTCGTTGCTGTGTGTAAATAAGTTGAATGAATATAGAAATATGTTTCAATTTGAAGCCTTTTGATAGCGACCATGATCTTCGCTGATCTTCGTGAGAATTGGCGGGAGTTTCGCCAGGTCACAACACAGTTATGTATGCATTCGCATTCGTTTCTGCGACGACCAGCTTCATAAGCTGCGACGATGCTTAACTTTTCAAAGTCCTCTCCACCCCCATATACGTCCAATCCCTACCGAACCTCCCGTTTACCTTCTCCAGCAATTTCTCGCAGACCCTCACCGTCCTATTTGCCACTAGCCATTCTCCGCTCTTCCAAATCTTTGCTCACCAAACGTTATTTTCGGGTTCTATTCTTTGTAGTTTTCTCCGCCACTTTTCTCTTTCTTTTCCTCAGATTAACACCTGCACCCTCGTTTGAACCGTTGCAAGTTAATCACAGCTCTGCCGGAAAAGATCAAGTATTGCTACCGCCTACCTATTTACCTCCTACATACGAACAGCAAAAGGGCCTTCCACCACTCTTCGAAGCCTGGAAGGAGTATGAACGGACTCTTCCGCAGCATGCAGACGATGATGGGGCTATTAAGTTCATCTACATGAAGAATCATGTCTTTGGTTTGTATCATCCACACCCTTTACTAAAGCCATGGCTAACAGAGCTTTTCGTAGCTTCTGGATGGGGCAACGCTTTGCAGGAAATGATCCTCAATACACATCTCGCATACCTATCTGGTCGTTCATTCGTATTCGACAATTACACTTGGGACCGGTCACCGTCAGAATACTCCACATTCAATGGCAAAACAATTTTATCTCGCGTACCCGTGTCTACCATGTTGGCAGGTACGTTATTGCTTTGATTATCGCTTTCGTCCCCTGATGTCTCTCAGGTCCAATGATTGGTGGCTCCTTCGATCCATCCTATTTCGCCGATCCTCTCTTTACAATCGACCTTTCCCCACAATCCCATCCGCGTGCTGTCTCTAGCGAGTACTACGAACGCGTTTGTTCAGGCGAAAAGAAGATAGTAGATTCTGCCGTCGTCCGTGACGCTGTAGCCAGCTGGGACGGCAAGGCTAATCTTGAAGCTTGGGTTAAACATTTAAAATCTCTTCCTAATCGGTGTGTTGAAATAGATGTCAAATCAGAGCACATATTCAACATCTGGTAAGCTTCCAGTCCATCCATCCATTCTGTTTCTTGAACTCGTTCATCAGGATGTTTGGCTCTCCCAAAATTCTCACTCTTTGGCCATCACTATCTCAATCTCCAATCTTGAGGCAATTCTCTCATTCTCCACTCATTCTTGGTGCATTTGAACGTCACCGCCATTTATTTGGTGTCATAGACACGAAACCCGTTAGAAAGCCGCATCTTGTACAAAAGTTGGGAACAATTTTGTTAGACAGCTTTTACTCGCGCGCACGGTCAAAAAACGGCAAGGAATCGCGCACCCCAATATCTTCCATATCCACTCCCCCTTCGAACTCTTCTCTTCCTCTCATTGACTTTGATCAACTGCCGCAGCTTTATCCTCACTCTCCTGCGAGCCCCAATATAAACGATACCATTCCGGGTCTAGTAGTCCTTCACATTCGACGTGGTGATTTCGAACAACATTGTATTAATCTCGTCGAATGGGGAGCGGCTTTCAACGGGTTCAACTCGTTCGAAGATATCCGGGAACAGGATGGCTTTGACTCTGCTGCAGCTGGTGCAGGAACTCGTCCACCCGGAGATGAGCCCATTGCACCAGAACAAGAATCGGACTTCGCGGCGAAGTTGAAGGATATGTCAGAAGAGGAAAAGAAGCAAGCGAGGAAAGCCCGGAAAGAGACCCTTGAAGCCTATGCCGCCGCCAAAAAGGATTACGAACATCGGAAAGCGAAATACGACACTGCCAAAACCAATTACCTAGAACGCTGTTTTCCGGAAATTGACCAGATTGTCAGACGTGTAAGGCAAGTCCGTGAAGCTGCATCACTCGATTCCTCGAAATCCGATACCCAATCCGCGCCATTAACCCATCTCTATGTTATGACAAATGGCAGACCACCATTCTTAGCGGAACTTCGGGCAGCTCTCGAACTCGACGCTATTGCTAACAACCCTCTCGACCTTCCCCCTTGGGAATCAATATACACATCCCGAGATCTGGAGCTCGGCTGGGAGGAAGCGTATGTTTCACAGGCGCTGGATATGTATGTTGCTCAGCGGGCTGAAGTGTTTGTCGGAAATGGTTTTTCGAGCTTGACATCGAATATTCTCATGCTGAGAAAGGCAAATGGTGTGGATTCAATAAAAACACGACTCTGGTGATCAGATCCAGGGGGCGGGAGTTTTCTGACTGGTACATGACCCCCGTGCGAAATTTCAGGTTGCCGCGCAGGCAACCCGGCATGTCTCACAAACAGTGAAAGTATAAGCGCGATCTGAGTGCGATGAAGCAATAAGACTGGATAGGAATGTGAACAGATTATACTTTGCTATATGTCCCTGCTCGTTGTCTCTGTGTATATCTATATACCATAACAGTGGCAGCTCTGTCCTGTTTCAAAACCTTCACTGTCTGGAACTGTGTACTGGTTTCAGAATTGCTCTGTGTCATTAACACCAGTACTCATGTATATTTCCTCTGCTTTTGATGCTGAAAGAACTGAGTTGGATTACACTGCAGGGATGAAGGCCTTCTCTTGCCCCAAATAGGCTGCAAGATCAGTTACAAAATTCTCCCTTTTAGCAAGAACAGAATATGTTATTTAATTACTGGAGAATATATTGAGATTATTCAAAAAATTCTCCCACAAAACTACATAGGCTTAGTCTAATGAAATGCATCATTATTTTTTAATGTTTTTATTGAATATGCAGGGGTTATTTAGTCTAATCTACTATAAATTAGTGGGTAAATATCCTGGGATCATTATTCCCACTACCTTTAGGGTAGAGGGTCTTTGTCAAGTCCATGCCTCGGTGCCCCATTCCACTGCTTGGTATTCTGAGATCCACTGTTTATTGTAATCTCATTCTTATTGTTCTTTCTCGCTACACATTCCCTTTCAGCTTAGGTTCTCCCTTATTGTTTTATCCTTTCTCTTATTGTCTTATTTTCTACCCTGCAGGTACTACACGTATAGCTCCTAGTAGTTAGACTGGTGCTCCGCCCCAATGTGCCGTTCCATAGATACAACAAAAACTGCATGTACGATACTGTAGTTCCTCAGTTTAATAATCAACTTAGATTGTCCTTGTTAAGATCATGTACACCGTGTAACCGTCCGTGCCAGAGGCTTAAAGGTGTCTAAGGGCAGAAGGTCGAATGGGACAGTAGTGAAGTTATGAACAACACCGCTGTTACACCGCTAGTCCCCGGAAATCGAGAGTAGAGAAGAAGAGAGCCAGGAGCAGCCAAGTTGGAGCGGCGGTATCGCCAATGACGAGGAGCGAACCAAAGGACTTATAAGTCCTAAGGCTGGAGTAAGAAGTACTTCAAGGCAACAAGACTGAAGACTAGAGATTGACAAGAGTCCAGAGGAAGTCTCAAGTCAAGGACGTGAAGAGGATAATCTAAGTTGATAATTAAACTGAGGAATTACAGTAGTGTACAGGCAGTATTTATATCTACAGATCGGCGCATCAGTGCGGAGCACCAGACTAACTACTAGGAGCTATACGAGTAGTACCTGCAGGGTAAGAAATAAAACAATAAAGGAGAATCTAAGTAGAAAGGGAATGTGTAGCGAGAAAGAACAATAAGGATGAGATTACAATAAACGGTAGATCTCGGAATACCAAGTGGTGGAATGGGGTACCAAGGCATGGACTTGACAGTATCCCCCTCTAGGCTTGAGCCCTCAAAAGCTGATAAGCCCGTAAGACCCAAAAGACCGAAATTGATCCCATCAATAATTATAAGTCAAGGAAAAAAATTTTCTGTCACCATAAACTGAGTAAAATTCAAAGGAAAATTTTTGTTGGTCCGTGCGCCGTTTTGTCCATATAAAATGGTCAGAATTTTGCCATTATGGGCCTAAGTTTCCAAAAACTTCTAAGTCCAACAATGTCTGTCAGTCGCACTCAAACCACCACCACCACCACCTCTTCTTCTACTGCCGGACCTTCGAGGTCCCGCCCAGTACCACCGCCTCCCACCGACCCTGTCAAAGAAGACAAGGATAAAATAATAAGGTGGGCAGAGGAGAAGGTCCACAGGATGAAGGCCAGAAAGGCAGCAGCTGCGGCGAAGAAAAAGGCCGAGGAGGAGGCGGCCAAGAAAGCTGCAGAGGAGGTGCGGAGGTAGAAGGAGGTAGCAGCGCGGGAGTTGGAGGAGCAGAGGAGGAAACTGGTGGAGGCGGCTACCGCTCGTAGTTGCTGGGGCTCTTTGCCAGGAGAGAGTTCGGGGTCCCCACGGTGGCCAGTAGTAGAGATCAGGAAGGAGAAGGGGAAAGGCAAGGCCAAGGCCCAGGTGAGTACCGAAGATTCTCAGTCCCATTCCCTTACTGACATTTCTGTTCATAGCCTGTTGGCGGGGATCCCGATGACGGCGGCAAAGGGGATGATAATGACCAGGATGAGCACGAACGATGCAGGAGCAAGAAGATCCCTTGCCAGATGCAGGCTGGCAAGAGGAGTTCAATTATTTGTAAATCCTGTCATGATGCAAAGGTATGGTGCTCATACACCGGGTGGCCCTTGACGGTGAAGTGAGAGGGAGGAGCAAACCCGACCAGCGAGTGCCTGGTGGTTCTCGAGACCCAGGTGGCTCAACTACTCACCGACAATCAGCAGCTCCGAGATGGACAGGTGAAGGCAAACACCTACCATCGCCACTTCAACTGAAAGCTGGACTGGCTGATTACAGATGCCGCAAGGAGAAGAAGAACACCCCCTGAACTGCTGGAGGCTGGCCTATTGGGATTGTCAAAGAAGCGGAGGAGGGCTGTGGATAGTGACGAGGAAGAGGAAAAGGAGATAGAGAGAGAAAAGAAGAAGTAGAGGACGAAGGAGAAGGAATGGAGGAGGAGGAAGAAGGAGAAGGGGAGGCGCCGGCGCCAAAGAAGGCAACCTCTGAGAAGGGAAAGGAGAGGGTGGAATAGTATCGGACATCGAACATCTTCTTATAGCCTCCTGCCCTCCTTTACATATTTTTTTGCTTGTTTGTATATAAGAAAATGTTATCGCATCTTGACACTGAAAACGAACGGGCCACAAAGCAGCGAAAGAAATAATTAGTTTTGAAGTATAAGTAGATTATGTGTGAATGAAAACTAAATAAAACAGCAATTAAGAGAGAGGGATAAACACTCAATTTGCTATCATTGTGTTTACCCTCTCGATGCAACGAAGTAAGCTTTGGCAGAGAATGGAATTTTGGGGAAAGGAATAAAATGTTTTTTTGTGATCAAGGTCCAGGTTTTAAAGGGTATCGAGCATGGAATGCAGGTACCAGTTCATCAGCATGTAGTTCATCAGCAGCAACCCAGGAGAATTCGCCGTCAGTACCTTCGTAACCGGCCCACCGAATATAATAACGTAGAGGACAATGCTTATACCTTCTATCCAGCTTGGAGTCCAGGATTTCAGCAATGTTGTACTCCTCTTCACCATCAACTTCAATTGGAGGTGGAGGAGATTGAGTTCGATTCGGGAATGGGTTCAGCATAACCGGCTCCAGTTGTGAGACGTGGAAGACCGGGTGAATCTGGCGAAGATAGTCCAGGAGCTTGAGCTTGTAAGACAAAGTACCAGGTCGACTGATGACCTTGAAAGGACCAAGATATTTTTCAGAGATTTTTTCAGTAGGACGAGTAGATCGAATATGTCATGAAGTACGTAGCCCCTATGATTTTCCTTTTCTCACCGTCTCGATGCCCTTACTTGTACAATTACATTACTGTCAAATCCCATCGATTACTGATCCACCTGTTACCCTTCTCCTTCTACTGGCTTCTGCCACCTTCCTTGTTTCTAAACTGTACAGTATTACATCGTCATTTCTCGCAGATCAGATTATGTATATAAAGCCAATCCCTCACAGCCTGGTCCCTTATCTTGACCTCTCTGTCATTATCTGGGACCAGGTATGTGCTTACTTATTGTTACCTATGACTACGATACTCAATATATCTCTGTCATTATCTGGGACCAGTTTGCCCCCGCTCTGCCTCATCACCTTGCGTAGTCACTCCGCTTCCCTGCTCCACTAGTCACTCCGCCTCTGCCACTTCGTGACAGAATATGCTTAGTAAGAACAACTTCGGAGCCAATTGGGAACTCCGGCTGCGAGATTCTTTTCACAAAGTCTCTGGGTAGATCAGACTTCATGTCAACCTCAGGCCAAACGGTGATGTTAGGGTGGTATCCTTTATTAGCAAAAAATGGAGTAATACCAGTGGATGCATTAGGAGCATTGTTATAGGCAAACTTGGTGATTGGAAGTAAGTGCGACCAGTCATCTTGTTGGTAGGAGCAATAGATCCTGATGTACTGCTCGAGAGTTTGATTGACACGCTCGGTCTGCCCATTGGCTTCCAGATGATATCCAGAGGTATAGTGAAGTTCCATGGAGAGCGCTTTACCGAGAGCCCGGAAAAACGGAACCACAATCAGAAGTAACATGATTAGGAACACCATGCTTAGAGAAGACATGAATAACAAAAAGCTCAGCTAGTTGTTCAGAAGTGATAGTATCAAAAGTTGGAATAAAAATAGCTTGCTTGGAAGATCGATCCACAACGACAAGGATAGCTGTGTAACCATTCAACATTGGCAGTTGCTCAATGAAGTCCATGGAGATTGAATCCCATGGTTGGACCGGAACCGGCAGAGGTTTCAATAAGCTGTAAGGCTGATGACGCCGAGGCTTATTGCGACCACAATTTGTGCAGGAAGTAACATAGTCACAGATGAAGTCTCTGACCTTGGGCCAGGTGTATTGACGACATACTGCCTTTAGAGTTCGGTTCTGGCCAAAATGGCCTCAGAGTGGATGTGTTGAAGGAGACTGCACTTGTTGAAGTTAAAATACACTGGAGCGCCCTTCAGCTAACCCAAGCAGTATGCCACCCAGCTCAGTACACAGATTGTCAATGCCTTAATACAAGACTAGTAGGTTGGACTACAAGCCTTATAGTTGCTCAGTACTCCAATAAACACTGTAGATATGACAGAAGTCAATATAGAGTGAGGATTGATTTGTATCTTTCAACTGTAGTAGGAATACAGGTTTGTTTGGTCTTGTATGTACGGAAAATGCATGAGGCGTGATAATAGGTGTCCACAATTGTGCACACCTATGAAAACTAACTAACTACTGCAAGACTAAAGAAACTTGTACTCTAAAAGTTGAAAAACTTGGAAATGAGGTTTGTAAGTACTTTGTACACTAAAACTAATGATTATAGTGATAACTATAGCTAAGAGGACATTGTGTAATGTATGTAGATGTATGTAGAAAGTGTTCTATCACTACAGTATGCTCAACAAGATGATTGTGAAAGTAGCGGAGAACTTGAAGGTGAAGGTTGCCGTGATTCGGAACATAAATACGGTCATCAAGGTGTAATAACCCATCACTACCTAAGCTCCAACATTCATTGGAAGGATCTTTTGCAAGTTCCAAACCAACAACGGAGCTCGGGTCCTTTGGAAGAGCAAGAATGATAGCTTGATGCAAAGCTTCCATATCTATGACAATAGAAGCTCGGAGCATTGGGCCTTCTAAGAAGGTTGCTTGAAGAGAAGTAGTT